TTAATCCCGGGCGAGCCTAACCTCGCTCGCGGTGTACCCTCCGCGGCCCTCCGAGCGCTAATAAACGCGTGACGTCACGGCGCTCCGCGCTCCGCCTCGATGGATGCGCGCGCACGCGTCCGCCGCCATCTTGAAAAGCAGCCGATCCGCGACGGCGGCGTCATTCGGCGTGGGACCGCTCGCGCAGTTGCGTCACTCGCGACCCGCTTCTCAACGTTCCCTCGATATTCCCTAATACTCGTCCCGGAAATTTCCCCGACAACCATGAAAACCCGTCAGGAAAACAAAGACAAACCAACGGAAATCGTAAAACCAATCAACATAAGAGGAAAAATGATCGGATGAGGTTGGAGTAACTCCAACATTTTCCATCGTTGCTAAATTAATGCGTAGCGAGTTACCGTAGTTAACCAACGAGTAAATGGATAATTCGCGGATTATGAGTTATACGTTATCTTCCAAGTACCGAGGTGAATGCTTCAGGCACTCGAAAATTTCAGCTCATACCTGAGACGTCGAGGGACGTATTTCCGGGTCGTCAAGAGAGGCGCCAGAAAACATCGCGAGGAGAAAGAGAGTCGAGGGTCGACCGCGTCTCGATTTTCTCCCCCTCCCGCGGGCTTTCTTTTTCCTCGCGAGACCGAGAGGGGGAGAGAGAGAGAGAGAGGGGGGGGGGTTCGCATCTAAATTTAATTCTCCCCGGCGGTCGACAAATCGCGCGCCATGTCGGAGGTGGCGGAGGTTATTTAGGTGTGGCCCACTGGCGCGGACAAATCGGCCCCGAAAAACTCGGCCCGCGTGAGAGAGAAAGCAAGGCTCGAGCCTTAAATAACCATCTACGTAGAGGGGCGCGGGCAAAAGGGCCGGGAGAAAGAGAAAACGTCCCGTGACAAAGTCCTAACCTCCTTCCGGGAAGGCTTTCTCCCTCCTCGGGAAAGATCGGAACGACGAATCGGGCAATCTCGGCCGCCGAGGAAGAGGGAAAACAAAACGACGAGGCGAGAAAGAAACGATAGAGAAGAAAAAAAAGAGAAAAAAAAACAACCTCCAAAGAGAGGTTAAAGAGAAAACAAATACCTACAAGTGGAGGTAGAGGGAGGAGGACGGGAGGGGGGAGAGAGAAAAACGAGAGCGAGGTCCGTTCTCGTCTCGAGACGAGTCCTCGACGGAAACACGGCGGCTCCGCCATGAATTTCAATTTGCGCAATTAATCGTAACGGGACCCAGCTCCGTTGTTCCCCCTCCTCCTCCTCCTCCCCCCACGCCCGTTAACCCGGCACGACCACTTCGACCCGAGTAACAATTTTTTTTTTTTCCTCTCACTTACGGGGGAACAAATTAGCCGCAACAAAAGGAGCACGATATTTTCCCGTTTATTTGATTTGATTGTCCCAATTTAACGGATGTCCTCTCCGCCCTCCTAGAACGTGCAGTTCCCGATTGAAAACTCGGGCCGGCCCTTTTTTAATCGCGATTACAGAGGTTTAAGCTCCCACCCCCTCGTTTCTCTGTGTCGCGTGGGAAATGGCCGCATTCTCCGCAACCGTTTTTTTTCTCTCTCTCTCTCTCTTTCTCTCTGCGTCTCGCTAATTATCGCAGAAGCGTGGACATTATGAAACCCTTTTCGCGCGCGACCGAGAAAGAGAGATCATTGGCCCCGGTCGCAGCTGGTCGCGGCTGTTAAACCGTGGGACGAACCAGACTCGGTGCGAGCAGGCGGGAGGGCGAGAGAGGGAGAGACAGATAGATAGATAGATGGATAGATACAGAGATAGAGAGGGAAACGGACACAAACCTCGCTCGGCAAATACGGGACGACGATCGGGTAAATATTGAAAGCCGAGGCCGCCAGCCGATTACAAAGAACCCATGGCGGGCGCGGCAAATATTTACGCGGATCCCCCGCGATCGGACATGGCGGCGCGCGTCCGATACCGAGTTCGCGGCGCGCCCGAGGGATGGCGCTGGCGGCGCGATGCGCTTCCAAGATGGCGGCCCCCCGGGACGCGCACCTCTCCCCGTTCCCTGGCGCTTTTCCCGCATTTCCCTGCATTTCCTCGCGATCCCAGGGGTCTCGTGGGAAGCGGAATTTCTCCCGCCACGCGTACCAACGGCACGGTACACGGGAAACCGGTCCGTATGTTCCCCCGCATCGCGGATAAATCAACGGAACAAGGCGATCGGAAGGAACGCAAGGCGCGTCGATGGCGCGCTCGGGGCGGGGAGGAATATCCGCGGCGGATGCAAGTGCCCGGACGATTCCGCGGCGATAAAACGCGGAGCCCGGACGCACACGTCCATAGTCCACGGGGCAGATAAGCCGGTTCGCCGCGATAACCGCGCGTCCGTGCACGCGGAAACGGGGATGCATCTAGGCGAGGCCGAAGTGGAGGCGCGAAATCAGCTCTCTCTCTCTCTTCCCACCTTATCGCGCGCGCGGTCGCCTCCCGGGTGTGTATCCCTCCTCGGGCGTCGAGGAAGGCCATCTCCCCCGGATTAGTGCCGTCGGGTTCGTTTACCCCGCGGCCGTTGTTATCGCCTCGCGCTAATATCGCCTCAGGCGAGGGCGAGGAGTTAAGGGGAACGAAGAAAAAGGGAGAGAAAAATCGAAGAACGAAAAAAAAAAAGGAAAACGAATAATCCAGCAAAGTGTAGCGCATCCGGAAGAGACAACCAATAGAGCAAAAATCGATAGTCTCTTCCCTTTCTCTCGTTATAAAAATTCATTCTCTCATCTAAGAAGATTCTCCCTCTCTCTCTCCATCTCTCTAGCCGCCCGTAACGGGACGGTGCACCTGTCTATTCGCGCGATAGTTTAAAGCGAATTACCCCGCGACCCGGAGGAAGAGTCGGCAGAAGAGATGAGGAAGAAGAGGAGGAGGATGAAGAGACGGAGGATGCGGCTCGCCGGGGAAAAAAGCAGAGTAAAATCGAGCGTATCGATCGGCGGAAAGTGGGAGCGCCGAGCGCGCCGGGGTAGGGGAACGGCAGCGGGGTTAAGGGAGGGTTGAGGGGGGAGGGGCTCGCGCGAATTTCCCGAGGAAATTCCGATGACACGCCACGAGGAGGGCGCGAGGGGCCGGAGGGGCCAGAGGGGCGGGAAGGGGCCGCGGAGGGCAAAGTGGGTCAGAGGAAAGGTCGCGGCGACGGGGGTATCTCCTTCTCTCTCTTTCCCCCTCTCTAGGGCGGGGCGGGGGCGCTCGCTCGCTCGCGCGCGCGCGAGGTACTCCGTCTTACTTCGGGGATGATTTTCCATGCCCTTAGGTCCTCTTCTCTCCCCTCCCGATACGCTTGCCCCTCTCCTTCATTTTCGTGGAAACGCAAAACCCCCTCCTGCGATCTTCTCTCTGGCGACACCCCGCGACGAGGGGGAAATGTGGAGGAGCGGTTGGAAAATTTAAAGAACAGGAAAAAAAAAAATTAGCGACGAGATAAAGTAGATAGAAGAAGAAAAAAAAAAGGAAAGGAAATAATTTTAAGAGATTCGGAGTTCGTCTATAGAGGATACGCGCGAGATTCACGGTTAAAGTGAACGGCGTTTATCCGTGCACGTTAATCGAGGGTTAATTTGAGAATACTCGTGGGTATATATATTCATGCGTGTCGATGCACCTCCGGAGGGGGGCGTTTTTTTTTTGGCGGGGGGGGATTCCGCAAGAAATAACTGGAATCGCCAAAAGACGCCGCGCGAAGGCTAAATACGGGATTAACTGGGATGCCAGGTTTTTTCTCCCCGTTATCCGCGGGCTCGTAACGTAACATCGGATAATGCTCACCGGGCCAAGGACAAAGGAACGTTCAGCCGTGACGAAATTTCCACGTTTCGGAGCGTACCCTTCACTCCGAGGTGACTCCCTCCCCCCGCCACGATGTTCGACGACACCTCGCGGTAACCCCGAGACTCGGGTAAAATCGAGAAACGAGCGAAAAACAATATCAAGAGAAAAATTCCCCCCTCAGAATTTCCTCGGTCACCCATCTTTGGCTCGACCTAGATCACCGTCGTTTAACTCGAGAAAAGCCCCTCTCCTTCGCTCCCACGATCCCACGCCTTGAATACCCCCTTTTAACTCGATTAAACCGACCCTGGCAGGAGGGAGTACGCTTTTTGTGAAAATTCGAAAAGTCGAAAATGTGAAAAATCGAAAATATGAAAATGTGAAAAAACGAGACGGATCCGCGCAGAAGAGTCTCGATCGCGGGGTTTAAATCCTAGACCCGTCTACCCGTTATCCCCTCGTTAAAGGGAATCGACTCCTCCTCTCTGGGGCGGTCGCTCGAGGTGCTCACCTTGTCCGAGGGTATGTTTCGCGAACTCATGGTAGTCACCGACTCGGCGGCTCGGGTGCAATCCTGGGCGGGCCGCCTCGGGGGGGCTGGGGGCGGGGGCGGGTCTCCGGGTAGTCCGGTTCGGCTCGCTGACTCGACCGACCTGGGCCCGGCACTACACCATATCTTCGGCCGCCTCCACGGGCTACGTGGGACGCTCGCGATCGCGCGCGCTCGAGCGAGCACGGCCTCGGGCCCTGGCGGCCGTTACTTGCGTCGAGCTGCCAGCGCGGCCGCGGGCTGCGGGGCCAGCATCTTCTCGCGCTCCTTACTCCGGGTACGACGCGTGCACCGGGCGCCGAGGAGGCCGCCGATCAGACGCGAGTTCCGCACCGCACGCGCGCACGCACCGCCGTCCTCGTCGTCTCTTCGACCTCCCAGCCTCAGAGGCAAACACGGAAAATGGCGACCGCGAGCCGATGCAGCATTCTGAGATGGCTGGCCGAGGGCACGCGGCACGGAGACCCGACGACTGCTAGACCGACCGCCGACGCGGAGCGCGAACGACTGAGCGCAGGTGGCGCCCGCCGCCGAGAACGCCGCCCCGCCGTGCCACAGCGCCGCTGCGCGGCGAGCTCGGAACCTCGTCGCTTCTTCCTCCCCCCGTTCTAACCTAACCTCGCGACAAGGCCGCGCTTCTCGGTCGACCCGTAGTCCGCGACGGCCGCTACGAGATTCGGAGAGAAAATGGATAAAATGGCGCCGAGGTTTAATACACGTGCGCGCGTGGTCGCTGCGGACTGACGGGTTGGGTTTAACCTTGGTTTTGTCCTACGTTCTTCGCTAGGTGCGTGGCGAGTCGATAATGTTGGCTACTCGCGGGTTGTTGCACGTTTGCTCGAATGCCCCCGGTTTGCCTGACTCGCGAGTTTTGCTCGGTTTCGGTAGAAAATGCGAACGTTCGTTGGCGATTCCCGCCAGGTCTCGTCGAGGAAAACGGGTGATCGAGTTTAATGATCTTTCCAGGAGCTCGCGAGATGACGGATGTACACATGGAGGACGCGAATGACGCCGACAGCGGCGATGATTGGGATGAGGTTAACGACGACATTCAGAATGTTGTATGCTTGTTTTGCAAGGAAGTCGTCGATAGCATACCCAAGGCCTTGAGACACGTAGAGGTGTTTCACGACTTCAATTTGGCTACCTTTAAAACCAAACACGCATTGGACGTGTATTCGTACATTAAACTCGTGAATTTTATCAGACGGAAGGAGGTTTCCCCGGAGGAACTGAATTCAGCCGAGTCGAAGTCGTGGAATAGCGATGAATATTTGATGCCGGTACTTCAAGACGATGCTTGGTTGATGCTAGGTTATTATAAATACTGTTTTTTATGTGTAAACGTTGCATCGACTCTGATAAAGGTAGCGTACGATTTGATACCACTTATACTTATTCTTAGATATCGAGGAAATAGAAGACAGCACGGCCAAGCCGATTGCTTATCCGGTAAATTCAGAAAATGGCTGTGTTACGTTATCGGAGGCACATTTTGCGGAACTGCAAAGAACGATCCAGTCCCTAAAAGCACAATTGGAGCAACGGGAACTCGCTTGCCTAATGGCCACACAGGTGTGATACGCGTGTCACTCATGGTCGCTCATCCAAGGAAAACCACCTAGTGGTGCATTGGATCGTTAAATTATGTATTTTTTTTTTTTAGCAAATAGATGTGATGGTCAAAAAGGCACGAAGTCTCGTTTTGGATGAAGAGCCAAAAAACTCACGGAGTAGTTCCATTCAAATGCATTCAGATGATGGTGAAGACTGTAGTCAGAATAATACATTGATAGTAGGCTTTTATGCACATGATACCATTCAAAAAAACTTGAATCGAATAAATGTTAACGTTTAGGTTATTCGTTGATGTTTTAAATATCAACCTTTTCAGAACACCGATGAGAATGCACATCTAAATACCATTTCAAAAAGTATGAGTATGGACTATGATGACGGATATTTCAGGACATACAGTCATTTTGCTATCCATCATGAGATGTTAACGGTATATCCCATCATAATTCTACCGATTATAAAATAATTATTCAAAAATTACAAGAAATATTTTACTAGGATAAAGTACGAACTGAAAGTTATCGTGATGCATTACTAATGAACTCGAATAAGATCAGTAATTGTATAATGCTGGATGTTGGATGTGGCACTGGCATCCTATCCATGTTCGCAGCAAAGTCAGGCTGTCGTAAAGTGATTAGTGTTGACCAATCAGAAATTATATACCATGCAATGGATATTGTGAGGTACGTTGCCAATTGGCTCAGTTAATAATACATATTCTAAGTTTCTAAAAATTGCTTTCAGGGAGAACAATCTCACGGATATAATAACGCTCAAAAAAGGTAGACTCGAAGACATTGAATTTCCTGAAGAAAAAGTCGATGCAATCGTGTCCGAATGGATGGGATATTTTTTACTATTTGAAGGCATGTTAGACACTGTGATTTATGCAAGGGACCATTATCTCTCACCTGGAGGGGTGCTTTTGCCAAACAGGTGTACGATTAGTATCGTGGGAAGTGGAGATACAAGTATGTACTTGCACTTGCCAATTAAAGAATTAAGCAGATAGGTCAGGTGAAGTATCCTGATTTTGTCTAATAATTAATTTTATCACTATTCCAGAACGCTACGTAGATTTAGTGGATTACTGGTCAAACGTTTACGGCTTTAAAATGAGTTGCATGAAGGCAGAGGTGGTGCGAGAACCAAGTATTGAGATCTGCAATGCTCAACATTTAATAACCAGCGTAGCTGAAATTCAGTCCTTCGACCTGTACACGGTTTCCACGGACTGCGTGAATTTTTCAACTACGTTCAACTTGACAGTAAAGAAAACCGGTCCACTCACTGCAATTATTGGGTACTTCGATGTGTTCTTCGATTTGGACAATCCCGTTCACTTTAGTACCGGACCTCACTCACCACCTACCCATTGGAAACAAACTGTTTTCTCATTAAGTGAACCGATAAGTATTACAGAAGGTAATTAAACAGTAGACCTATTAAATTCTAACCATAACAATGGGTTGCAGTTATTCCATTTTTCCTTGATTTTTACGTTCCAGGTGAGATACTGACAGGGAAATTAATTTGCAGTAGACACATGAAGGACATACGAGGACTCATAATAACCATTCAGATAAAAAATGTCAGTCAAGTCTACCACTTGGATTAAGTACGAAAAGCTCAGAGAATTACATACATTTAACCCTTTCTTACCGAGATGTCAGAAATGACATTAGAAAATAAATGATCATGTTTTCGGTAATTGCATATTTAAGTAGATGAAATTCCACGCAGTCGATAGCAAGAGACAATAAGCAAGTACTAACGCTAGTTTTCTATTTTTCGAGTAAAATGATTAAATCACTAGGAGAATATTTGTAGACTATGGTTTTTTTTTCATCATAGTTTAAGGGGTTCCCCCCCCCCCCAAATAACCTCTACGCATTATTACCACGCGTACTTCGTTCGACGAAGTATCTCCACTGAGAATATTAAACGATTCTAGGTGCAGACGTAAAAGATGTCTGCATTAACGATTGCATTTATGTATGACTTATATACACGTGCGTGCTAGATTAATTATCGACGCGTACAGGCTCTTCCAGTATTAAAAAAAAAAAAGAAAAGAAAAGTGAAGATCAGCTCGCATTGGTTACAAGGTTTCTTGAAAATAACGAGCTTGAGCTCTCCTTAGGATTGCGTCGCACATTAGGGCTTACCGAGTTCAAACTTTTTAAGCTCTACTTAACGTAACTTAAGCCGAATTTATCCCACAATAAGTCGCCAATATTTAATCGATCGCACTTAATCGATATAATCGGATGCTGGGAATCGAACTTCCATGAAAGGCCAGAACTTCGATGCCAGTTTTCTCAGAGACCAGTTTTGCACAATCAAAGATCAACGATCGACAGTTTATTTCGAAGGGTGATATTAAAAGATGAACTTAGGCTGCATGTAAATTCGTCGCCATTGGCAGTAACCGAATGTATTCCTCAGAGAATCGTTATTCTTCACGATTTGATGGTAAACGTCGTTAGGTGAAGCCTCATCTTCAAGAGGAATGCATTCCGTAATTGCTCAGGTGAATGAGATAAAATGTTACGTCCCTAATAGTGATCTTAGATATTTACAGTAGGATGAAATCGTACCGATCGATCGCCGATTACTTGTACGATCGGACTTGAGAACGATGAGGCCTCTTTTTTGCTCATCTATCACAATGTATATTCTATCTCGATCTGTCGACGCTATTCTACACCGATCTTCCGCCTTGCACAAAAGTTCAACGCTTTTTCTTAAAAAATATATATATATATATCTTATCACATATACACGTACGTATTATATAAAGTTCTCTATTAAGTAAACCTGCAGACCGCACCAATGGCGGTGGCACACTCTCCGACATTTAGTGCCACCGATGCTTCCATAGTGAAACGTGTGATTCACAATTAATATTCTGTGATATAGGAGGTCTAGCAACGGCGCAATAAATATAATCCGTAATTGGAGCATCTCGAAAAAAAAAAAAAATAAATCGTTGCGCCGCAATTTTTTAAATAAGGTCCTCGACTGCCGGTCGCTAGTTGAGTCTTAAACGAAGTACGTTTGTAAAACTACTTACGTAGTACTGTAGCGCGACTATATGATTACGAAATAAAAACTTTACAGGCTTTACCGTGTACGCTTGTGCCTCCTGACATTTCCCGATTGAGGCTCGCATTCAACGGCCACCGATATAGAAACTTTACTCCTCGAGTCCTAACGTAGTACTACAAGCTATCACAACATACGCCTCTTATTAACAATTAATAATACAAAAATATTTCTCCACCGGCTCCCTCGGACATTAAATAGCATTCTCAGTCAATCCTCGAACATCTCGTTCGACATTAATGTCGGGAAAACCGAACGATTCTAAGTACGTAATACGTCTATTTGCCGAGCGATAGGACTATACACTCCGCTTGTCTCTACTGTATCACATGAGTTGCTCCGTTTGAATATTGCATTCAAGGAAGGTTCGACATTCCAGTGACTTTCGGTGTTACAATCGCATGACCAGCTGGCCTGTACAAACTGTAAAAAAAAAAAAAGAAAAAGAAATAGTGGACTCGGTCCACCGCAGCTCCGATAAACTTGACTTCCAGCGCGCCGATTGCACAGGCCTACCATTCGCACCGAATTTAGAGTATTCCGCTTAACAATTCAATCACGTGGCCGTCCTCATTTATTGTCGGAAATTTGGATTGTCAGTCTGCCATCCTTTCGCGTTGGGGCCGAATTGGTAGACGAGACGTCGGCCGAGAACCGGCAGGAATATCTTGCTCTTGTAGTAGTATCTACAAGCGCAGATCCACGTTACACCTTTCCATAAAAAAAAAAAGACAGTATAAAGTACTGTAAAATTAAAAAAACTCACCTCATGGCGCGACTCAGCTTCTCGTAAGTCATCTTCGTGTTTCCTTTCCGCGAGCCCCATCGCTTGGCCACCTCGTCGCTTCTGACGAACCGAAATTTCGCCTGAGAGTAGTCTTCCCAGCAGATTAAGCTCGGACACGTTTCCCGGTTCCGTAAGAGGTCCCTGATGAACTCCCACAGTTTCCCTTGGCCCTTGGCTGAAAGCGAAAAAATAAAGAATACCGTAATAAATTTAAAATGAAAATATTCACCACCGCTCCAAGCATCTTTCGGCGTTCCTTCACTTACGAGCTTTCTTTTGCTTGTACCCTCGAGGCCTTCCACTGGCGCGCCTCGTTGAAAGTTCGACACTGTTCTCCGACTCGGCGTCTGCAAAAGGATAAAGAAAAATCACATATTACGTCTCCACGGCCTAAAAAAAAAAAACAGAGATAAAAAATGGAAGCTCGACCGCGAAGACATCGACGAAATCGAGTGTCCGGGGAAACCGACGAAATTAGGCAATCAGAAAAGAAGGAGAGACGTCCACAATGAATGTCGCCGGCTACCCGAGGCATCCGACGCAGCATCCGGCAGCGCGTATACCCACACCGGGTATTTCTTAAAATATCCCGCAATATTTTAACATACGACACAATCGGAGGGGCGTCAAGAGCCGACCAGTGCTCACCGGAAATACTGCTGGAGTTGACTCTGGTGAACTCATCCTCGGACAGCGGGGCGATGGTATCGAAAGGTGGCACTGAAATGCAAATCGAGCGTCATTATCAGGACCGTAAATCGCAACGACCATCTCAGGATAAAACTCTCGTAATTAACGACTACATACGCAGATTGGAGGCATACTGGGAGTGCAGCAGGTCGTAAAGTCTCTCCCCGTATACGGGGTCGTGGGCGATGAAGTTGTCCCTGCTGAGGGCTATCAAATCTCTCCCAGGAATGGCGAGACTGTTCTGGATGGAGCTGTAGGGCTGCTCCATGTGAGTGGCCGCGGACATCAGCCAGTTTATCGTCTCCTCCTGGCTCCAGTCTCTGATGGGTTTGTCGAACCATCCGGCACTGTCGATCACCTCGTCGTCGAAGAGGTCGTCTCCTGCGGCAATCAATCCCGTTAAATAACTATTCCAATCGCAAGAATACCCTGCAAAATTCCCGTAAATCGGCCGACTAGCCGATCGCAGTTTAATCTCTACCTAGTGAGAATTTCTTGTGCGTCGCCTCGTACATGCCTGGCACGGGAAGGGAGTTCTGCTGCAAGGCTATCGAGTCCATGTCCATTATGATGTGGTCAGTCTCGTCCCGGTTGAGAATCGCGAAAGCCGAGTACACCTGCAGGCAAGTAATTCTCGATCAGCACCATAAATATTGCAACATAACGTCGGAACAACCAACGAGAATTTAATTCCCTCAAGGAGGTCCCAACTCACCTCAGACATCTCGTTAATGTAATTACTCAAAAAGGCGCTCATGTTTCCGGTTGCGGATCGGCGCGTTCCCGAACCTCCTCGTTATACGTAACAGCGCGCGCTTATCATGAATCCTCTTAACATGAAATAATAACAGCCGTACACTGGAGTCCGATTCACATTACGCGAGTACAGTTCCCTCTCGTAGTTCCCACTAATTACGCGAGTATTACGTGCACCAATTACGTAGACGTTTGTTTATCCGTTACGACGGGGCCGTGGGTGCGTAGTGGATCATCGAAATTCGCGCCGCTTGTCTCTCGAAGCGTCCGCCACGTTCGCCGGTCGCAGCGAGAATGTCGACTCGGAGAGGGAGATCCGCCGGCGAGCAGGTTGCCGGGAAATTCCCGCTCGGCGGTCTCGACCAATCGTGACTCACTGACGCAAGCTGGGTGTTTTATTTAGGCATTCCGCGTCTGCGACGCAGGCTTCTGCGAGGGGCATACCCCGCGGGACTCTGCGGTTTTAAATAAAACGTTAAAACCCGAACGAAGTTGTCCATGGGTGATAAGCGGTCTGCGCGAGATCTAACCTAAACCTAACCTGAAACGCGGTGACGAAATTCCGTCGGGGCATCTCCGAGTCTTTACGAGGTGTTTCCATCGTTTCCATTGTTTCCAGTCCGATTAGCGGGACGATCTTGACCGGACGGGGAGGCGTTTATTTTTGACTCGCGTCCTCTGGCTTCGAAAATCCGCCCGGGACCAAAATGGCGGAACTCCGATCGACCGGTTCGTGATTCACGGCGGGGGTAATTCGAGATTACGTACCGCCTGCGCACATCGCCAGCAATTAGCGGCCTCGTAGATTATTCCGGAACGTCGACGGAGTTTCTTCACGCGGTATTCCTCAACGAGGATGGGAATTCAGTCCTGAACATTCGAACAGGAAAATCGGGGGAGTTTTCCCGCCCGTCGGTTTGACGCGCACGCTTCGCGCGCACCGGCCTCGACCAATCAGGAGCGTCGGCGCGGCGCGCCGACCAATCACGTGGCTCGAAGATCCGCGATTCCCTCGTTTGAATATGCCGATCGAGAGACCCTTATTTTCGTTTCTCTCGTTCGAAAATAGAGCATCTCGATCGCGGAGGAATTCAGGGAAGAATCCACGAGACGATACTGCGCAACGGATTCCGAAGAGGATTTAAAGATCCGTCCGATTATCGCAGAAAATAACCTCGCCGCTTAAAGGCAGGGCCGAACCGGACAGGCCGGCCCGGGATTTTCCCGCATTTCGCGCCGACCAATCGTAGCCCCTAACTTGTCCCGTTGGCGAATCGCTGACACAACCTCGCCGACTTATTTATAAACTCTGTATCTCGAGCGCACACACCGCCCGAGGTGGCGTTCCACGACCGTGGCCGCGCGTGCGACGATATCACGTAACCACCACAAGTGCGATGAATGAATCAACGCGCAGGTAAAGAGGGGTTAATAAGGTACGATTTACAAACGTTTACGAAGCCCCCATAGCGAGGGAGGTTCACTTTCTGTCATCCAGGTAAACAAGGGATCGCATTCTCCCAAGGGGCGATTACGAATGCGCATTATCATCGCGAGGCATGTAAACGTCATAGTAATATTAAAAAAAAAAGTAAATAAAAAACTCAATATCTATGCGTCTACAGAACCCGATTACCATTCGTCATCTCATCCCGCACTGCCGACATCCATTAATCATAGATCCGGCGGCAGGAAGGAAAAGGGGAAAAAAATCACACTGCGCTAAGATTATACAAGATATCTCTCGCGTGGAATAACAAGGATTTAGAAGCTCCTGAAATTGGCGAGCTCGGGCTAACCGGTTTATCCGGCAGAAGTGCACTTTTCGCAGAAGAGAAAACGAGACGTCGACGCAACCGACGCGCCGTGATTCACGTCGACGTTCTTATCCGCGCCAGCGTGTTTACTCCCGGGAGTAAATACACTCCACTCGTCTCTCGGCCATTTGGAGTCGTCCATTCGGGCTACTTTTTGCGAAACCCCGATACCCTGGACTCGTAATCGCGATCGCATGTATTCTTAGCCGGCGAGCGATTCGATGACGTGCACAGCTGACGTCATCTGCCATTACCGTCCACTTGAAATGCGATGCAATTGCGACGACGTCATCCGCCCCTTAGCGCCGGAATTAATTCTACGCTCTCTGGGCGCTCTCGTGATTTATTCCTAATTTTCTCGCGTGCGCATCAAGTCACGTTCCAAGTGAAACTCCAATCCCGCGGAGGAAAGCGTCGACTTTTTTCACGCTTACCCAATCCCAGAGAGGAAAGCGTTGCTCTTTTTCTTCTGGTGGTTACCCGGTAGACTTGCGGAGCCGACCGGAAAGGCGATGAGAAACGAACTCGTCCAGACCAGGATGGTGACCAGGAATTCCTACCACATCCGCATAGCGGGGAAAAAGAAGAATTATATTAATAATCAAAGTATTACCGGGGTACATTTCCAAAGCCCCGCCTTTTGTCCCGATTCCGTGGGAATCCGAATGCATGGAAACGACTCGAGAGCTATTCTTAACGCCGATTCTTTTATTTTTTTTTTTATCCACCGGCGGTGCCGAAAACTCGGAATCTAGTCAAAAAGCTGCTCAAAGAGACTTACGTCGTTGCGGGCGGCTCGTTGCTCTAGTTTCGTGGATTTCACATTGAACAAACGGAGGAATAGCGAGGGATAGGGTGAAAGTGTCGAAAAATGAATCTGCCCTCTTTTGATTGACCGATAATAATCCACGATTCGTCGTGGCGACTCCGTGTACGAGGAAAATCGTGTCCGATAGTAAAGAGAGGCGCCGATTGGTCGGATCGCTCAGGTCACGTGTGTCGAATCGCGTGAGTCATGCGACGAATCACCGGAGGAGCATTTCGCAATTTAAATATGGCGGTTCTTTTGTCCACGCGCGGTTTCCCGCCCGACCCACGTGCCCGCTCTTCACGTGTCGAGATGATAGCCGCGTGAACCGACACGCTGCATAACAGGATATAAAGCTACACGTGGTCCGGAGATGCGCGAGGAATTAAAGAAGACGACCCTAATTTGTTTAACGCAGAGATATAAACAGCAACCTTGATCCCTCGGTAGACCTCCGCAGTTTCGACGTCTCGGTTTCATTAAATTTTCTTAACTCGCTGTTTACTCGGAGGATTGTGTTTGTGACCACCGGCACACTTGCGATGAACGTACACACGTAATTACGTAATTAAACCATCGGTCATAATGTCGAACCTACCGAGTTGCTTATGATAGTATCTTCGTTTCTGCTTTAAAAGTGGTGGGATGTTCGGCAAAGGATTGGGAAGATTTGGTGTACTCACTCCTCGCACTCACTTTGAAGTCCCTCCGTAGTTCTAAATTGATTGAACATGGAATTTTAGCGAATGAGGGAAGAGTATTAAACATGTATTACAATAAATTAGTTGTCTATTGTCATACTTGCCGAAAGGATCGTACCGTGGACTATGTACAAAAGATGATTCTTGTATGTAGTACAGGATGGGAAGTGAACAAAAAAAAATTCAGCTAGTCTCATCGTTCGCAGTCAACCTTATCTGTTACTATAAACATATTTACATATTATTACAGCGATGTTGCCTACTTTCTGTGCTCGTCGCAGGCTATTTGCGAGGCGAGATTAGCGAATTTCGCCATGTAATCTACACTGTTCTCGCCCATCAGTCCTTGCATTTGCGATATGACCTGTAAACATTAAAGCGATATGGAGCAACGAATCAATAAGATTATATTTTCCGTATCTTGCAAGCCCACTAGGTCAAAGACTCTAGGAGCGATAATACCAATATTTGTTCGTAAATTTCAAGACAAAATTCCTTACGTCAGACGATGGGCGGATGTCGTCTACTGAATGGGCTCCTATATGGCTACGCTGCGACACTTTAATGGGAGAATCGAGCTGGCCTAAAAAGCTGCTCAATGAAAAATCTGCAACCTGAAAAAATATACCCTTGTTACGAATTAAGATTACAATGAATAAATTACTTATCTTAAATGTAATAATACTTATCTTTGTAGGAAATTGATTTTACGTAAACTTACCTCACTGTTCAACCATTGATGTTCGCCTTCCTTGAGAATTTGCGTAGCACTCGTAATGATTGAATTGGAAGGTTTCGCTTGATCTCCGACAGCCAAGACCTCTAGGAAATGTTTGTCTTGTGATCCGTTTGTTTCTGACTCCGGAGCTTTGCTGCTTTCTCTGATAGTACTGTTCAAAATATCCACTGTTTCACTTGGTGCACTTTTCTCCAAAGGTACTGCAGCATCGGACACCAATGGCAATACTCGTTGCACAACAAGACTTCGTTGTCTGACCGTTCTCCCCTTCTTGCAGAAACGAGTCTTGAATTTCTAAAGAAAATGCGCAATTAAACATGATTTATTTAAATACCGCATTACTCTCATTGGGAATACAAGGCTTACGTCTAACTGAGTTTTGAAAGCATCAGGTCCGCCAATTCTATGATAGGCTTGAGGAATTAGAGGTCGTCTGAACGTGGATTCCTTGGTGGAAGGTATTCGCGAAGAAATGACTGTTTCGTTACTTCCAGAAGTATTATCGTAACCCTAGGCAAAAAAATTGACATATAATATAACGTAACATTATAACAATTAGAGAAAAATAATTTTTCAATACCTTGCTTGTGCCATAACTATGTCTAGCAATGGACAGCAATTTCTGTAAGGCCAGGCACAAACTATTGTCGTGTGTTGTACTAATTACTTTTAACTTCTCCGATGATGATAGATCTTCTCGAGGAGAGGAATCCCACCAATATTCTAGACTGATTTTTGAATCACGTCCAAACTAATAAATAAATATATTTGTATGAATAAAATGTGAATAATTTAAATTATATAATAAAATGATTATACTTCAAAGATACCATTAAAAAGAGGTCTCCGACAGTGATGGTGTTTGCTTCCTTTACTGTCCATCCTAATTTAATCCTGTTAATGGTTTCCCTACCAGGAAATCTGTTAGGCTCGCATACTTGTTCTGACGTTGACTTTTCTATGTTACTTACAACTGATGGTTTTTCGGAAACACTTAAACCTGGTTCTGCTATGTCTAGGTCACTGTTATTGTCGGGCGCTATTAATTGATCATCCGTTTTGTTAGGAATCCTTTTGTCTATTTTTGAGCGTTTTATTCCTTTTTTTCCAACACTTTTTAAATGCTGTACTGTGCCTAGTAACTCAACTCTTGAACTTTTAAGACCAAAACGCTTTTCATGAGAATTTAAGCTGACGCTGTTACTAGTGAGGTACTCTCCGAGGTTTACAGCTGGCAGGGCAATTTTGCACCCATCAGGAGGTGCGACTCGAAGTAATCTGGTATCCTTCGATTCACCGTTAATTTGATCTATGTTTGTACACTGCATAATAATGTAAGGATTTAATATTAATTTACTGATCGATGAAAAGTAAGATTTTTTAAGCAGTATCTTTCAAGGATACGGTTCTATACTTGACAGGTCTCCATCGTTGCTGTAGAAATATCAATATACTCGATAACCGGCGCTGAATTGGAACAAGAGTTCGAACCCTGGGATTCATAGCATTCGCCTGCACCTGCCACCATGCCATATTATTACCCGGCCGTAATTCTATCATCACTCTAGGTGGGAGTTTAATTTCCTCCTGCCAGTCTAAAGTTATTTGGTCATTTATATGATGTAACATTTTCTTTCAAAAATATACCCATGTAAAATATTAATGCACAATTACCTTCCAATTGATTTAATTTTCTTAATGCTCGACAGATCGGGGTCTTAATCCTCATAGTTTTTCCACGGAGCCGTACTTGCGTAGATCCCCAATAAACTAGTTCGTTTAACTTCAAATGAACTTTTTCATGTATACGAGGAAGTTTCCTTCTTAGTTCTCCATAATTAATTAATCCATATAATTCCTGAGATGCTTTTTTAACATCTGTAGACAATGTTTATGAAAAGCTTCTGGTACATTAATTTATATCCAATGTAGAATATTCATACACACCATCCGAGAATTTTAAGTGTTTTGATATTTTCAACCAAGTACGATAATAAAAATGGCGAATTTGTTCTTTGTTCTTGATCATATTATCTGAAAGTCCTCTTTTCTTTCCTTGGCTCAAAAAATAACTTTGCATGGCATCGAAGTCTTTTCCAAATTCATTTATTGCTTTGAAGAAGGTATTCTTGTCTTCCATTGACCATAACTCGCAAGACCGCTTAAGAGACTTCACTATTTTTGCCTCGGCGTTATCATCTTCCTTTAATTCTAAGAATATGAAACGAATTTATTCAAATTCATCCGCAAACAAATCTACATAACTGAAAAGGTCTCATGGAATATTTGTCAAACCTTTCTTTTCATTTATCTGGATTCCATCTCCAGAGTCAACTCTCATTTTTTTCGTTCCACGTACAATGCGAACCTGTACATTTCTAGAATCTGTTGAACTCTTTGCTTCGGATATGGGGAGACCACTTTGAGACAGCAAAGCATCTTCTTTTTTAACGTTAGTACAAGTTGCTTGATTGTCAGAGTCCTCAGTTTTTGCAGTGGTCTCCATACTGCACAACACCTCTGGATATCTTCATCTACTCCAAACTAATTTTAAACCGTACTTGAAGGTTATCACAGACAAGACGTTCACAATTCCGTAATTCTAGCAAATTGCCTGCAACAAAATACCCTACATAACCATCACACATTCAGCGTTAAAACTTAACATAAAACTAAAATAAATTTGTCAAGGGGAAGTTTAACTACCTTAATATTTTTGTAGTGTAATGTCTCCATTCGATATTATGCAAATAGTCATACTACTCTTCAGGGTTAAAATTATTCTTTGCAAAAGCTCTAATTCGTACCTAACCTTAAACAACTATTTGCGACTTGACAATTTTCCAAAGTTTACAAGACTAGTTGCCAACAAAGAGTAATAAAGTAATAGAGAGTGTCCATACCTCGCGTTTCTTAAACATGGAGTTGCCACGCAGTAGCTCTGCAACGAACCTCTTCCATATCTAAAATGGATATGTTTCTACACCGTCCTTTCACAGCGATTAAGTTCCGCCATGTTGATGGCTCTTTAACAATGGCGATGTCTTTAACCCCACTTCTTGCAAATGGCGGTTTATAAAGTTCTCGACACCTGTCGCCATCTCTTAATTGCTTCAAATCGCTAAATTTCTATGAAATAAAAATGATTGTAAAAAATGGGATGAAAATAACGAGTGCGTCGCGATTGCGACCATCGAAAGAATATCCCTGAGAACTACATATCAAAGTTGATTTTACTGCATCAAGGGCCACCAAGATCTGCAACGATACTGTGTTTTGCAATAATTATCTTTAAATCTTAACAACCCTAGAGACGGTGATGGTGCTTGGAAAATTTTGAATGCCACCAAGGATAAAAGTATTCATTCGATGAGCACGCCGGGGTGGACTTGCAAGCTATCTCCGACGCCAAAGAACGACTCAAAGATGTTTTTGCTCGTCACACTATGTGCTTCTGTTAGTCTCATCATTCTTTTCTATTGGTACAATATGTTGTGGTGCTTCTTCTATGGATCCCTTACGATATCTTGTTGCTTCTGCGGTACGCTACTCGTAGTCTTGATTCACATTGCTTTGTCACCGAGACATCAAACCGGAGCTGGAACTGCGAAGACCATTGCAGAGATGGATGCATTCCGTAATATGCTAATGGTCGGTTTGTTTCTTGAAATTGGTCACATTATCTGCACGATTCTGATAGTTCTTAATTAACTTGTGAAACTGTCAATGCATCTTGTTATTTCATATTCCAGAAAGGCTACGAGCCCAAACCTCTGAATGACAGAAAGCACTCACGTTACCCTGTTATCTTTACGAGGCTAGTCGATGGAGCCTTGCAGAATCTTCTTGACTTGATTTTCAGAGATTTTGTTGGCTTCTGGTTAGATGATCTAGCCTTTGATCCAAAGCAGATCATAGATAATATGAAACAAGATATCTGGGGAGCTATTCAAAGTCTACACGAACGATTATCGCGTGTAGATCATGCCAAGCTTGTAGCCTGCAGCATCGTTAACAAAGTCACGTTTCATTTCGAGAAAATCAGAATCGCACAAGCTGCTGTGTAAGTTAATAAGCAATTATTATATGAATAAATACACTCCTCATTAATCTTGATTGAACTTACAGATCGGAAGGAGAGGACCCAGTTTTTATTTTATCGGCACACCTTATGTCAAGTACAGCAGAATTGGAGTACCTGAGAAAAGTCAGCGAATTGTGTATCATGTTCTTCTTACCTCGAAGTTATTCCCTTTCACTATCAAAATTCCTCCTGCGAGAAGTAATCGCATGTAAAAGTCAGTATAATTTTTTCAACCTGTCAACTGTGGTAACACTTATTCAACTCCAATAATTCTTTCAGTCCTCAAACCTGCCATCGATTTAATAACGGATCCCGATTATATCAACCAAAAAATTCTACTCTACATAGAGCAGCAACAGTTAACGGAAGCTATGCATAGAAAAACTTATGAGTATGCCGAGTCATTTGAAGACTTTATTTGTATGATACGGAGCTCAAAGGACCTGGAGGTTCTAAAGCACATCAGATACAATATCGTAACCGAAATCATGCAAGCAACAACTGTACAGAATATAAAAAGGAGTCAGGGATTAGATCCAGAAAACAATGCTTTCAGCAAGTGCGATGGGACCCAGGCTAGAAAACTAAAGAGGTACATTAGTCAATTGACGTACGCCAAAAATACATGCGAATCTCAAATGCAAACATTAGGCTGGGACGGGTGTCCGATTCAGGTAAATTTTTAGGAATATAAAAGAACGAGATTAATGGCACCTGTCAATAAAATAAATTTTTTCTGGATTTTCAGGAAAGTGACATATCAGATCCTACTGCCATTGCGGAGGGAAGAGTCTTGCCACTGCAGACGATCCTGGACAACGTGACAGGACGCCGATACCTATCTCAATTCTTGGAGCAGGTCTCCAGTCAGGGTCTTATTGGATACTGGGCAGCGGTTCAAGAATTAAGGGCCTCCGAGAGATCTAACTGGCACCAGCTGGGCGCTGAGATATTTTACACTTATATTCGATCTCCTACCGCGGAGATTAAAGTCGACAAGAATGTCAGGAAGAGAATGGAGAGTTTCCTCCTCGGTGACAAGGGTCCTGATGTCTTCTACGAGGTGCAGGAGTCCGTCGTCAAGACGATCGAAGAGAAGTACTATTCCTCCTTCCTAGTTAGCGAGCAGTATAAGAAGATGCAAGAAGCACTGCTGAGTGAGAGAGCTGATGGTTAGTTCTCATATTTTCTAACTTGCTTTCGTTGGTTCTCTTTCTCTCGACCGATTTAACATTGATAATTTTGCTGTTTTCTTTCCATCGTCAGACGATAGTAAGTCAACTCTCTTCGTTCCGTAAATAATTAAATTCCTCGCTTGTCTAGTTACAGTTTGAAGCTTTTATGTCAGCTTTGCAAAATTTATCACTTCCTATAGCTTATAAAATATTTATTGTAATACTCTTCTTCCTTTAATTAGTTTTGAGATTATCTAGTGTCACTTGCTTCTAGGCGTCACTTTCTATTGATTACTGATCACATTTCTGATTTTCCACTCGATTAACAAATCTTTCTGCGTCACGTTTCACATGAGGAAATAAACAAATCAGGTCTGTCGGAGGATCGACAGTCGATCGATGGAGCCATCTCTGAAACCGCAGCCCTACTCGTCGTCGAACATTCCAACTACGCTCGCAGCAAGTTTGATCAACTACAGGAGAAGCTTAACAACAAGATGCAGGCTCTTCAAGCTCTCAAATCCTCTCTGAAGCCGGAGAGTCGAGTCTTGAGCATCTTAGCGAAGGAAGTCGAGTGGCTGCAAGGAGAGAAAAGACAGCTCGAGGCACATTTGAATCATACCGAAATGTGGGCAGAACATTTGGGTCACTGGAGGGCGGACGTCCAGAGTGCGGAAGTCAGTGGTGAACAATCCTGCTAGTTGGTTTTTTTATTGTCAACCCGTTAAAAAAATGCAGTGCCGAGAACGACAATCGTCAGATTCCAGATAACGGGGACTCTCCTCAGTTCGTTCTTGTGGTTCACATGGCGGAGGACGAGGGCAACTTGGAGAGCATCTCCACAGGATGGGTGGTTCTCCGCAGGCTGCCAGAATTTCAAGAGCTTCATCGAAAGCTGCGACAGCTTTGCTCCAATGTTAAGAATCTTGAGCTTCCCTCGCAACCCATCAAGTTCTTTGGCAAGTCTGACAAAAGCACCTTGGACAAGGCTAAGGTCCAGATACAGAAATACCTGAACGTAAGTCGGGTAATTTAACCTCATAGTCAAAGCTGTGACTCAAAGAATTCTTATAATCGTGTATGTTATTTATAGTTTGTCCTGGAAGATGAGAGACTGAATCAAAGCGAAGCTCTTTATGCATTTCTAAGTCCTAGCTCGGAGCATCTGAAGCACACTGCTCCGTCCCCCAAGAAATCTAGATTTTCCTTATCGACTCTATTTAAATCGTAAGTGACAGAGGGACTTTAACCTTACAAAATTTCATTTTGAACGTCCTAAATTTATTTGTTAGATCCAGTGGTAGTGGAGATTCACGAGAAAGAGATGAAGAAGAGGACTACTCGTTGTTGCTAGATGACAACGAGTCAGGTCGCACTGTAACCGATGGTTACTTGGGCCCTGGAAAAGATGCTATCGCAGAGCCTCTGTATGCACTCTTGGGAGAAGTCTTCGATCTTAGAGGAGTGTTTCGATGGCTCAGGCGATCGTTGATCACCTTTGTGCAAATCACGTATGGAAGAACAATAAATAGGTCGGTATGAAAAATTATTTAAAATCAAATGGCTTTAATTGATATGACTTGGTATTTCCTCAGGCAAGTTAGAGATAGCGTAGCCTGGATATTTTCCGAGCCCATGTTGCACTATTACATTCAATTATTTACAAAATCCTGGTGGCCTAACGGTCAACTGGTCGCGGCTGTAGTCACTCGAACGGATGAAGAAAAGTTGAAAACTAGAGGGGAGGCTCGAAGGCAGTTTCTCAACAACGTACCTGATGTACTGACGAACCTGGTGGGAGCACAAAGTGCTCAACGTGGCGCTATTAAAGTATTTGACACTTTACAGAACGTAAACCTAAACAAGCAGCTATTCTATGTGAGTCGCTTAGTTATACCTTATCGCAACAGCCAGACGATTAATCTTTATCGTAACTCAATTTTCAGGACATATTTGAGGTATTGATGTATGAAGTCTTTCCAGAGCTTCAACACAAGTAACACTGCTTACATTTAAACCAGCCAATGTATAAAAGACGAACAGGATTATAAAGACTATTTTTTTACATTTTCGAATATTCCATTGATAACAGAAGTTTACTAGTGAGTATTGAATGTTCACTTTCTCGGTTAGGTTAGGTTAGCATACTCGACATCTTTTACTCGTTATTAGGCCTAACATCATCTTGCAGTGTATCGATTTATTTCTTAAAACGGACAACATAAACTCGTAACAATGACTTACCACACGCCCTTCGGGGTGAACCAGCAGTATTAAACTTGGACCAACCCTCGGGTCGAACTCAACAGGGAGGACGATTCTGGCATTCTGATTAATAATCCGTGAATAATGAACACTGCTCTCCCGATCGACATACAGGTTACTTCAAAACGTGACGAGTATCAATTATTACTAGTACTAAAAAAAATTATTGTGGATTCATTATACTGTGTCTTTTAGGTTAGAATGGGCACGTTCGATAGGTCTTCACTTAAACCGTCTACAGGGAGTCTGGTCAGAAATATTTTATATACAAGTCAATTTTTCCTGCAGTGTAGTTTCGATCGTTATTCCTATTGAATGAATGTTCAAATAACAATGAGGTGCTAACTACCAAAGACATCAGTGGTGACTTATCGCAATTTATTCGTTGTACTATTGTTTCGTACCTCTGATTTGTTACAGATAGGATTTTATATAAAACTTGTTTAGTTGTATCTCCTTGTTAATTTTTCTTCGTAATTTGAGGTCATTTAAACCGTGTCTTACGATGTGCCTGCACCTAATTTAGGTTATCGTTACTGAAAAGAAAGGTATTCGAGTGGCTAATGTCCAGCGAACTGTGCAAAATAGGAGCGATTTATTCCCGAATTCAACAGCAATCACTGTCGTTTCTTTACTCCGTGTTCAATCGAAGCGGTTAATGTTCTAGCCCTGTCCTATGCGCGTAAAACTATTTTATGAACCGAGTGACTATAATCTGTTGATTAGTAATAAGTTGCAGTAGAATAAGGCATTTATCTATTATGGAACTCTATCTCGTTACGAGGAGGTACGTCGGCAAGGAGCCTCCTAGTGTTACGATCAGCTGTCAATGTACCATAATTGTGCAATGTGTTCGATACGTTCAGGTGAAATAAAAATACTCAAGGAAACTGATCGGTTTGTCCCTATCAATGAGTAGTTGAATCAAGATCATTACATAGGATACAGAATATTTTATTTCTGCGCCATGCGAGGCAACATGGCGCACAAATACGTTTAAACAATCTTCTAAAAGTACTTGCAACTCCTATACAAATAGTACAATATAGTGTCATCCCTTATGTTACAACCGTAGTAGTAATTAAACATAGCGATACATACGTTTATGTACACATGTATAACATTAGACTGGTTTTGGCACCGAGACAGTACGAATACGAGATCATATAGAAAAGACTCGCCCTCGGAGGAGCTTCTTCACATTTTCTCTTTCTCACTCTCGCTCTCACTTGCTCTCGTTATCTCTTTCTTTCTTCTCTCTCTCTCTCTCCCGTTCGAAATTAAACGAATTATTACTTTATTAATTTATTGATCGAGTGAACGTTTATTTTTTCTCTCAGGGTTCCTCGACTTCCGCCATCGAAAGGGGACGAGGAGAAACAAAGAGCGGGCAACTCTGTCGGCTCTTGACATTAATTGACCTATGACCTAATCGAGTCGGTCCTCGTAAGTAATGAGAATGACATAATTAATGAATTACCGTACGTATACCTAACACTTAGGACGATAATTGCATCGCGCTTTTGCCCTCCCTCGACTTGTCGTTTGTCCGACACTTAGACTGTCCCTCGGTGATTGAAATTAATTTTTTTTTCTCTTTTCTCCTTCCAAGGGACACTTTAAGACCCGAGCAAACCGGAAAAGGAGAGACGGCGTCGTCGAACGTCTTCGATATAACGCATCTCTGATATCTTTTCTTTATAATACTTCCTCGTGGGGTAGGAACACTGTAATAGTGGTAGTAATAATAACGTTAACGGTCTGCATTTTATACGGTGTCTAAATAGGCTTACTTGGTCGGTTCATCTGAGCCCTGAACTTCGCAAGGAACCCTCGTCGCTTGGTTCGTAAAAATAGACATTAATAGTGGAGAACAAGGGTCGCTCCTTTACTCGCTAAACCGGCCCTAAAAAACCGTCCAGGCTTGACCCTTTATTTAATAATTAAGTCCCACGCCGATCTACTCGGGAATTATCACTCGAAAATATTTTCTGCCACACTCTCGAGGGTTCTCTCTCGGACTAGGTGCGACAATCGTACAAAGGGTGATAGAAAATTAATGAAATTAATAATCGGGCCCCGGTTTAACGAACAACCAGGCGACCTGTAAAAATGCCCATGGCATTTAAAATATCTCGAAGCGCGCGACGTCTTTTTCTCTCTTCTCTGTTGACTTTTGTCTCGGAGCAACATCGAGAGTCAGAAAATCTCGGAAAATGTCGGAAAATCTCACGGTAACATCGCGCGCTTCTTTTATATACTTTTACCGTTTTCTTTTCTTTTTTTTCGGAATTTTATTTTCTTCCAATCCCCTTTGACATTTGCATAACAAGTTTATAAATGTCAGGACGTCGGGTCGTCGTCGTGATCGAGTTAGGGACAGTCGAACGACGTCGCCGACGAGCCTGGGAAGAGACCCTTTTCCCTCTTTTTCCTGCTTTTTCCTCCCTTTAATGCGAAACGTGACCTGGGGAATACCGGGGTGCAGCTTCCAGCGAATCCTCTGCGGAGATGGGCACATCTAATTGCATCCAATTTCGGCAAGGATTTTCTTTTTTCTTCTTTTTCAACCGTGCAAAAATCTAGCCCGATCTGATTTTTTCCTAGTCACTTTTTAAACAGCCGATCGGACGCAATTAGGTGAGGCGGTAATTGAATTACAATTCGCTCATCCCTCGCTCTTATTTCGAGTTTAGGACCGTCTTCTCCCCTTATTAATATGTATATATATAAAGATAGATAGGTAGCATGCATATATCGATAACATCTTGGATGACGACAATGGTGAACTATACCGGATAGTCGGATACGTGTTGGGCTGTGGGGCGGTTCGGTTTCAGTATTTCGGGTATTTTGGTATTTCGGGCATTTCTGGTATTTTCGTTATTTCGGATATTCCGGGGGCGGAAATCAAATCTCGGACCCAGTTCCCTCAGTGGAGCTGGTATTGTCTCGGGCTTCGCAAGACTGCGATCGAGTATTACTCTGAATGTCTGGCTTTTTCATTTAAGAATCTCGAGTCGTCAAGAGAGTGCGCTTAACTGCGATTTTTCCTGAAATTGATTCGATTTCCCTTCCTCTCGTCCTGCGTAAAAAAAAGTAAAACCTGGGTCTTCGGTTCCGTCCCTCGGGAAGGAAACATCGAGGAGGGTCCTTTTTATTTTATTTCTTCATTTTCTTCTCGAGGACTCCTCGCCGACTCGAAGATTCTCGTTAAGGGGCGATCTCGCACTTTTCCTTTTGCTCGTTCCTCCGAGGACGATTTTCTCCTGTTTCGCTGCAAAACCTGAAGAGATAGGTCGCCGTTTCCCTGGAAATGGGACGTCGACGGGTTTTCGACTTATCCGGGGTTCGTAATTCCTAATCGGGGATGATTTTTGTCTTCTCTTCCTCTTTCTCTCTCTCTCGTTGACGCACTCATTCCAGACTCGTTCGTGCTTACTCGCTAACGTAATCACTACGCGACCCTCTAATTAATCGAGGCCTGTGCTCGAAATCCGAAAATCAAACCAGAACGAAAAATCGACATTTCGAGTCTCGATTTGATATATATAAAAAAAAAAAAAATGAAGATGAAGAATTATAGTTCTCAGGATTCGAACACTGACCACTCCGTGAGAGTCCAGGACAGGGTTTCGCCCATTCGCGGAACGTTCTCTGCTAGTTACTCTTTATTTCCCGAGTTTATCTAAACTTTTGCGAATTTTTCCACTTTTCTTGTGCCGGGAAATCCCTCTGCGTGGACGTCGGATCGTCCTAGACCAGCTGGGACCTTGAAATTTTCATGATTTCCGGCGAAAGAGCGCACAGCAACCCGCGCCTGCGTCGCGAAAAATACAGCTCGTATGAAAAATATACGCGGCTTCGTAGAAAAATACGAGGAATTCATATGGAAAGCGGGAGGGCCGATTTTCGGGGTTCCTGGGCCCCCCTTAAACGAGGGAAAGAAAAGTCTAAAAGGACTCGCGCCGCGAAAATGGCGACTCGCTCGCGAGGGATAAAAAAGGACTCTCTCTCCTAAGGGCGCGACTTCTCGAATTTCTCGAGGTTGGAAAAAAATGGATTAAAACTTCCAAGTAGAGTCTGGACTCCAATCGAGACATTCGACTGGTCGCGTCCTTATTTTCTATCTCCCGTTTCTTTTTTTTCTTCCTCCTGCATTTCCTTTTTCCGACGTCCACGCAAGGCCGTCCCACAGCTCGGCGTTCGCCACGTCCGATCGCCGTCTGCTCTATCTCTTGTCGATTGCGAGAAATAAAAAAAAAAAAGAAAACGTGGCCAGGACCTCGATCCTCAAGGACTTCGAGGAAAGTCCCGTCGCGCTCCCGGGAGTCCCTTAAAATATGCATAATAAAATACACCGACAGCGGCTCGTCGTTCCCGCGACGACTTGGCGGGACCAGGTCGAACCGAATCTCGATGTCGAGAGCGAGGTCCTGGTCCTGATCCGAGGTCCTTAAGGTGCCTCGACATCTCCCCCGGTTTTCGGGGGTCCTCGAAGAGGCCGAAAAAAATTCCCTCCCCTTCCCACCCTGAAGAGGGAGAATATTTTTCTCAGGATATTTTACCGATTTCCTCCCTAAGATGCCCTCACCCCAGGGTGGCCGAATCACCGGGTCGCCCTGAAGAGGATGGGGAAAATATTTTTTACCCTTTCCCTTTTGGAGGCGCACTCACCCCAGGGTGGCTGCACCTCTGAACGAAATTTCCCTCGGTCTTCCTTTCGTCCCTATCTCTGTCCCGCAATTTCTTATCATACTGCGTTAACCACTGAGATGCGTGAGATGTGTCAGAGGTGGCGAGGACTCCCTGGGGGTGACTGAGGGTGCCCTGCTGCTGCTCGGGGTAGCCGAGTGGGGTATCAGTGAAACGACTTCAGGGCTCGAGGTCTGTCCGTTATCCTCGTACACTCTCTCCTATAAGACAATGAATTATTGATCCCGACCTCTCCAAGGCCTCAAATCCGGGCCTGTCTCTATCTACGGTGCGAGGAATACCGAAATCGGTCCACGGCACTCTTATCGCGCCCTCTCGAATGCCCCATCGAATCGGCCGCTCTAATCTAACTCAATTATTTTTTTTTTTTTATATAATCGCCTATCTTCACCCACCAAATTCACCCCCTACTTGGCAGTGCATATTTTGGGGTGCATAGCTCCTCTCGGTCTCTCTCTCTCTCTCCTTTGGGATTTTTGAGGTAAGGGACGCGGCTCGAAAGGCATGAATCCCGAAAATACTCTGCTAAGTCAAGGAACCTCCTAGCCAGGTCCTCTAGGGGTCGATCTCTCGATTTTCCGGAGATTTTTCGTAAAATCGGCCCACCAAGGCTCGAAAGACCCTCTCGAGGGCTTCTCTTCGGGGTTGATTCTTGACTAATTATCCGAAATCTACGCGAGACAGCACAGTGTCGACTAACGCGATCCTAGGTCAGTTCCCGATGTCGATCGGTGCTTCTTCGGCGACCTGCCGATAGCCTGACCCGTGACCTCGTTCGATTACCCTGAGAGATCGATTTTTGAATAGATTTGAAAAATAAAAAAAAAATAGGAAATACGTCTCGAAAAATCGGAGGGTAATATCTAGCGGTTTAGTGGGATAGTTTTCGGGTTAGGGGATTTTCTTTTTTTTTTCTGGGATTTTAGAGGGTGGTGTTCTCTTCAGGGTCGATCTCTCGAGGTCCGGGGGCTCGGCTTGGAAACCTGAGGAGGCACTACGTGGTCTCAGTCTCGTTCATCTGGATAAAGTGGAGCGGCAAGTGTTGCAATTTGACCGGGCATTCGACATTCAGCGCGTTGTGCCTCTACGGAGGGAACGAGCGATCCGAGTGTTCAATCAATAATTCAATGTTTCAGGGGGGAACAGAAAGACGGTACAAGATCAAGAGGCAGATCCGGGTGCAGCTAACAAGTCCTTCCTCCAAGAAGAAGGCGAGATTCGACCCCTTCGACGGTCATTTCGGCCTCGATAGAATTTAAAGGAACCCATTTTTCCCTCGATGGAATTTTATATGAAACTCTAAAGGGCCCAATTTATGGATTTTTCTTTAAATGGAAAATCCGTCAAGGAGGAGACTCCTCGTCGAGAGGCTTCGTCCTCTTCCAACGTGACTCGTCTTCAGGGTCGGAATTCCATCCCAGGTTCAAAGGGAGGATCGCTACGCGCCTGACACCTCTTTAACATTTTTTTCAGCGCCTTCTTCCGGAGTCGGAATCGTCGACAAGGGGATCTGGAGTACCTGGGACTTGTCGTACTTCAGCCTCCTCCAGATGAAGCACTTCCTGTCCTGAGGAGGGTTACAGGTTCCCACCTCGCCACTGGAGGCGTTGTAGTTCGGGTTGGAGAAGGTCAAGACGTTCCTTCTACTGGAGCAGAAGTGCTTCTTCTGGTTGGTCTTCCTCTGGCAGAGCAGGTAAATGATCATGACCACAATGGCCAGAGTAATGCCGACCATGATGACTATGGTGAAGAGCACGGTCTTCAGACTGTAGCTCTTCTCCTTGTTGAACTTGTAGTCCTTGAACTTGTCGTCGCCGTGCCTCGTGGAGGGCCTGGTCACCACCTCGGGAAGTTTCGGCTCCTCTTCCAAGTCATAGTCAGGGTCTTCCTCGGTGCCAGGCTTCCTCAGCGGCATCCTGTTCCTCGGGACTGAAAATACGTTTCCCCGTCGTAAGTCGATTTATTTCCATCTTTCTATTTTCTTTTTCTACTATTCCTTCGAACACAAGAAATTAAAACTTCAGGCTCTTTACCCGTTGAGCACGACGAATCGGGCTCGTCAGGGCAGGCGCATTTGTAGTCCTTCCGGACGAAGAAGCAGAGATGAGAGCAGCCTCCATTCTCCACGGCGCACGGGGTCCATCCCGTCTGCCTCTCCGCGGAAATCGCTTTGATATCCGTCATGCTGCCCATGGCGGTCCTCATCTTGCTGCGGTTCTTCCCGGTCGCCTTGTCGGCCCTCTCCACGACCTCCTGCATCCAGTCCACCCAGTAGATGTGGTCGCCGTACTGAAAGGCAGGTCGACTTTTAGGTGGAGGTGCTCTTCGGGACCTCGTCATGCCACTTACCAGGGTGAGACCGAAGGGGTTCACAGCCTCCGGAACCAGCTGGACCCTGTACCGGCCATGGAGGTCGGACATCTCGATCCTGTTCTTCAGGGCATCCGCCCAGTACAGCTTCCGATTGACGTGGTCGATGGTCAGTCCGTTCGGGAATGCCAGGTCGGTGGAGACGATGGTCTTCCGGTTGGCCCCGTCCAGAGTGGCCCTCTCTATGGAGGCGTGTTCGCCCCACTGGGACCAGTACATGTACCCCTGCCTGGGGAACAAGGCCAGCGACCTGGGCTCCCGAAGATCCTCGACCAGCTTCCTCCTGCAACTGCCGTCGATCTTGACGACCTCGATCACCTTATTCTTCATGTCGGTCCAGTACACGTTGTCGGCCACCCAGTCCACGGCAACCCTGAAGGGTGCCGAGACGTTGGACCCCGTGACAATGGTCCTCCAGGTGGAGAAGTCGTCCATGTTGACGGCCCGGATGACCCTGAGACGGACGTCCGTGATCAAGATCAACCTCTTCTGCCAGTGGAAATCCACGGAGAGGGCGTCGTGGATTCCCTTCAGCGGCAAGGCCACGTTCCAGATCTCAGGGGTGTCGAAGGACATCCTGACGAGGGCCCGCTTGGTCACGAAGAGCAGGAAATTCTGGGGAATCGAGTTGCAGGTCTTCCCGTCCTCGTTGATCAGGATCCCTGTGGGGCAGGCGCAGGTGTAGCCCGTTGGGTTCCTCAGGCACAGGTGAGAGCACCCCCCGTTGTCCTTGCCGCAGGCATCCTCCGCCATGTTCACATCCAGGAACTGAAACAGACCATGTCTTCACGCTAGATAATCGCTCTTTGGGTTTCAGGATCCAAGTTTCCTTACGCTGACGGCCCTGATGTCCATCGTGCCCTCCAGTTTGTTCACCAGGACGGTCCTGTTGGCTCCCGATTTCTTTTCGGCGCGAACAATGGCTTTGGCCTTCCAGTCGCTGTAGTAGACGAAGTTGTCCATGATCGCCAGTCCGTAGGGATGCTCCACGTCCTGCATCACCGTTTTCCGGTGCTCCCCGTTCAGGTCCGCGAACTCTATCACCCTCCGTTTGGCGTCGTTCCAGTAGACGAGGTTCTCTTCGAGGTCGACCGACAGTCCGTTCGGCCATACCAGGTTCTCTGCGACGATGGTGGTCCGGAACTGCCCGTCCATGTTGGCTCTTTCTATGCGTGCATTGTGGCCCCAGTCCGACCAGAACATCAGCCCAGCAGGGTAATGTAGAGCAATGGCCCGAGGATTATCTAAACCCGACCACACCAGGACTTTCCGGTTGGACCCGTCGAGTTCGCTGACTTCCACGCTGTTCAGCCCAGCGTCCGTCCAGTACAGCTGTAAGTCGTGGAAAAAGTGGGTTAAAAATAGGATGAAAATATGATTTGCCAGCTTCCAGGATCCTGGAACACCCTGAAGAGGACTCACCTTTCTACCGATGGAGTCCACCACCAGGCTGTCGGCGGTCACGAGGCCGTTGTCGATGACCGTCTCCACGGTCTTCCCATCCAGGCTGGTCTTCATTATCACGTCGTGGCCAGGGTCCGTCCAGAAGATGTCCCCGGTCCTTCGATTGACGTCTGCCCCACTCGCGTTCTTCAGGTACGAGACTGGCAGCACCACGTCCACCGTGTAGTTCACGTCGAGAGAGATGACCCTGATGTCCACGCGATGCGCCGCCACCAGGTACTTCGACGGCAGATCCGGACACGTCTTCCCGTCAGCCTGAAATCACAGTATTTAGAGTTTGTCATACCCTGAAGTAAATTCTGCATCTTCTTGCAGAAGATGTCAAGGTCTTACCCCGAGGACCAGTCCGGTAGGACAGGCGCACGCGAATCGACGAGGTGCCGGCGCAACTACGCAAAGGTGCGAGCAATTTCCGTTGTTCCGGCCGCAGGGGTTGCGGAAACGCTGCCGACCCCTGTGGAAGACCCTGACGTCCATGAGACCGGAGATTCCAGACCGCAGGACCGTTGGATTCTGTCCGGTGGTTTTATCCGCCTGATGGATGCTCAGAGTCACCCAGTCGGTCCAGTAGACCTTGTTCTTGTGGATCACCAGGCCGAAAGGATGCTGCAGGTCGGACGCTGAAATTTTTTCGGTTAACTCTAGTCTCTTACAATGTATTTATACCAAACGACGTCACGTACAACCATCTACCTGACACATTACATATATTAATGATATTTAACTCCGATGTTTCCTTTTTTCAGAGACAACTCACGTATCAAAGAGGTCCTGTCTCCGCCATTGAAATTACTGTGTTCTATTCTTCTGGTGCCACCATCGGCCCAGTAGAGCCTCTTCTTCTCGAAGTCGATAGCCAGCCCACTGGGCCACTTCAGGTTGTCCTCGAGGAGGACCTCGCGCTGCCTCCCGTCCATCCCTGCCCTCTCAATTTTAGGCTTCGCCCCGCAGTCGCTCCAGAACATGTACCCGGCTTTGTAAAAAGATAGGGAGGTACAGGTTGACCTTTTTAGTGATCCTTTCTACAAATTTCAGGAATACGAGAGGTCTCTACCACTAGGATCCACGGCAACGTCCCTCGGTTTGTCCAGTCCCCGGTACACCAGAAGAGTTCGCATGGAGCCGTCTAAATTGGAGCACTCGATGCGATTGGTTCCGGCGTCGGTCCAGTACAGCTTCCTGGTTACCCAGTCCATCGCCAAGCCCGCTGGGACGTCTGGGAAAGAATCAATCGGTATCTAGAGACACCAGACAAATCTTTGTTCTTTGAAATATTTTTTTAATGCAGTTCATCGGTACCCAGATTGTGGCTGATAATGGCGCTCTGGTTGGTCCCGTTCAGGTACGCCCTGCTGATTGTCTTCGTCTCGACGTCCGTCCAGTAAATCCTGTCCTCGTCGGAGTCCCAGGTCAGTGCCACGGCACTCCCGATCAGGTCTACCGGAATCACCGTGTCGAAGACCCGGGTCGACTGGTCGATGGGCATCAGCCTCAGGTCCTTCTTCCGGGCGAAGAGCAGCAGGTTGTCCGGCGTCGTCACGCAGTTCTTCCCGTCTTTCTTGATCTTCAAGCCCACCGGGCAAACGCAGCTGTACCCGGTGTTATTCGGCAGACACATGTGAGAGCATTTCCCATTGTTGTCGCCGCAATGGTTAGGGTAGTCCGGCTGACGCTGGGGGTGGTAGCTGTGCAGGTCCATCGGGAAGTGCAAACCTGGAGAGGGGCCACGTGAGAGTATTTATCCCGTGCCAAGGGTCTTAGAATTTAATCCAGGGTGCCATTTACCCGAGCGGATGGTCTTGAAGCTTCGACCCGTCCCCTTATTGGCGGAGAAGATGCTCTTCAGGTGCCAGTCGGTCCAGAATATCGAGTCCTCGAAGACGGTTATGGCGAACGGGTGGTGCATCCCCTTGTTTATCACCCTATTTCTGTCCGTTCCGTCCAGGTGCGCCGATTCGATGACCCGGTGCTTCGCATCCGTCCAGAAGATCCTGTCGGTCGTGTAGTCGATGGTCAAGCCGTTCGGCCAGAGGATCGACTCCGTTATCAGCGAAACTCGACCGGAGCCGTCCATATCGGCTCGCTGGATCTTCGGATTTGGACCTAGAAAACCCAGGGTCAAGTCCAGGTCGACTCTCAACTTCCTCTGAATTCTATATACATTTTTTTTATATACAAATATTGTACAGGGTCATTTTTTAAGACGGCACTCACCCCAGTCGGTCCAGTACACGTAGCCGTAATTAGGGTGCACGGCGATGCCTCTGGGCTTGTCCAGGTCGCTGGATATCAGGACGTGCCTCAATTTCGAGTCCAGGGTGATCACCTCTACTCTTCTCGTTCCAGAATCCGTCCAGAAGAGCAGGTTGTGGATCCAATCGACGGCGATTCCCCCGGGACTCACCAACCCCCAGTGGATGACGTCTGAAAGGACAGGACCATCGTCACTCGGCGCTTTAGAAAATCAGAAATTATTTCTAACACGGAAGTTCAATTAGATGACGACCTTCCGCCTCGGTCCCGTTGACGAAGACCTTCCTGATGACGTCCATCGACACGTCCGACCAGTATATCGTCCCTCGTTTGTAATGATAGTCCAGAGCGATCGCATTGTGGAGGCCCTTCAGGATGGACGTGTACTTCGAGTTCGTCAGGCTCACCTGGACCGAAATAACCGACGCTTTATTTTTTACCCTGGGTGACTTGGAATGAAATTCCCATCGTCTTGGTCGACGCCAACCTGTCGAATGTCCACTCGGTTGGCGAACAGCAAGGTGGGGTTATCTCCCAGTGCCTTGCAGGTCCTCAGGTCCGGCCTCAGCACGTATCCTTTCATGCATTCGCAGACGAAGGACCCCAGAGTGTTATTGCAGTACTGACTGCACACTGGATCCTAGTGGTCGTTCAAAGAAATATTGTAGAACATCGTACGACAAGGTATCATTTTTTTTTACAGAATTAAAGGCACCTTCTCGAATTCGCACTCGTTCACGTCGTGGCAAGTCGCGTTGTCAGTGCCCAGGATGAATCCTGGCTCACAGGCGCAGGACTTCCTGTTATCAGAAGTCAAGATGCACTGCTGGGCGCACTTGTCCTCCGCGGTGCAGGTCCGCTTTTTCGGGCAGTTCAGCTCGTCTGTGAGATAAGTCAGATTTGATAGAGTCGGATTTACTTTCTCAGGTGGTTTTATAACATTTCTGTAAATTTAATAAAAATTTTCCAGGTGAAATTTCCATTGGAAACGTCTCACCGTCTCCTTCGAGGCAGTCCAGGACGCCGTCGCAGACTCGTTTCGCGCCGATGCAGTAATGGTGGTAATTGTGGGGTCCACCGTGCAGGGGACTTGCAGGGGTGGTGTCGTTAGTACCGTAAGACACCTTGCAGAGGTACTGAGTGGCTTCGCAGGTGACTGCGCAGTTCTGCTCGTCCTCGCCTTTGGAGCAGTCGGGAACCCCGTCGCAGACCCAGAGTCGCTGGAATGACATAAATGTTGGAGTTTCGATTTGTTAATTTTCTTTTGACGTCTCCTGGATTTTTAGGAAGAGGATTCCAGGAGACTCACGGGGACGCAGGTTCCAGTGGAGCAGGCGAACTCGTCCTGGGGAGAGCATTCCCTGGGCTTGGGGTGGTCGCACATGGCCTCGTCGTCGCCGCCCTTGCAGTCGATCTGCTCGTCGCACAGCCACTTCCTGCTGATGCACTTCCCACTGGCGCATCTGTAAATCCAGCCAGGTGATAGATAACGATAACGCCCTTGAAACAGGGACTTCAGGAGCTACCCTGGACTACCAGGGAATTTTTTTTAGCTTCTCGAGGAGTGATCGTAAAAATAAAGAAAATTGTTAACGCTTCTTAAATCACAGAAAGGGATGGAAATCGTTACTGGAATTCGTTGGCGTTGCAGCTTCTTCCGGTGACGGCAGGACAATTTTCCTCGTCGCTCCCGTCGCCGCAGTCGTCCTCTCCGTCGCACTTAAACGTCAGCAGCATGCACTTGGGGTAAGCGCACTCGAAGTAGCCTTCCTTGCAGCGGAGCTTTAACATCTCTGGAACCGTGATAAATGATTAAAAAATAAATTTCACCGGCTAAACCGTGTTTAAACATTCAAGGAAGAAGAGGCTCACGGCACTCGTGCTCGTCGGACCCGTCGAGGCAGTCCTCGTCGTCGTCGCATCTCCACTTCATGGGGATGCAGCTCCCGTCGGAGCACTTGAACTCGTCCTGGTTGCACTTCCTGAATAGAGAGATGGAAACCGAGTTAGCTCGGTAAATGAATTAAATCGATCGAGCTTTGATAACAGCTCAGCGATGCAATCGGGCCGAAATTCAGGGGGAGAGTGCCGATAGTTGACTCACTTAAACTAAGAGGCCCCTTTGATCCGCCTAATGGAAAGGAAAAATCGAATTTACCACCCCCGGGGGGGTTAATCCCCCATTGTGCCCCCATCTGCGCGAAACATCCCCCAGATTATTTCCATTTGTTCCGCACCCCCCCGGTGCATCTGCGCGATTTTAACGAGCGGTGCATCTTGCAGAGTGCAACGTAGTTGGGTAGATGTCCTTTCGAGGATTCGACCCCTTTTAATTCCGGGCGCGAATAATTTCTCCCGGGTTTTTCGGGGCTGATGGCGATGAAAGGGGGCTGGGGAACCTCGCAGATGTCGCGTTGTACTCGTTAGTCGGTGTCGCACCATTATTTCCGAACCCTCCTCGGCACCCTGGGTTGGGGCTGACCGGGTAAAAGCGACTGCGGGGGTGGCCGATCCAGGCACTGCTCGCCGACTAATTGAAGGGGCTATTTTTAACCCCCGGCCGTGTAACGACGAGTCGGGCTCGCGATATGGAATCTGGATAAAAGTTGAAAAAAAGATGAATTTTATAGTCTGGTTAAATATAAAAAAAAAAGCCGACGGTCCATAGGTGGAGGGTGAGAGCCTCTTCTGACGCGAGCCCCGACCTACCCCAATGTCGAGAGACCCTCTCGATTTCTGTCCTGCACGGAAAATCCAAAATTAATGGCCTGTCCGAAAGTCTCTGGGGTCCTCCCCTCTGTTCGACCCTCCCTTCTCGGATACCGAGTCGAATCTCACCCCCTGAGAATATTTTTCAGGATCCGGAGTACCGATAGCAGCTAGTGATAAGGGTCTCTTTGTACGGTAGTTCCGCGTATAGGGTATTAAATGCACCCTACATTCTCGTGAAAATCCGAAAAAAAGGAACCGGATCACTAGACCGTGTCTAGGTCAGGGAGGGGGAGGCTTTTCGCCGAAAGAGGGAAAACCGGGGAAAGATGGCGTCGCCCTCCAACCTCCTAACCTCCCGGTGGTCGATACCAAGCACCACCAACGCTACCACCCCCGTTGCCTGGCAACCCACCTCCGCGGCCTGGATCCACCCCCCCTCCGATTTTCCCACCCCGTTTCCTTGCATCCCATTTTCGCAACCCCGAAACAGGTGCAACGTACACCTAAATGCGTGCGACCAGTGATAAGGGACTACCCACCCCGAGATCTTACGCTTTCAATTTTTTTTCCCCTCATTTTTTAGGTCGACGAGGAACAGCGCAAGGACTTCAAGGAATTTCTTGAACCCTTGGCAGGATTTGTGAATTTTCTCAGGATTCTTCAGGCTCTGGTTTGGAGGGGAGGAGTGGAGAAGAGAGGTCCTTGCAGGGGTGGAAGAGTCGCCACCGCCAGGATGCGGTCTTCCATCGGGCAGGAAGAGAGATCGAAAGACCTTGCCACACGCGCGCGCCCACGCTTCGGTATCTCCTTCGGGATAGCGTGGGCGAGGAGCTCGTCCTTCGACTCCGCATCCGGAGGCGGGAAGGAGGAGGACACCGCGGATAAAGGATGCCAAATGGAGGGGGAAATAGGAGGACGAAGGATGACCAAGAGGTGTGGGAAAATCGAGGAGACTCCCCGGCCCATCGGTGCAATTTCTGGAGGTCCTGGAGGAAAGATCCTTTCGCCGTCCGAAAGGATCTTGCGAAAAAATTCCCTCAAGACTAACAATACCGAAAAAGTGTAAAATTCCTCACTCACTTTTTCGCTCCGCAGTTCTCCTCGTCGGAGAAGTCCTTGCAGTCGTTCTCGCCGTCGCATTGCCAGGACAATTCCACGCAGAGTCCGTTCCTGCACTCGAATTGGTCCTTGGTGCAGTTGACCCGGGATTCTGGAATCACAGAGGAGTCCTTCAAGTACCTGGACGAGGGAGCGAAAAATCTCCAGGACTCCATCCTTCCACCGACCGCAGTGCGCCTCGTCGGAGAAGTCCCCGCAGTCGTCCTCGCCGTCGCAGAGCCACTTCTTGTAGATGCATCGACCGGATTCAGGACATCGGACGTTCCTGGCACCCACGCAGGTCCCATTCGAGTTCCTGGATTCAAGGATCTCCTCGCAATCCGCCTCGTCCTCCGCCCCGTCGCAGTCGGCCTGGAAGAAGAACAACATATAAATGGCGTAAATAATTCCTCCTTCTTGATTCAATTGATATTAATTATATTTTATTGCGAAGGATCGACCGACCTGTCCATCGCAGCGGTAGTTCAGATTCGTGCAGGTGCAGGTGCTGACGCAGAGAAATTGATCCTTGAAGCAGGTCCACCCACAGGGAGCCGTGGAGGACTCGTCCCTGGCCTCGCTCTCGTCGTCCAGCTCCTGAATGAGAGTCTTGCGATCTGGAGCAAATTGATCCTCCGGCTCTCCGACCTGACCCACGCCGTGTCCTCGTGGCAGGTTGTTCCTTACCCTGCTGCGCTCCTTGCTCGCGAATCCTGGATCGTATTCTACAAGGTGGAGGGTCCAATTCATGTATATACGATATGTAGATATTTTCAGTAATATATGTATACTTTAGATATTGTCCTTCAGGATATTGAAGTAAGGATATTCCAACAAGGATATCGAGGCATGGTGTACCTCCAGCCTCGAAGGCCCCATAATGTCCACCTCTGCCCCTGCCTCGATCGGCCAAGCCACCGTTTCCTCGTCCTTGGCCATAGAGTCCGCCATTATTTGTGGGGATCCTCATTCCACTGACAGGAGCTCCATTCCTGAAGCTGGGTACGTCATCCGGCGAGTCGAACTCCGGAGGCATGGGCATCGGGATCCTGGCGTTCCCATAGAGTCCTGGGGGCAGTTGCGAGTGGGGCTTGGAGTTCTGGTAGGTCCTTCCCGACCCACCATATCCATACCCCCCGTGGCCCTCGTACAGGTGTCCTGCAGGATTTCCGAAATCGTGATCCAAGATCCTGGAGTTTGTTTTTTTTTTTTTCCCCATCCAACGCTTAACTCGAACCTTCATCTTCAGGGTCCTGTTCTCCAGGCTTGTCCTCGTGGCGCAGGTCGTTCTTGCCCTCCTGCTGGTCCTTGCTCTTGAGAGAGGGACTCGACGTCGTGCCCAGGAGGATGGGAGCGCTTCCGGTCTGACGCAAACTTCCGCTGCCGTACATCTGCCTGGCAGCTCCTCTGTTCACCGCAGCCGGGGTCGAGGTCTCCGTCGACACCGCTAGTCCTGGAAAATCGGGAAAAGGATCTCAAAAAATTATACTCCTCATCTAAAGCGCCCCGAAGACATGCCACAGGACCTGAAAAGACATTTTCATCGTGGTAAAGTGTCCCTTTGGCTATTAATTTTCTATAATTAATCGCGCCGATCGTAGGACAATTTCAGGGACGCTTATCGAATTTCCGGTCATGGATTCGAAGCCCGGACCCCGCATCCGGGTTCCCGGGTCGCCGTCGATCCATGAATGAGTGTAAGAACGACGCTAGCGTAAGCGTTCATTCAGGGGAACGGCGCCTGCGCCCTGGAGGTGATCGATATACGCCGGCCCACACCCTCCCGGGCGTCCCTCCACCCGGAGGGGTGCGTATGTCGCTCAAAAAGAGGCGGACGAATTATACCAGAGGATGACGGGACCAGGTGGGACGAGGAGAAAGAAACGGGAAAATCAATTGGCGGGACGAGGGGAAGAGTCCCCATCGAGCCTCCCTCTCTCCGGATCTCTCCGGGTCCTGGTCCATGCGTCCTCCAGTTTCCAAGAGACAAAGGACCAAATGTAGAGAAACCTGGAATTTCCTGCAACCCCCTGAACCCACGCTCTCATTATATCTCTATCCATTTTCTATACCAATTTTCACGATTCCAGGTTGACCACTTCAACGTCAAGAGAGAAGAAAATGTGTATTGTTGAGGTAGGACGAGATGGGAGGACGGGTGGATTTTCTCTGGCGAGGTTTTCGGTTTCTTCGATCCAGTTCGTGGGTGGAAGAGAGGAGTCCTCGAAGAGGTCGATGAGGATACTCGGAGAGACAGGGTCCAGGTCTACGAGCGCAGGCCGACGACGAAAAACAGGAAGAACGAAAAGAAAGAACCACTCACCGGTGCATATCGCGAGGACGACGCCCCGGGTGATGAGGCGTCGCGACGCGGCATCGAGGGTCGACCTCATCTTCCACTTGGCCTCTCTTCGGCGACCCGAAGACCCACTTCCCGAGGAGGTCTCGACCTCCTCTCGACTCGCTCCCCGCTGGTTGGCACCGGACACTCGCTCTCTTCCGGGGCCCCCGGGGAGGCGCATCGGCTTCGGCGACGACAGCACTGCGCACCGAAATCCACATGAATTAGTATCAATCAACCACCGTCATTCAGAATCGCATTGGTCATTCAAGCTGCGACAAGACCGGGGCACGCAAACGAGGGGGTCCCTTGTCTCCCCCTCTCTCCGTCCAAATATTGTATAAATAATCCCCGAGCCCGACAATGCATTAATTCCATCAAATCCACGGGAACCCATCCCCAGGAGCCTACTCCTGAATTTTAGACCCGGAGGTCCTAAAGATCCTTCCCAAAGGCACAGCGCGGACTCGCTATCATGCGCCGCGATAAGCCAAGGCTCCACTCGGTATCGACCACTTCCACTCCGTATCGGTTTACGATCCCATTTTCTAGATTTTTTATTTAAAGGACAGAGGGGGAAAACGAGAGGATGCTTACGAGCCGACAACTGCCCGATCGCCTACAGTGCGCGAGAAGGACGTCTCTTTAAGGCATCTCCGGGGAGAGAGAGAGAGACGGTGAATGTTTCGGGCGGGATTTTGCGAGTTTCTCTCCGCGGCGCGAGACCGACTACATGTCAGCGATGAGATCGAGTCGGAAACGCTCCCGGGAGAAGAGGTGGATGCGCGGCTCGGTCCGGAGGCTGGAGCACCCCTGAAGAGTGCGAACCCGCCGAACAGCCGTGCACGACTGGCGGGCTCGCAGGGCCGCGCGCAGGGGCTAGCGCGCAGCGGCCAGCGCGCAAGCGTGTGGAACGAGCGCTGCGGCTCGAAGGGTGGCCCTTGGGTTTAGGGATGAAAGGATGGGACACAAGGGTGGACTCCATGCAAGGGGTGAACCCTCCAGACGCGAGGAGAGACGGCATCCATCTTGTGTTGCCGCATACGCATCAGAAGTTCAACTAGTCGACCTGCACGTCCGGCGCCTTTTTTAAGTCCGATAAACGATCGATTGCACCACTTTCGAGTTAAAATTCTCAATCAACGATTACGGTTGCATGGTACCTGATATTCTTTGCTTTCATTTTTATTAGGTCCATGGGTGGGAAAAGGGGGCATCGTCCAGGAGAAGGAAAAATCGAAAGTGTGCAGCGCCTCGAGATTGGCGATTCGATCTCACCATTGATCAGCGCGTTGAGCTTATATAAGGAGAGGCGGTGGGAGCGCCGCTCAGTACGCCGCCAGCCGCCGCGGTGAGCGCATCGATCAGGGACTAGGATACTCGTATGGGGATTCTATTTCACTAGATAATCCCACCGACTGACTTCTCTTAATTTTAATCGTAGGACGAGGTCGTCAGTTTTTAAGAAAATTAAGGAGCGTCGAGTAGACCAGCGTCGTGGCGTTCATCGCGTAGAGGTAACCGATGTGGTTGAACGTGGGTCGAGGGACCTTGTAGAGCAGCTGCACGTTCGGCAGCTTCCTGGCGAGGATCTCGACGTCCTGAGGGACAGGAAACGCGAATCGGGTATTATAATTAATTTCAAAATATTTTTAAAATATATACGTAGGACGTACCTTCGTATCGGACAGGAGGTCGTTTTCGGAGTAAAAGAGCCCCACCGGGGCCTTGACGTTCCCCAGGTTGTACTCCGCAGGGTCCAGCTCACCAAAATCATCGAATGGCCTGAATTTCTCTGAAACAAGAAATGATCAGGAATTATCGATCTGGTTGAACCTGAAAAGCAAGAAAAATCATCGATCGTCCTTACTCGACGCCTTCTCCTGGACGTAGTGCATGATCTGCTTCGTCGAGCTCCCGGCCGGCACGTGGGCTATCATCACCGGCATTGTCTAGAATCATTAACGACCCAGGAGTCGTGTTAAGAATTAATCAAGATAGCAAGAAGACATAAACAATATCCACCTGCTTCAACTGCGCGTCGTCTTCTCCAAAAGCCATGTCCAACAGATTCGTGCAGAACGTCTCATACGCCAGGGCGGATTTGCAGGAATTTCGAAACGTGTTCGAGATGTCCCCGTGGTCAGGAAGCACCTCGTAGGTGTCTCTCAGCTTGACGTACTGAGAATCAAGACTGAGAGTTAAGCTATATAGAGGGAAATAAATTTTTTTAAGTGGCTACCCGCGTGAGAAAAAAATCATGGCGATGTGCGATTCGTACCCTTAAAAAAAAATTCTTTCATTGGACCAATGAAATATTTTGTTAGGTCTAAGAATAAATAGAAATAAGAGAGAATATTTTAAGAGAGGAAAATAATAGCGACTCACGATGTCGTTTGTTTGAGTGTTCATGATAAGGTTCAGCAAGGGGGTCCTCATGTTCCCCACGTAGGCGATCGGCGCGAACGCGACGACCTTTTGCACCTTATCGTTGTAATCGGGCCTCTCCGAGAGCATGACGAGGACCGACGTCGTGCCCTGGGAGTGGCCAAGGTAGAACACCTTCGGTCGACCCGTCACAGAGAGGATGTAATCGATCGTGGCGGGAAGATCGTAAATGCCCATCTCGTGGAAGGAGAAGTTCCAAAATCGGTTCTCCGTTGGCTGAAGACTCACGTGGGACCGGGAGTAGGTGTTCCCTCGGGAGTTCCCCAGCCACACGTCGTAACCCTCGTCGGATAAGATGAAACCTAGGAAGTTGAATTTTTAGGCGTCTCATGGTTAATTTGTATGGTTTATGCGCTATATACAATTTATACAATTTATACGATTTATGTCATGTATAATAATTTATCATAATTTAAAATACCAAGCGACTTCCTGGGGCCCAGGACGACCCAGTCCATGGAGCTCGTCAAAATCCCATGTTGCAAGTAAACCACCGGTTTTCCGGACCTTGGGGGATATTTCGGACCCCCAGGAATCCGATGAGCCTTCAGGATGTATCCGTCCTCGGTGATGATTTCGTGCTCCTCCGCGACGTACCCGTACTTCGTGATCATTTGCATCTGCATTGATATTAATTTTAAAGGGATTAGCTATTCATTTTAATTTAATCTATGCTCGTCGATTCTCTTCGCTTACCGAGTCCAGGAAGTTCTCGGGGTTGTCGCTGATCGACGCGTCTCCCTAGGTGGTTCATGATAGGAATTCCTTTAATCTAAGTCTTTATGAAAATTGACCCACTTTTTTATATACTTTTCTGCGAGTCGCTTACCCAGGGGTTGAAGGCGGAGGCGAGCGCTTCCATGTAGTTCTCCCCCAGGTTGGGCGCCTCCAGGGTCGTCCCGTTCCTCGCGACCATTCCTGGGATTTATGAAATTAATTGTAGTTTCATTTTTCTTCAAAGAAAAAAATTCCATACTCCTCGGTTATCGTGTTCATTACTGATAAGCATGCTCGTCTGCATCTGCAGAAGGTCGTCCACCATTTTCACCCCCGGCATGCGATTTAAGCCTTGAAGAATCGCAAAATGAAATAATAAGCTCGATATGAAGGCGACCAGTAGTTTGGCGAGGGGTTGCATATCGATTGTCTGTATTAATGTAATAATTAATTAATGTCTAATTAATCGACGATCTTAACGGAAATTCCGCGGCGAAATTGGCGGCTCCTTTCCGACTGCGGGGAGAATTCCGCGGTTTTCCTGTATTATACTCTCGGTCACTCTCGTATTTATCTAATCCTGGACCTGAAAGACGCATTCCTGGGCGTCTCCAGATATTTGTCCATTTTTTCGAGACGCACAAGACAAAGTCCGCCGATTGTTCGCACGTGCATTCATCTCCGAGTCTCTTTCGTCATATCTTCCTCTCGATGAAATAATTCTATTTACCGAATTGTTCCGATTAATCCTGCCTTTTTTTTCTTTTTTTTCTTTTTTTTCTCCAGACTGGAAAAACCTCTTTTGTGGTAAAATCGCAAATGAAATGCTCTTGTGAGTTTTATCGACGATTTATTAACGGATTACGAATCGTACCGCATGTGATATTAATTGGTAGTTTATTAAGAGCCTGTGCTATGGTTTGTATTCTTCGGACGTATTTTGGAGAAATCGGATGGTCGGTTTGTAAAGAACTTCCGGTGCGTCGATGGCGAACAAGAAATCCACGTGATTGAAGTGCTCAATCGGAATCCGGTACATCAATTCGACATTTGGTAATTTCCTGGCCAGAATTTCGATGTCCTGAAAGGAGGCTTAATGAATGTTAATTATAGAAATAATCGTTCGACTGGTAAATAATCGCTCACCCTGGGGTCGACCAGCCAGTCGTTGTCCGCGTAAAACAGTCCAACAGGAATTTCAACATTTTCGATTCTATACTCCGGCGGATTTAATTTACCGAAGTCATCCCGTGGCCTGAATTTCTCTGAATAAAAAAAAAAAAATTCACAAAAATAGTTATTATCGAGATGGGTATTTAATTGGGGCTTTTCTGATTTTTCTTCATTTTTTCAGACTCACTGGAGACGTAGCCTTGGGCGAAGTGGATCAACTGCATGTCGGAACTCCCAGCAGGGACGTGACCAAAGATGATCGGTAACATCGTCTAAAAAATGAAGACATTTGACGTGGTAAATTTTCATTAATAATAATACGAAGCCTTACCTTGTTCAACTGCGAGGAGTCGTACCCGAACACCATGAAGAGGACGTTCTTGCAGATGATTTGTAAAACCGAGCGCGACTCGCAGGCATCCTTGTAGAAGTCGGAAATGCTTCCATCCTTCGGCATCAATTCTTGAGGCTTTAATAATCTGGCGTACTGTAATTACAGTATTTATAAAGACATAATCAGGGATATCATTCGGGAGACCTAACTCACGTTGAAGTAGGTGTTCACGTCCGCCAGGAAAACCAAAACTGGGCTCTTCATGTGCCCCAGGTAAGCAACAGGTGCGTAGGCCGCCATTTTCACGATTTTCTGATTGTACTCAGGCCTCTCGGATAACATCACGAAGGCAGAGGTCGAGCCCTGGGAATGACCGACGAAGGCGATCCTGGAGTTACCCGTGACTTCCAAAATATAGTCAATGGTGGCTGGCAAGTCGTAGAGACCCATCTCGTGCCAGGAGAAATTCCAAAATGCCTTTTCGCTCGGGGCCAACCTCACATGGGCTCGGGAATAGGTATTTCCTCTTGAGTTCCCCAGCCACACGTCGTAGCCCTCGTCGACCAGCATGTAACCTTGGTGATTAATTAACGATTAAATAATTTTTACGTATTTTTTAACCGGTGAAATTCACGAGTTTTTGGAAATTCGATGGTTAGAGCCCTACTCAGGGAATTATGAGGCCCCATCACCACCCAATCGGCTGAACTTGACAATATCCCATGCTGTAAAAGCACCACCGGCTTCCCAGGCCTTGGGGGAGACTTTATGCCCCCGGATATCCGGTGGACCTTCATTAGATATCCATCCTCTGTCTGGACCACGTGGGTCTCCGCGACGTATCCGTATTTCGTGATCAGCTGTGCCTGAAAGAAGCTCCGGATTATTTTGCTACCGGTATGGGGGATTAATTGTCGACTTTGCATGGGATTTTCGTGAGCACCGTGTCCAGGAACACGTCGGGGTGATTTCTGGTCTGCGATACGTCGTCGATGCTCAGGGTGCGAGCGACGCTCCTCGCGACGAAGCCCCAGGCGTTTAGAATATTTCTCTGCAAGAGAAATCCTGTAATTATCGTTTAAAAAAATATTTTTCGATTTTTTATCAGACCCTGAGAATAGTCTCACTTACTTGTAATCTTGCCACGGATGTGCCGTTGATAATGTCCTCGATGTCGTCCTTCAGGTCGTCGACTTTCTCGACAGCCTTGCTGACTTTTTCTGAAAGCACGGTGAGTTGTTATTGTTTATCAATGAAAATTAAATCCCAGGGTAGACTTACTCTTCAGGTACTGTTTCCCCTTTCGATACCACTTTTTAATAGTCCTCACCCCAGGTATTCTATCGATAAGGCTTGGCGACTGTAAAACGGGAATTTCGAAATGTCCTTCATATCAATTCAAACATTTTCCTCGATTGTTTATTTACTTAATTTCTGGGCAAATATTGTCACCTCTTCCAGATTTTCCGCCGTCATTGCGAAGGACTTCAGGGTCCCGTTTTCGTACCCTAGGACCAACAACTCCTCCTGGAACGCCTCGGAGAGAATTTCCCGAGCTAGACGTCTGAGATTATTTCCCGTCCTTTGCAACGGAGAAATATTTATCACTTGTAAAAAAAAAATACTAAGATAGTATCTCTTGTTTATTAACATACCGATCAGATTCCACCGGTCTTCCGATGTTTGTTCCAATCCAGACGTCGTAATCATCGTCCACCAAGCCGTATCCTGAATTTCCGGAAAAAATCCAGTTATTACTAAAATATATGCATGGCCGTATTAACATTAACTTCAGTCCGAGATGAGTACCAGAAGCCGTAAGGGTATTTTTAAGGATGAAGTACCTATAGAAAGCAGGGCTGGATTCGAATGGCAGTCCCCATTGTCGCAGATGAATCCATTTTGAATAAAAACCGGAACCTTTCCAAATTTTTTTGGCGACTTCAGGCTCCCTTGGATCCTGAAGACGACTTCCTTAGCATCTTCCGAGTTTCCAGGACCTGCAGGAAAAGTATACTTCTCGACGTCGTATCCTGCAGGGAAATTCTGACGGATCTGAAATAGTGGAGATTCGAACGATATTTTAAAAGGCACAGGAACGAAGAAGTCGATAAGTCGCCGAGATTCGATCTTCGGACTTATCGGATTCTTCCGATCAGCTGATATCCGGGTTTGTTATGAGGTAAGCTGATTTTTCTGTTTTGTCAACATACCGATGTCAGATTGAACGATTCCAGTAATGTGTTGCTTCCTGGTGGGAGAGCACTCGAGAGATCGACAATCACCCAGGTCAGGGTGACGATCCAGGGGACGACGTCCTTCCGCCGCATTATCATTTTTTTTATTAATAACACTGGATTAATCCTCTATTATTTATTCATCCGTTACAGGGAGTCCGACCAGTACTCTACATGAGTAAAGTCATAACTGAACGTCGAGATGCCTGGAATTATCATTTTACCCCCGATAGCCGCGAAGACCTTGAATCTCAACGCTGCAAATGACTAATGCAGCTGATAATCGCACTTCCCGTGTCTAGAGATTAACCCCTGACATCGCAACAGTCGTAGAATAGAAACAACAAACGATGATAAACAAGATATCGAGCCGCACTTCTGCAAGACCTCTCTTATCGTTTACTGTAAAGAAAGATCAATTCTTGTTCCCTGTATGACGTCACACGAAGAAACGGTTCGAGAGAGATAATTTTTATTCAACAACAATGAGCAACAATTTCTACATGCTAGGTGAAAACATAAAGGAGCCTCTTATAATCAGTATATCAGCCTTATCCAGTGACTTAGATCGTATCTGACGGTCCGTTTGTGGGATTCGTCAAGGTGTGGAAACTGCGACTTCCACTTGATTTATTAAGATGAATCTTTATCAATGATAAGCGGTATCGTTCGGTTGGTTTCCAGAAATCGGAGCCCAGGGGTCCGAATCTCCCCCAAGGACTTCAAAAGATGATCATAGACCAGCTTTTTCGCGTCCTTCGCCCACATGAAGTCCACGTGGTTAAACGTAGAATGGGGAACAGGATTCTTCCCCTTCGGGTTCCTCAACTCGAAGTACAGCTTCTCCACGTCCTGGAATTTTATCCAATTGGAATTACCTCCATAAACGTCGAAAAGTATATTAAATGTATTTCAAAGATGAACCTTAGGATGGGAGAGCCAGTCGCCGTGTGAAAAGTACACGGTCACGGGAACCCTGACCCTGAAGAGGTTGTAATCCGGAGGGCTGATCGAGTGGTACCTCTTCAGGTTCCCGAAGAACCCATAGTCGTACTGCCGGAAGTACCCTGAAGAGCGAAGGAAACGAAATTATGACGGATTATTTTTTTTTTCTAACGATACTTCACGTCTCTTCGAGAGATTCTCAACTCACCGGATTTGATCAGCTGACCGTAGTGGACGACTTGCTTCGCCGAAGCTCCTGCAGGAACGTGGCTGAGGATGACCGGAAGAAGACTCTGAAGAGAGACAATTTCATGTTCCTGTTCTCTTTCCACATTTTCCGGAGATTTTTCCGACTTGTGGTAGCTTACCTTGTCCATCTGGTCGCAGCTAAACCCAGACATTATGAAGAAGATGTTGGTACAGATCGGTTGCGTTATGGCGGATTCGTCGCAGAGCTTCAAGGCGAACTCCTTCAGTAACTCGTCTGTTGGAGCAAACTCCAGGAAGCCGATTATCTTAGTAAGTAACTGTGAAGTTGAGATGTTTCACGGTCACCGATAAGATATTCGTAGGAATTATTTTTAATAAATAATGAAAAACGTAATTTTAAACTCCAGGCTCACCTCTATCTGGTCGACGAAAATCGCCAGGAACTTGAAGAAGGGGCTGATCATGTTCTCCATGTACCCGACGGGGGCCAAGGAGAACATGGCTCTAATTCTGGTGTTGTAAATCGGCAATTCGGACATCATGACGTAGAAGACCGTCGTTCCTTGGCTGAAGCCGACGAAGATGAGGTCCTTCTGTCCCGTGGTATCCAAAGCGTAGTCGATGAACTTGGGCAGGTCGTAGATGCCGATCTCGTGCCAGCTGATGAGGGGATTTATTTTTTTAGACATTTTTCAATACACCTCTTTGAGGTCTCAGATGGACTCACGAACCTGAAGGACCAGTAGCTCTTGTCGGAGAGGCTCAGATATCTGTGTCTTCTGGAATACTTGTTCCCCCTGGCATTTCCTAGCCAGACGTCGTATCCGGCATCCGCCAAGAGGAATGCTGAAGAAGGAGTCGTTGTCAATTTTTTATATATAAAATTGATTGTCAATTCGTTGTAGAGTGTTTACCGAGGGCTCTTCCAGGTCGAGAGAGGATCCAATCAGCTGATGAGCCCAAAAGTCCGTGCATGACGAAGACCACCGTTTTCCCAGAAGGATCAGGATTCTTCTTGGTTCCTGTTATCCTGTGTAACTCTAAAATGTAACCATCCCTCGTGGTGACGAGATGAGTCTCTCCATTGTACCCGTACTTGTCGATCAGCTCCATCTGATTAATCGAAACCATGTTAAATAAGCCGATTAAAAAAAGAAACCATGGACGGTTACCCATTTTATCCCAATCTCGGATTATTAAATCTATAATAGGTGTATTTAATGCTAACGCATTTCTAACAAGGTGATACGTTCATGAATTATTCTCACCGAGGAGAGATGAGCATCCGGATGGGGTACCCGAAAAGCGTCTTCAAAGCCTGTCAAATTGAACTTCGGGGGAAATTCTATTTCGTCCAGTTCCGGAAAACCATCTCCTCGTACCGAAGGGAACACCACGAAGAGCGCCATGAAGAACGAGAAGAGTCCATCTCGCTGGCTCGACATATCGAAATCCGCGATTAATCCTCGATTGAGCCGCAATCTTTGTTCGCTCGTAATTTATACCGGTTAACGAGCTATCAGTCGATGTCATTATCTCTACTTCTAAGAGATGACCAAACGATTCCATCGATAAAAATTTGGGACGTCTCGCAGCGACTCGGTATAGGCAGGTGCGCGGTCGATCGGATTAATCGATAAACAATAATCACGCCATTGAAAAAAATTCTACTTGCCCGAGATATCTTCCTTGGACTATCTTTAAGCCAGCATAAATTGGACAGCCCCGAAATCAATTTTAACCCCGGGATAAAAATTCGAGAAAGCTCGGTCGCGTGATGCCGATTACCAGACCACGTGCGTGACCACGTGGTCTCGTAATTCGATGGCCACGTGGGTGGACAAAGAGCCGATTAAAATCTGCGAACGGATCGATGCCCCTTGAAAAATATTATTCGAGGGAACCGAGGATGCTTTAACGATCGCCCGGAGATAAGTTTATCTCTTAACAAATTCCGCCGTTCCCACGGAGTAAGGCCACGGCTAATCCCCGAAATCGACCGGAGGCGCCCAATCGCGGTTATTATTGTACAACTGACCGATTGTTATCCAGCAATTTTTTTGGCGATTTAAATTTGACATTAAAATACACTCGACACGTGTCGCGGATTTCTTTGAAACGAACGCGACGACGCAGATCGAGACTTAAGAAATTCACTTTTCCGCTTCAACGGTGCGCGAGGGGAAGAATTTTTCTGCAAAAATTCCTCGCGATGGCACAATGGGAAACGCTTCTTTGCCTTCGAGTCATGTCCTATACCGGTAATAGGAAACATGTACAGCGCGATATTAGAGTAAATATCTTTTACACGCGTGCGAATTTATTTCTTAAGGTTTGGTGCTATTAGTCGTGACTAGAGATGGGGTTTGCGGATTGAAATTCCGAAAAATGGGGAATGCTATCGGTAGGTCTCTAAAATACGAATCAGGGGCTCGAACACCATGCGAGGAGCCGTTCTTCCCCATATGAAGTCGTAGTGGTTGAAGGCAGGGACTTTGACGTCGGCGACCACGTGGTTCAGTCGAGAAACGAGTCTAGCGACATCCTGAAGAAGTAGAGATAAAAATTCCTAGTAAAATCGTATTAAGCGTTAATTTATAAAAATGTTTGATCTCGACCTCGGTCGTGGCGAGTCTGTCCTCGTCGCTGCCAAAAAGTGCAACGGGGGTGCTGATCCTCTCCAAGGGATATTCCGGAGGCACGGCAGACCCATAGAGTTGAACGTTCTTCTCCTCGTTCGCATAATCAAACAGCCTGAAGTACCCTGAAAAAAATCCTCAACGGTTAAAAAACACATTTTGGAGTTTCCCCGCAGGTGAGACCTCACCTGGATTGATGTGACCCTGGCCAAAATGTACGAGCTGCTTCCACGACGCCCCCGCAGGAACGTGCCCGATGATGACGGTGAGGTTCATCTGAAAAATGGTTAAAATTATGACGAGGTCGATTGACCATTTTTTTTTTTAAACTAGACCATGAAGGGACTCTATCTACCAAGTTGAGCTCTTCCTGGTTGTACCCCGTCATCAGGAAGAAGAAGTTCGTGCAGAGGAACTGGGTGGGTGCGGAATTCTGGCAGAAGAGATTGGACACGAATTTCCCCCAGTTGGACCTAGAGCCCAGTTCGGGATACCCGAATCTCTCTCCGACCCACTGTAAAAATTCAGGGTGTCGGAACACTCTTCAGGGTCGAGACAAGGTAGGTCAGGGTGTCCTTACCACGCCGAAGTATGTCAACTTGGCCAACTTAGTAATCGGACCTCGCAAATTGCTGGTATAGGCTGCGGGTGCAAGGCCGACCATCAGGTCGACTTTGAAATTATATTCAGGGCGCTGCGAGGCCATCACCAGGAACTGCGTGGTGCCCTGAGAATGGCCCACGAAGAGGACCCTGCCGAAACCGGTGATATCGATGATGTGGTCTATAGTAGCCGGCAAGTCGTACACGCCGAGCTCGTGGAAGCTAAAAGGTCCCCGAATAAAATAAATAAATACCGTGAAATAAAAATTTTAAAACCTGATTCCCGAAGAGCGGAAGAGGTACCTGAAGTCCCAGAAATTCTTGTCGGTGGGAGAGATCACGGTGTGGTTCCTGGAGTAGACGTTTCCACGATTATTCCCAAGCCACACATCGTACCCACGGTCTGCCAAAATGTAAGCTGCAAGCATTTAATTAATTTGTAAAACCGTTTACATTATTTTTTACTTTCTTTCGCGTATATCGCCGTTGCAGGAAAATCTGAGGGCACTTCGAGATTGATTCGCGCCGATCGAGCGTGAAAGTTAGCAGAACTCCACCGATCGCCCCTCCTTCCGTAGTCGCCGATAAAATGGCTGGTAGGGGCAAGTAAGGAAAAACAGAAGAAGACAGGATCGACGGCCGTTCTCTTGCATGCACTCAGCACGATAATTCTTACCTGTGCACGGTTTGCGCTGCACGCAAGACCGCCGATCTAAATACTTGCGACCGAGGGACTCGGATTTCGATATCCCCAGTTAACGGTCTGAGAATTTCCTCGGCCACAAGATATGCCGAGCCACGTGCCGGGACTTTTCCAAAAGCCACGAAGAGGCCCTCCATTTTCGAAAGTTCCTAAGCGTGAGGTAATTCTTTCGCGTCATGCTTTCTTGCTCGAAGTCGATTGCGGGATGTTGTATCTCTTCTGGTTTCGTTTTAGGAATTTCAGCCGTGGGTCCTGGACCTGGATCTTGGGACTTGACGAACTTGAAGAACTTGAAAACCCTCCCCGACTCATCTCTTCCTCTGGTGGCGATCCTCGCGATGAAAAGAGGTGGTCGGTGAAAAACGCAAACGCGATATCGCGATAAAAGTGACGAGCGGTCGAGGGGCCTTTTATCAAGACTTGCGCAAGTCAAGAGTAGGGACTATCGCGAACGAGCTGACATTACCCAATCCATTCTCGGGGCCCATGATGATCCAATCCGCAGAACTGCCGGCAAGGCCGTGCTGCAACAGCACGGGGATTCCTGAACCCCTCTTCAGGATCGCGGAACGCCGACCTCGGGGAATCCTGTGCAGCTCGAGGACGTACCCATCCTCGGTGACCACTCGGTGGATCTCCAAGGGGAATCCGTATTTGGTGGCGAGCTCAGGCTGGAGGGAACACCGACAATCAGACAAGATCGACCCTGAGCCCTGACGACTCTCTCTGGAGACCCTGAAGACGCTCCACGCTGGGAATTCGCATTTTCCCATGGCGACTCGCGAGTATAAAAGTCTCTCTTGCGACATAAAATTGTAAGGAACAACATAGAAATACGCTTTCTTAATTATTTACGTTAATCCGGACGGTAATCTCGGCTTAGGTTCGGCTCCACCGGAGACATCGATGCGCGATCGCTGCCACAGGCGAGACGCCGCCGACACTTGAAGGCGTTTCAGGTAATAGAAAATATATCAATTAATATAAATAAAATACTATAAATTATTACCGTGAAATTATCTTTTCAGTAACGCAATTCGGTCGCTGCGGAGACGCAGATAATACTCGAAGAGACTAGAAATTAAATCCCCGACGCTCTTCAGCGCCCCAAGATCTCCTCACGGCTCTTTTCGGACTCTCGAGGACGACGTTTCGGGTGATACAGAAATATAATTAGAGTAACTTATTAACATTAAATGAAAATTTCGGAAACACAAGATAGAGTTGAGCGATCTTCGGGCAGTTTATTGAGCTCCTTGTCAACCGAGGTTTCTGCTTGCAGAGGCTTCGGCAGATTTGGAAAAAAACTCACGGTGGTAAGCAGGGCATCGGGGTTGCCGTCGAGGTTTGCCCTGCCTAGTCCACGGTGCAGAAGACCGGCTACGAGGCTCGTCAAGGAGACGACGAAGAGCGGGAAGCAGACGAGGCTTAGGGGCAGCATTCTCGAGCGCGGACTCCTCGATGTCGCGCGAGCGCTGCGTTTATATATCACTCTCCGGTTGCGGATTTTCGATAAATTCGCCCCTCCACCTGACCTGCGTCGCAATTTCAGGGGACCCTGTTCAGGGGGACCGCGGAGGTCCCCCGGGAAACCCGGGGAAACTCGGAAAATCGAGCGGGGGTGGCCTTGAAGAACCGCCACGCGGTCTGGCCGGTCCTCCCGAAGAGCGACTCCTCTTGGCGTCGCTCGCGTTCGAAAGTCCCACCGAGAGGTGCACACAACCAGGTCGCGTGCCGTAGAGACAAGGTCGATTACTTCACTCTTTCCTCCCCGATAACGTTCCAGAGCGTTTAGGTAAAAAATCGAGCTCTATACCGGCGAGTCGCGAGCGAATCTCGCGGCGTTTGCGCGAACCGACTGCCCATTTTCACTTTATACTCCGCCAAGCAGCGGGCCCCATTCACATTCGCTCGTAGGGCCTGATTCGCTCCTATACTTGTATCTTAAGAGAGAGAGAGAGAGAGGCGCCCGAAAAGAGAGGGAAACTGTCCTCGAATGCCGCGACTCGCTCCTGCAATTGGGAAAGTCTTGAAAAGACTGTTTACTCGTGTCGTCCTGGAGAACCTCGATATGGGGGTCCATTACAGGCTATGAATGCAGTCTAAAAAAAAACCGCTCGCTCGTGTCGTCCTGGAGGACCTTCATTATAAACTGTTAATCGATGATCCTTTGGGGTGCAATCGATGCAACTTTAAATTGGCTGTTTATGTCGACACTTTAAATGGGTCCTTAAGTCGGGGACGCGTCCCATTGCGCTCCTCGTCGAACTCGCTCAGGACCTCCAGGACCTCGTTGTAAAGGACGAGCTTCGAGTCCTTCGAGAAGACGAAATCCAGGTGCCCGAAACTGGACACTTGCACCCTCCTGGGACTCGCGTTAGGCAGCTTAGACTGCATCGCTCTGACGTCCTGGAAGATGATTCAAGTAACAGCGAGTAATTTCTTACTAAAAATTTAGAAAGGTGCTTTAACCATGAAGAGGTCTCACCTTCTCCGTGGTGAAGGCGTCGTTCTGCCCGTAAAAAAGCACGACCGGCGCTTTGACCTTCTCCAGGGGGTACTCCGGGGGAATCTCGTTCTTATACCGGATGTAATTCATCTCAGGTCCGAAATCGTACTGCTTGAATTTTCCTGGAATTAAATCCCATCCAATAATTCGAGTTATTAATAATTAGGAACGTTTACTCACCTGCCAGGATGATCTGTCGATAGTGCAGCAAGGTCTGGATCGACGTCCCCTGGGGGTAGTGGTTCAGCAGGTGAGGGATGAGAGACTAAAATAGAGACTGTAATTATTTTTTGTTTAATAACACGTTGGTAGGAAACGTTAATAAATTATTTCCATGAATTTCGAGCCGATGACTTCTGTATCTGCTGCGCCAATTCCTTTAGGAACGTGATTAACACCCTGAAGAGGGACAACAACCGATCACCTGCACCTGGTGAACATTGCGCAATTATTGAAAGCAACGAGACTATCGGAAACCCGCAACCTAGTCAACGAACTCTGCCGAATGGCATCGTTTTTTTAATGAGGATTTATTATTCTGGCGAATTGTTCCTCGTGATTTTATTACTTTCTTGATTTTTTTTTTATCCCGTGGAAGAGACTCGATTAATTCGGCTCGACAGGTCACAAAGAACAAGGACGCTTGCGGAATGGCGGGTCCTGGCCGGAATGACAATGATTCCAGTCTCATGTCTCGGAAACCCGAACACCGACTGTTGACACAAGCAGGTGACATTGTCATACTTAAAACGTCATACGACAAAAAAATTATCGGCGACTCTAGATCGCGAATCCGTTCACCGGCGATTACTCAGGTGAAACCCGCGACTCGGTAGAACAAGGACGTTGATATCAGACAAGTCTACATTTACAATCAGGAAATCGACCTTTACGTCATCCAGGAAAAACAATTATAAATGAATGCCTATTTCACGCAGCCGCGGTATGGCGACACCTGGAGTCGATCGGGTTCCTGAAGAAATACTCGACGAAACGCGAGTCAAGGTCCTCTCGAAGACAAGGTCTGCCTCAGGGTGTCAAGGTCTGCTATCTCGACGTCGGCCTATCCTTGACGACGAAGGAGACGTTACAAATCAAGCACTTCTAAAGCTAAGTCTTATCACAAGGAGCTCTAGGACCCGAAGAGCGACTCGCCAGAATACAAATTAGTTGTATTTGGCGCGAAACTCTACCGATAGTGTCTTGACAATCTCGAGTAAACTCCTACCGCGTCGAATTCCTCGCAGTTGGTGAGGCCGAAGAGGATGCAGGAGAGCCTCTTGCAGATCCTGAGAGTCCTGGGCCTGTCGCAGACGGACCTGACGTAGGCGACGTTCACCGAGTTCCTTGGTAGGATCTCGTGGACGTTGAGTAATCCCAGGATATCCTGAAAGAAGAGGGGATAAAATCTATTCTTCTTGATCTTGACGCGACCCTGAAGTACCTGGATCTCCTTCGCATAGTACATCCCGATGGCGTTGACGAGACCCGGCAGAAGATGGGTGAAGATCGCCACGGGTGCGAAAGAGACGACCACGTTGACCCTCTCGTTGTACTCCGGCCTGGTGGACAGCAGAACGAACTCCATGGTGGACCCCATGGAGTGGCCCACCAAGGACACTTTCTTCAGGCCCGTCTCGAAGAGGACGTAGTCGATCACGGCCGCGGTGTCGAAGGCGCCGAACTCGTGCCAGCTGAGGAGCCAATTAACTGTCAATGACTTAAGTTCCTTAATTAATATTGAATCGATTCCCAAGGAGAGGTTAATCGATACCTGAACCGCCAAAAATCGGGTTCGTTCACCGACAAGTTGTTGTGTCTCCTGCTGTAGTAGTTCCCCCGGGTGTTCAAGGCCCAGACATCGTACTGCTCGTCGGCGAGGAGATACGCTGAAGAAAGGAGATTCAAATGTTATCCAGATTGGAAATACCTTGGAGGTCTTAGATGTTCATCAAGAAGACAGAAGTCAAGGAGAGTGGAGGAGAGGGCTCACCGAGGTCTTTCCCGGGTCCCCTCAGCACCCAGAGGTCGGAGGCCCCGAAGAGCCCGTGGATGAGGATCACTGCCGGCTTCCCCGGAAGCACCGGGGACGTGGGGCCCCCCGGGATTCTGTGAAGCGACAAGACGTAGCCGTCCTCCGTGGTGACGTTGTGCTCTTCGGCCTCGTACCCCGCTCCCTTCACCATGTCGACCTGAAAACCACTGACCTCGAGTATACCTTGCCGACCGCGATTCCTCGGGGAATGAGGGTCTCCAGAATTTCACTTTTTCTTTGACTCACGTGGCGCTCTTCGCCTCATCGAGCGGTGCGATCTACCGAGTCGAGGTCGAGCAAGATTCGGACCGACAGACCCTGAAGAAGAGGGACTTACGAAGGTCTCGGCAGCGTCGCCGGGTCCCGTGGATCCAGGGACCTGCCTCGAGGTCCTGGTGGAGAGGAAACGACCCAGCTTCTTGGATCTCGTCGGCATCCCGCCTCCGATGCATCCCCTGTGGATCGTCTGGATGGAGACGATCATGGTGACGAGCAGCAGCCGAGGGACGATCAGGGCCCGCGCCATTTTGGTGACCGCTGGTGTTTCTTCGACCCCTTGCGCCCTCTTCGAGGTCCTGGATCCGTGATCCAGGTTCCTCCTTGTCTGGAAGAGGACCCGCGTCCTCCGCTGCGTCTTCTAGGTCACTTCTTGGCACCGATTCCACTCGCGACCTTGACCCTGGCTCCGCCGGCCTTGACCTAGGCCTCGACCCAGGCCTTGACCGAGTTTCTCCGACTCCTCGAGGAGTTCCTCGGGTTCCTCAGGGAACTTTTCACGCGTCCACCCGTCTTCCCGACGACCCACTCGCCCCGGTGGACATTACGTCGCGACTTTTATGCGGCCGCGAGGCCCGTGCGTCACGTGCGATTTTCGCCGCCTCTTTGGAGGCCCCCCACGAGGCGGGTCTCATCGTGAAGTACTCCTCTCTGGGTTTCGAAAAAACACTCCTTGATCTCCGCTGCCCTCCCATGTCCTTCGAAAAGATCCTTGGGAGGCTCTTTCGCCGCCGCGTGGAGAAGCTTCCGCGTCTACGCCGCCATCTTGGATCCGTTCTCCAGGCGCTAGAGGGACTTCTCTTTTGAATTTTAATTATTCACGTTGCTTCGTAATACTTGATACAGGAGGTAATTTTTAATTTAACTCTAGAAGAAGACCTAGATGTGGATAAGAGCTCCGAGGTCTCGCTCGCCCCTGAGAAGCGACTTTTACTCTCTGTCAGCGACGCCGGGATTCGCTGTTGGTCAAACTCGAATTGGTTTTTCGGCAGGCTCCTCTCCTCGTCTTCGACGGCGCTCTCGGCCCGATCGTGGAATCCGGGTCAGAAGACTAACTGGGTTAACGGCGCGTCGTGGCATCGCACTGCGTCTCCTCTCCGAGGAACGAGAGAAGAGGGCCTCCAAAAGTCGTCCCGTTGAATCGCCTCCACGTCTTTCGGCCACTTTCCGCCTCCGCCATCTTATTCCTCCGTCCAGAACCGGATGACCGGAAACGGGAAATCCCCTCCTACACCCAGGAAGTCCCTCCTTTATCCCTATCAATCCTTTCCAGGCACTCCACTCGATTGCGTCGGGATCCTAGCCATGGTCCAGCGTCCGGCGAGCGTCGGCCATCTTGGATTCTTGCAGCGAAGAATTTACGGCGGTTACGCGGATATTACGAAACTAATCCTCCCTGGGGAACGGATGCCTCCGGGATTACGGATTACATGAATTACTAGACTAGTACAACACTTCACAGTAGGCGACGACGACGTCGCGGGTGCATTTCCAGTTTCACTTGACGGAAGTCTCGACGGACGTACACATTAGTATATTGCTCCGGTTACCCAACACCCGACTGATATTAATCCCGGCATCTACGAGACATTCGAGCGTGGTGAGAAAACGAGTCGCTCATCGGGCTCCTCCGTTATCCTAAGGCGTCGCCTTCTTCAGGATTGCTCTTCGTGGTTCTCTCCTGGCGAACGGCAAGAGGCGCTGACGCTTGACGCTTCTCGGTTTACAATTTTTTTTTGTATTACTTTTAATATATATTTTTATATGTATTTCTTTTTTTTTCTCGCAGTATCGGCGCCTATCGTGAAGACGGCCACTTCTTCGGGAAGAGGCGACGTCGCGGTGCGACGTTCCGACACGTCTCCGAGGACAGTTACGGCGATACGGCGCGACTCTTTAACGAGACCTCGTGTGCACGGTTCCTTCGCGATCGGCTCGTGCACACCACTGGACATGTCCCGGGTCAAAGTGGACTCCTCGACGCGTGTCCCTCTCTCCTCGGACCTGCGGCCCGCCTCTCGCCACTCGCCGGATCGATTTTCGAGTATCGAGGTCCGATCGCCAGAGGAGGGGCCGAGATAGACCGGTCTCTTCCTCTTCCTCTTCCGGGCTGCCGAGGACCTTGGCCGAAAGAACGATCCCAAGGGACCTTGAAGACGTCCAAGGGACCAAGGCATGCCTCGAAGAGGACCACAAAGAGGACCACAAAGAGGAACGTCAAAAGCAACGTCATAATGTCAGAATACGCCCTCATGAATTTGAAATCCAATCGCCAGTCCTTAAAATAAATACAATATACAACTATAAAAAAAAAAAATAGTACAATTCGTACACTGAGGAAATAAACATTTTGTTAATTCAAAGAATAATTATCTCGCTCGAATAAACTGAAATAAATTGTCACCACTCCGAGGAGACTTTGCGGGTAATTTATTCGAGTTCACTCGAGTCAAGTAAATTATTCATTTAATCAATGAAATATTTCTTTGCCCGATGAAATTTGTTTTCTTAGGGCAGAGGAGCTGTCGCAAGATCGACAGCTTCTCCACCGGTACCAGAAGAGCGTCCCGCTCGACTCGGAGTAGTATCTAGGATACCTGGAGAAGCACTCTTGAAAGTGAAGGAACGTGAAAACGTCGTCGACGGGGGAGGGGGCCTTTTACGAGGCCCGAAAGTGAATCACGGATAACTGGTTCCTCCAACCTGAAGAGGCCTCTCGGCTCCTCCTGACGTATTCCCTACGTGGCGTAATGCTAATGACGGGTACCCGAAGTCGTCGACCCGCGGACCGCGAGGATGCGCGACAATTTCCCCGTGACCTTCGACCTGGCTTATGCTGATTCCTCGCATAATGCGCGACGCCGCGCGATTACGCGAGGATCACAGCTGGTGATCGATAATCCCGACGGCGATCGCCGATTAATCGAACCGTCTCTCTAGGTAGCTGTACCGTCTGAGTCTAATTACATCGTCTCAACAAATTCGCAATATGTACAGGAACCTTGCAAGACTAGGTCCAGGAGTTGCGGACTACAAGGTTATAGATTAGGTCCACTTCTTCAGGAACGTCTATTCCTCTGACTGTTCATCTTCGGCTCTTTCTTCCCTCTTCCTCGTCCTCTTTGCGTCAACTGGCACCATGGTAGATCCCATCTAACGGCTGGAATATTAAACAAAATTTTATCAGAGATTATTCCGCGGTGGACTTTGTGATTCATGGACTTTTCCACGGAGAGACAAAGGACTTATCACATGTAAGAGGTGGTAATTAGCCGAGAGAGGAAAGTCGAGGTCGAAAGCGATGAGACTTGGTTCCCTGTCGGGATTTTCTTTGTCTTCTCCGCGGATTTGCATCCACGCGACTCGCTTTTCTCTCGCGCTCACCGTGGTGGAGGAGAGGCCATTTTCGGATATCTATCTTCTCGTCTGATACTGCTTGATCAGCTCGATAACTCGGTCGTACACAAGGCTCTTGGCGTCCTTCGCCCAGAGGAAGTCCACATGCGTGAATTTCTTGTAAGGAACGGGCTCAACGGTGACGACGTTCGACAGGTTCCTCGACAGCGCCTCAACATCCTGAGGAAACGGAAAAGCAATGTAACGAATCCCTGAGGGTACTCTAAAAACGGTAAAACTGGAAAGCCGGGTCCAAACTCTACCGCTTCACGGTGTTCGAGATCTTCGAGATCTTCTTCAAGGCGAGAAAATTTGGAATTATTAATTTTGTCGTACCGATTTTTGCACCAAATTGTCGTTCGGTCCGAATATCAAAGCCACGGGGGCTGTGACACGGGACAGGTCGTATTCAGGTGGTTTCTCCTGGTGGTACCGGAAGCGGTTCTCCTCCTTGCCGAAGTCGAAGGCGCGAAACGCGACTGAAAGGAAAAAAATGAGGATTAATCGACTCGGTGGAGAAGCGAGGGTCTCCGAAAATCTATGCTCTGTAAATCGCCAACCCCGAAGACCGCGTTATCGTTACGTAGGGGGTTCTCTTCAGCAACGCATTACCAGCGGTGGGCAAGGAACAGAGCGACGGTGGAAAAGTTAGGAAGCTGCCACGTGGTTTGGGAAAGAAACCTGTCCAGGTGGCGCCTGCGATCGGAGATCTTCGGGGCCGCGCGCTTCTTCGAGTACCGTTCCTCCCTGAAGATCTGAATCCACAGTACCTGTTTGTATATTCTGCACGTAGTGCTTGAAGGACATGAAGGATGCCCCTGCCGGGTAGTACGCCGAAATGTGCGAAATGACGCTCTGGAAAAATTGGCATTCGTTGAGACGACCGCGAAGAAGGCTACGCCGAGGGTCTCGGTTCCTAACTTACGGTGTCCAGCTGGTTCTCGTCGATCCCGGAAAGGACGAAAATCACGGAGACGCAGACGGGCTGGGTCGGGGAATAATCACCACAAAGAGCCCTGCCCAACACCGCCATGGTCGTCGTCTGGGGCGCTATGTCGTAGATTCCATTCCCAAGGAAAAAGGCCTGTAAGAAAGAACGGGAAAGCTACATGAATTTACCCCAGGACACCTAGGTGTCCTTCCGGACCTCACCTGGATCTCGCTCCAATTTTCCATGACCAGTTTCAACCAGGGCGGGAGCGGGCCCACCCAGTAGGCCACAGGGGCCAAGCTGATCACCAGGTGGATCTTCTCGTTGTACTCCGGCTTCCTGGATAGCATAGAGTAGCTGATGGTGGTCCCCATGGAGTGGCCGATGTAGGTCAGGGTCTTCTCCCCCGTGACCTCGAGGATGTGGTCGATCATGCCGGGGATGTCGAACATGGCCATCTCGTGGTAGCTGCCCAACAAACACGCAGAAGATAAGTCATCCCGTTGTTAACGGACGGTTGTCTAAATTTATTCGAGATCTCAGAACTGGCGACAACGGTCGAATCGATCAAGGCGAGCGAGCTCTCCCTCGTCGCCTCAGGGCGAACCCACTAACCGTGGGCTTGGCGAACGCCGTTACACCCGTCACACCCATTACACCCGTTACACCTGTTACGTCGCTCCTAAGACTCGGAGGGTGTCTTCCTACGGTTTCTAAATTTATAATTCTTCGAGGTAGCCCTCGATTTAAAATAATCGCCGGCGAGGGAGAACCATCCCCCAGGAACGTCATCACCCCCAAGTTCACCTGAACTCCCAGAACTTCGGGTCGTTCGTCGAGATATTGACGTGCTTCCTGCCGTACGTGTTCCCCCGGATGTTGCCGACCCAAACGTCGTATCCTGCCTCAGCCAGCAGGAACGCTGAAATGGGAGCGTCTGTTTAGAGAAATCGACTCGTAGAGGAGTTCTCGAGTGGGGTCCGGGTGACCAAGGTCGGGCCTCAGGAGGAAATCACGGGGGCCGGGTATAATTCATTCAAATTGGCTGTTTGGGCGAAATGCTAAGCAGAAAGTGATACCGAACGAGTCGGTGAGGTCGGGAGTGATTTTGGAGTTATTTACCGAGGTCCTTCCCGGGCCCGAAGAGGACCCAGGTGTCCGACGAGGCCAGAATGCCGTGCTGAATGAAAACCACCCGCTTCCCCTTCGGGTCTGGAGACTCCGGGGTCCCTGGAATCCTGTGGAAAGTCAGGATGTAGCCATCTTCAGTGACGATGTTGTGACTCTCCGCGGGGTATCCGTGCTGCTCCACCAGGCCCACCTTAAAAAAGATCAAATACGTCACCAGGAAACATTCTATCGGAGAGATCGTCATCAGGAAAATTTAACCTATCGCCCTGGAGCCGTCTTCGAGGCCACTTCGTATCGCTTTCTGACCGCTACAAGTTCCTACCCGAGGCGACATAAACATTTTAATTTTATCGCGTCGATAAAAGATACTAGTTTTTGTTCTCGCGTTACTAAATGCAAGTAAGGGAACTATCGCTTACATAACCGATTCCTGATGAAGATGATTAAGGTAGTTCCGATTATATCTATACGGCAGTACTTTTTCTGAAATTTTAACTTATCAACTAGTTTGTATATAAATGTTTTATATATATATATACGTATCACTAAGGAGATGATAAGAATTAATTGAACACTCACAAAGTCAAGAACCACGAAGGGTTCCTTCCCCAGGGCCCGTGCCGTCTGTGGGTCCCTGACCTTGACAACTTTCGGGTTTTTGGGGAACAACAGGGACTGGATGATCCCAGCGTCGACGACGACGTTCGAGATCGTCAAGAGCAGGACCGCGAAGGCCGCTATCGACATATCTCGGGGATCCTCGGTCGCGATCGATCGGAAGAGTCCTTATCGACGCGGCTTATCGCAGTCACTGCAGACTCGGATTTTCCTCTGGCCAAATCGACCCGGGTTCCAGAATTCGATCCTGACCTGTCCGCTCCTTTCTCCGATCCAAGATCCTGAATGGTATCCTGAAAAGGAGGGATATCAATTAACAGGTCCCTCCCTTATCATCCTCATTTGGTTCGACTTTTTCGCCTGCGAATGTTCACAACCTTGGAGGTGGTTCTTCGGGTCGCTCTTCGCACGGGTTTTCCTTGTCCCAAATCGACTTCTCGCCTTTTTTCCCGCCGAAGCGCCCTCGATCTCCAGAAGCGCACTTGAACCTGGCAGACCTTGGCTGGCGGTAAAGTCGGCCACCTTGCAGCCGTGGCGATTGCGAATCGACGATTGGCAGGGAAATTCTGTTACCGATACGTCGACCCGATGCACCGGTGCGGATTGCATAAGCGACCGTCAACGAAAGAACGATAAACAATCATGCGACGATAGTTGGTCAATTTGCGGCGTCCTTGTTGGTGCATCGGTCGAATGCTGACACGAAATTGTAACAGACGGAATTCGGAGCGCGCCGATCGACGACTTAAAAAACCTTCCCCGGGAACCGGATCGCTTAAGAGACGGATAAAAGATCCTACAAAAGTATGTACAATTTTTTCCTTCAAGAAATTCAATCGGCAGGGTAATTCTTAACAATCGCGGAGTCGACTTCACGTATACCGATGAATAATCCGACAAAAAAGTGTATCTGCAATTTCGATTGGAATATATAATGTAATCGACGTCGAGTTCGCCCGTTAAATAGTCGCCGATCCGGTTCTTTCGAGTCTTGTGCACGCGTCTATGAGGAAGAGGTGCAAGAAGGAGACTAGTGGTCCTTCTTCGTGTCTTCTTCGTCAAACTACGCGCGCACGGCCGAGAGAGGGATTTTTAAGCGACGAGCCGCAGATCGCCGATCAAACTTTAACCGAGTCCGCGCGATCTTCGACGGCTCGGGTTTTATATAGCGCGGGATGTCGCCTCCACCTTGATCAGCCGGAACTGCTTTTCTTCTCGTTTTATACCCCACGTCCGCTTTTGTATTCCGCTCGGCTGCGCAACTTGGAGCTCATCGAGAGAGAAGAATGAATCTTGACCTCCGCTCCGAATGCGCCGCAATCCTGGTGGGAAAATTCGCACGAGTGGCTTTTCCTGGACCTCTTCACGGTCCCCGGTCACTCCTGGTGCTCTGGAAGACAGAAAAATCATCAGGGCCGATCGGCTTATCGTGACGTACTCGTTGATAACGAACGCTGCACGTGTACCAGGTCACCCCGAAGAGGACGCATCTCGAGGCACGTCCAAGGACGGAGATTCGGATGCCTGTGATCGATCGATTAAACGGGGCGTTAACTGCAATTAAATGTCTCGACTACTCGACGTCCTTGTTGCGAGGTCCTCGAGAACGCTCTCTTCGTGATGAATATGTTTCTTCTTCGGGTTAGCGCTCTTGAAGATAGATTGCGGAATGATGCCGCTTTTAATTACGTTGCATAACGTTAAAAATGGCAGGAACTTATTCCTTGGCCTAATATTAACTTTAATTACGGTGCGTTACGTTAACAGCAACAGGGACTTGTTCTTGAGTCTAATACTTGAAGAATGTTTCCTGGTTCCCGTCTGGGAGTGGAATTCATCCTGGAGAAAGGGGCCAGCTTCTATCCTGTCGGTAAAATTCGATCCCACGAGGTAATCGGAGGTCCTTGAGGAGTTCCTCTGAAATTCCTCGACCCTGAGAAGATACATCTTATTATGACTCTTCTGGAGCGACAAAGGACGCGCTTTCGAAGGAAGGAACAAGGAACCTCTTTCAGCGGTGGCGAGTCCGAGACAAAGCCCGGGACTCGTTTTAAATTCCGCGGGCATTAAGAGTCTCCTTACGGGCTCGGTAAACAAATTAACGATATTTCTCACCGAGGCTTCAAGCAGACAGCCGAAATCTTCGATCCTTTCCCGAAAGCGCAGGCTTAGCCGTCGAATCTCTCTCCGGGTTAATGGGAATGCGACGATTGCAAATTTTTTTACTCCCTTGATGCGTCCTCGTGGAATCCTTAATTGGGAGGAAATTTTAATATACGAGTCCCGATCCTCGGTTATTTACGTACAGGTGACTTACAAAGCGAGTTAAAAAATAATTTAAAGGTCAGACGACATAAAATCCGAAGAAAGGGAGTGTGGAACATTCCAAAGACTATTTATTCCTTTTCACCTGGATTGAGGTCCCAGGAAAGATTCTCCGCAACGCTCAGGTTCAGGTAGGTGTCTCGCTTCTTGTGGTTTTACTTCCTCCTTGAAAATGTATAAAATGGGTTTTCGATTCCCCCGGTTATTCATTTCGACGAATTTTTACACCTCTCGCCCTTTTCTCGTGTTCAAAACTCGTGCAACTGAATTTTCCGTATCTAGATTGCAGCACTCTCTGCGGAAGTTTCCGGAACTAGGAAAGTGTTCATGTTTAATAGGTTATGTAGGACGCCTTTTTATCGGCTCGTCGCTTCCCACTTGCAGAGACGAGTACTGATTGGCTAGTATTGGAGAAACTTGTCCAATTTCGAGTTTACGTCCCGCACTTCGCGCACCTTCTTCGTGAAAATTCGCCCAGCTGTCCATGGGATTATCGGGAATCGGAATTAAACGCGAGAAGTGAAATTGTAAACAAAGGGACTCAGTAAACTTGGAAATCATTCGATGAGGGAGCAAGAAATATCGATGTCGCGTTTGACGGAGTAGCCGAGTAAACTTTACGAGTCATGTCAGGAGGCAGGGGTATACTTAGTTTGAGATTTAATCAAGATCAAGGTATGAACGTAACTGCTCCTTATTGGTAACCTCATGGCCATTTAAAAAGACTGGAATGTGAACTATGAATACAGAACGACAGCGATTAGCATTTTCGAATATAAAATGCAGCGGAGGTGAAGACCGATGCATGTTTATAATTTTCTAGGATGTTTCGTGTGCTGCATGGAATCGGGCCTGAGAATATATAATGTCGAGCCATTGAGCGAGGAGGCACACTTTGAAAATGGCCTGATGGGAAGCATCGCCTTGGGCGAGATGCTGTGGAGGACGAACGTAATCGCAGTGGTAGGAGGTGGTACTCGGCCAAAATTTGCCGACAACACGGTACTTATCTACGATGATTTGGCAAAAAAATTCGTAATGGAAATTACCTTCACCGGGCCTATTAAAGCCGTTCGGTTACGCAGAGACAAGTAAATTTATGTCAAGTATTAGCTTGCAGTTGAATTCGATGCAGAGGTCTGACATGGACTCAATCGAATGTTGCAGATTGATTGTTGCGCTGCAAAAGGAGATACATGTGTTTTCGTTTCCACTACCGACTCGGAGGTTGCTTACCTTAGAAACCAGGGACAATCCCAATGGTCTAGTGGAAGTAGCTACATTAGCAGCAGCGTATAAACAATTACTCGCCTACCCTGGCCATAAGCTTGGCAGCGTACAATTGGTAGATCTAGGCTCTACCGAAGCTGGTAGTTCCAGTGCTCCTGCGACGCTTGTAGCACATCAGGTGAGATGTCCGTTTACAACCGAATAGGATCGATATAAATAGGGGACAGTTCTGTGCAAATAAACCATGAGTACATCGGTAGGGAGCAGTGGCTTGCCTTGCGGTTAATGCCAATGGATCTATGGTAGCTACCGCTTCCACTCAAGGAACATTGGTTCGGGTTTGGGATGGTTTGCGAAGGCATTTATTGGTCGAACTTAGGAGAGGCGCCGATTCCGCCACTCTTTACTGGTTAGTATCGATTATACGATTTGAAATCTAAAACAGGATGAGAATTTGCTTCTAATCAGATTATTCATTATATTGTTTTCAGTATAACCTTTAGCAGAGATTCAGAATTCCTGTGCGCATCCAGTGACAAAGGAACGGTCCATATCTTTGCTCTAAAGGATACTCACCTGAACCGTAGATCCACGTACGTGATCTCACTCAATCAAAAGTTAAACATCACTTACAATCACCTTCCTATTCGCTAGCTTCTCGAAAATGGGATTTCTTGGGAACTACGTTGAAAGTCAATGGGCACTCGCTACCTTCACAGTACCCCCAGAGTGTGCTTGCGTCTGTGCATTCGGAGCCAGGAGTTCCGTCGTTGGTAAATAATTATTTTGCATATAATTAAATTTATCTAACATCTTAAACCGATAATGTCTCTGCATTTTAGCTGTGTGTATGGATGGAACGTTCCACAAATACGTATTTACGTCCGATGGCAGTTGCAATCGAGAAGCCTTTGACGTCTTCCTCGATGTGTGTGATGACGATGAGTTTTAAGCAGGAGTAAAAATTAAGTACATGGGTAAAATTTTCATCTAAGAGTATACACATATACATATATGTTTTATAGAATTAATTATATCATAAATTAAGGTACAATTTTCTATACCGTTGTTTTATTCACTTCCTGCATCTCTCTTGAAAAGAAGTCCACTTTCAAAAATTTTTGTCAACATCAAGACTCGTCGTCAATTAGTGGCACCTTACCATGGGTTTTGCGGAATTTCTCTGAACGGAAACATTAAGTTGAATGAAAGAACATAACGTAAAAATCAATAAATATCAACTTACTGTATGGTTCGGAATTAAATATCGGACGTATGTGTGCAGGATACAGAGTTAACGCAATGGTACTTATGAAAACACCAATGAACACCGTGAATGCCCGTCCTTTTAACCTTGCCATTTTAATGTGAGGTTATGTCGCCGTTTCTATGCAACCATTGTTCATGACAATTGTAGCACGAAATATAGCAGAATGAGTTGGGAGAATGTTCACGGGCAGGGTTACGTGATGTGCTGTGCTGCCTCCGGTGGAGGATGTCGACAACTAACGTCCTTGCCACCTTCCAGGGTCAGCATACGCGATCGCTCGACCCTGTTGCTGCCCGTCTCCCAACTCACCTGTACTTGATTACTGTTGATTACTCTTTGTTTTTATTCGTTCTGCCATTTAATAGTTATTTACCCTTGATGTTATTGTGTACATATTTTATACTGATCAATATCTAAGTACTGTGATACAGCTACAGTTTGTCCAATGATTTAAATTCATTGAGAGGTGGTCAGATGTAAATTATAAATAAAATAAAAATTTCTATGGTCCCACGCGGTTGAATTTATTGCAGCGACCCTGACAGGTATTAATCGCTGCTAAAATTATATCACGTTATCAGTATTCCATTATCAGTAAGTATTATTCCTAATGACATGCGTTATTCTTTGTTCAATTCATGGATACGTTGAAGACACCTCGGTAGGTGTTTCCAACACATATTAATTGTTGCAGTTCCTTGACAATGGATAACGCTAGTTTGGAGGATATACTGCAAAAATACCTGCCAGAATCAGAGCTGCGAGAGGTTGAGAGAATTCTATATGGACGTGGATTAATGTATGTTCTGTACCCAGATTAATCGCTGACCAAATAAAATTTTTCAGCCATGAATTTTGCTCTGACAGGTTTTCTCATCACTTTCAGACGTTTAGGTGTCCCTCAATGGACTGGAGATGGAGAACTAGAAGTCACTGGATGGATAATGGGTGGTGCTTTAAGGGAGGAGTTGCGATCGCCTCGAGTCGTTCGAGTGGGACTGATTCAACACTCCATCGTTCTACCAACGACTGGATTCCTGTCGGCTCAGAGAAATGAAATACATCAGAAAGTCATTAGATACATAAACCATGCAGCGAAATGTGGCGTCAATATAATCTGCCTTCAAGAAGCCTGGAGTACATGATTTAAATAATTTATAAATAAGGCATGATAAGTAACAACGTGACTGTCCTGAATGCTTAAAGTGATAACATTCCTCTGCCTTGGTCTAACCAGCTGTAGGTAATTTTAACAATATTTAAACCTCTAAATATAGTGACTATTTTTCAGCGATGCCTTTTGCTTTTTGCACAAGAGAGAAATATCCATGGTGCGAACTCGCCGAGGATGTCGAGACTGGACCAACTACCGTTCTAATGTGTGAAATGGCGGAGCGCTACAACATGGTCATCATATCACCGATCCTGGAAAGGGACAGGGTCAACGGAGACACATTATGGAACACCAGCGTGGTGATCAGTAACACTGGTAAAGTAATAGGGAAGCACCGGAAGAACCACATTCCTCGAGTTGGTGATTTCAACGAATCGACATATTACATGGAAGGCGACACTGGTCACCCTGTGTTTGAAACTGCTTACGGTAAAATAGCTATTAACATCTGCTATGGACGACACCATCCTCAGAATTGGATGATGTTTGGAGTAAACGGCGCAGAGGTTAGTTCCTTTTCCATTTCTCCTCGATTACTTGCACCAGTCTCATAAATTACATTATCAATCCCTGATTCCATCAGTCATTCAATCATCGAGTCAATAATAACATACCTTAGATCGTCTTCAACCCTTCAGCAACGGTGGACAAGCTCTCCGAGCACCTGTGGCCCGTAGAAGCAAGATGTGCCGCCATAGCAAACAGTTACTTCACCTGTGCAATCAATCGAGTGGGAACCGAACTATTCGAAAGGGAATTCACATCAGGGGACGGAGCACCAGCCCATCGAGACTTCGGTCACTTCTATGGCTCCAGCTACGTTACTGCCCCCGATGGCACCAGAACTCCTGGCCTAAGCAGAAACAACGACGGTCTCCTAGTCGCCGAGCTCGACCTGAACGTGTGCCGGCAAATCAAGGACACCTGGGGCTTCCGAGTGAGTATCTAAACTCAAGTCCTAATTACCCTATTTCTCAATTACTTAAAAATTTTTTTTTCCATTCTCTCAATCAGATGACGCAACGATTGGACCTGTACGCCCGTGAGTTAGCCGAAGCAACCAAGCCGGACTACAAGCCCCAGGTTATTCGAGAGTGACACCCTGAAGAGACTCTCCGGAACCACTTCCACATCTCGAAGGGACTCAAGAAACACAGACAAACCTACGAGTTCCTGTCGAAACTGTAATTATTCTCAAGGCAAATAAAACGGAGTGGTTCGACGAAGACGCCGACAAGACCATGAATTATTCTCACACATTCGCCGTGGCATTCAAAGGAGCATTGTGCGTCTGCTTCCGATAATGCAGGGCCTCCTGGTACGCCTTCTTCACGGCCTTCCTGTCAGCCGGTTTGCGGGACTCGATGAGCTTTGCCTCGTCAACCTCTTCGGACACGCCGAGCTTCTCCAGCTTCTCGCCTGGCAGCCATTGCCTGGTGAACGGAGGACGTTGACGTTACTCATCCCTTTGCGAGGAATTTGAGAATATCCCAAGTCGCGAAAGAATCTACTTGGACGCCGAGAAATCTCGGGATTACCAGGTACGCTTGGTATCGAAGAACAGGACGAGGTAGACGGGCTCCTTGTAGTTGACGGCGAGAGCTAGGACGTCATCCGGGGGCGCCGGGATAGGCACTCCTTTGTGCACGGTACCCCTTGGAGTGCCAGGGTCGATGATCAGGGCAGGATACCAAGGATATCCCCGGCACTTGGCCCAGACCAGCTGCAACGCCTCCAGGCGACCATCCTCTCGCTTTCTGGTGACCCTCTCCTTCTCCCTGGGCTCCGGAACCTCCTTCGGGTCTTCTCTAGGTGCCTCCTCCTCTCCAGGAACCGCATCCTCGTCCGGCACAGGACTGGTCGACCTGCTGGTCGAACAGCTGCTGCAACTGGACGACTGACTCTCGCCCTCGGCGCCGTCGCTGTCCTGGGCTCCGCTTCTGGAACGCGAAGAAACCCCCAGGTTATGTCCTCTCTTCTTCAAGGCACCCTGGAGTTAGGGAATGAATTAAATAAGACACACTCGAGGTACAACCTGTACACCCTGAAGCTGTCGGCTTGTTTGGAGGGCCTGGGGGTCGCCGGCTCCGGGTCGGCCCGGTCGCTGGAGGCCTCGGGGCCGCCTTTTCCTGCCCTGGCCCTGGCTTTGCGAGTGAAGAGGACAGCCGTCCTGCGGTTGACGCCGGTCCCGGATCTACCCATGTCCTTCTGCCCCGGCACGGCTGGGCCTTCCGTGGTTCCCGAGTCGGCCCGGATCCGGGAGTTCCTCTCTCGCTTCCTCCACTTCACTGGGCTTGGTGCCGTCTCTCTCTCGCCGTCTCCAACGACTTCACTCTCCAGCTCGGGGTAGTCCTTGAGCGCCTGCTCGATCAGAGCGCCTCCTTGCTCGCGCATCCTCACTCCGGCCCGGTAGAACATCGTGTCCTTGCGGTTGTACGCCAGACAGTTCGACACCATAAGGTTGAAGTCCTCTTCAAAGGATGCCAGGGTATCGTACTCCTGGCGTTCCAACTTGGCCTGTCAGTAGGGAGATGCATTAATTAGAATAGGGTTTCAGAGTCCATGAAGGAATCCTGAAGGTCTTGGAGGTTAGCGTAACAACCTGAAGTGGAAGGATAATGTGTCGGAGACCTTCACTTACCTCCATCGTTGACAAGTCCATAGGGTGCGTCACTATGTCCAGATAATCGGGCACTTCCTTTGTGTCCACTGGCTGGCCGAACACGTTGTTGCTGTCGCGAGCTTTGATCGCCTCCAACAAGGTCCTCAGGACGCTTTCCAATGGACGCAGCTCGAACCACATGCACTTTTCCTTGCTGCAGTGAAAGAGGTTAGAAATTAGTTTGGGTGACGAGGTGGTTCAATGAGGTTACTTACACCTTGAAGAGCTCCTTTTTAAGTTTCTCGCGTTTGCGGACCAGCTCGCAGAGTAACCGAGCCCTTTCTAAATCTTGTCGAAGACACTGCCAATACTTGAGCTGACGATAGAGTTCACCCCTGGATTCCCCATCAGGTGCTGGAGAGGTGCAATCGGTCAGTGGGGGAGGACGAGCGTGTGGATGGGTACTCTGTAGTCTCCGGAGTAGAGGAACTCCGTTCCTGTACTGACGTTTCAGAGTCCAGTAGGCAATCAAACGTTGGATCAATTGACTCTTCCTCGGCAACCCCTCTGCCAGGCTGTAAATCGTAATAAACAATTATAACAGCGAGTTTAATTCTCTAGAAGCAGAGAGCTAAGCGATGCGGTGGAACATAGAAGTACCTAGCTATCTCGCGAATACGTTCTGGAGGAATAGTTGGTATTGAGATGACAGGAGCGGAAGAGCTCTTCTTGTTGGCAATGGCTCTCCTCCTGGCGTCAGCAGGATTCGTTGAGGGCTGATAATCAGCCGGGGTGTGGGCTTCGCAGTAGGCAGTCTTCTGTACGAGCATCGGCTCTCCGTTGGCAGGCTGGACTGTACGCATCCGCATGCATAAACCAGCTTGCTGGGCACAGGTCACGTGGAAAGCAGCGTAGCAGTTGCTTTTGTGACATTGAATACAGGCACCGGCGGCGCGCCGCTTACAAACGCAGCAAGTGAGACGCCATCGAGCTGCAGGAATGCTCTCGATACTGTCAATAGGTTCCAGGAAAACTGTGTTTGCAAACCTAACCTCTGGGATCCAGAGAGCACAGACCACATGCGCCCATGTGGAGGGTCGGTCGGTCTGCTTGAATGCACCACCTCTGTTGGGACACAGCACACAGTCTACTGCCCGAGATGGGCTCTGTAGGCAACGACGGCACAGCCACTGGCCTTCGGGAATGTACGGCACACCGTAGCAGTCCTGGTGTACTGCTAGATTGCACATGTCACAGAATAAAATGGCATTGCTATTTTGGCACTCGCCGTCCATGCAGATACAACACACTGCGTCTTCGTCCAGTGCTGCAACGTTAGCACTGCCACCGCTCAGTCCACCGGATCCTACACTTCCTCCAGTTCCTCCACCGGTACCACCAACTCCGCTACCACCATTTCCATTGCTCTGCTGCTGGAAGTAAGACTCTTTTTCCAGTCGGTCCATCAACAGTTCAAACGTGTCCGCTTCCATAGGTGGTGCCAGACCTGATGCTAAACGTCGCTCATTGACGATACTCAACCATGCTGAGTCTTCCTCGTCTAGATCGTACTCGACCTCACCTGAGAATTATATTTCAATTATTTGTAGATTAGAGTATCCAAAAAATATATCAATGGATTAAGATGCAACAATTACTTGATGTTTCTTTATTTACCATCAAGCTCCTCGCCGCTACGTTCCATAAATCTAACATAAGAATTAGGCAGTGGCTCAGCCTCTCCTATCTGTAGTTCGTATCCATCCAGTTCCTTAACCGATGCCACAGGCAATGAACTCGGTATTGTTTTATCTTCTCTATCTTTATCAGCTGTCGTCGCGTGTCCCTTACCAACAAAATTCTTCTCCTCGGTTTTAAAGTCTTCCAAGGAAATTACAGAAAACCCTTCACCAATCCCAAGCCTTACAGGCTTATTCCCTTCCTCGCTTGGAGGATTTATCTGAAGCGTAAATCATGCCAAAGATCACAAAGACGATTAACTTAATTGTTCACTTGTAGAATTCATACCATTACAAATTTTGAAGATTCTCGAGGATTTGGAACATCCGAACCCTCGACTCCTGAGGAGTCGTTAGGTACGCCCATTCTGTTCCTGCTTTTCTTTTTATTACTTTGAGGTGTATTCATATTGTTCGATTCTGAAATATAAAAAAAATGTCAATGAAAACAGAATGCAATAGAATGTAAACAAATCGGTGCACGGAGTAAACATGCAAGTATTATTGATAGAAGGGAGTTCACTTTCCTTGAAAAGAGATGAAGTACTAACCGGTGTGATTACCGTTTACGTTGTTCCGCTCAACTTTAGCGTTTTATCGTTGAAAATTTTCCGACTTTTCGTTATAAAAGGCATTTGTGTTCACTTCTCACTTCTGTCGGAACCTTTCACCAAACTGTGACAACTGGCGACACCGCGTAAACCTGCTGTCTATGAAATTGGGTGTAAGAAGAAGGGCAGAGATGAGTTGGGAGATAGCTCACAGGCAGGGTTGCGCGAACGTCATGTGCTGCCCCCTGGTGAAGGATGCAGACGGCTAATGCATTTATCAATTGTTACTCCCAGTGGCGGCGCAACACATTTCTGGTCGGGACTCACGTCATCGCGATGGCATATACAGGGTTTGAACGTTTTTTGAGGGGTTCATGACTTTTTAGCCGATTTTCGGGCTCTCCATCTTGGCAAACCTGTCAGCCAATCAGAGCTTGCGATTTCTCCCCTCTCTATGAGAACGCATGTCTGCCCTCTTCTTTTCTCGATTTCTGTGGACTTGCCGAATGTGACGTGCACTTGCGTGCACTGAAGGCGGGATTGGTTAAAATTCAAAAACCGGCCAATGATAAAGAACACTCTGATTTTTCGTGTCTCTCATGACTTTTTAAGACATCAGCGATGTTCTTTGAACTCCTTTTGATGAATTTATTGGCATCGAATGTTGCTGGAAAACCGAATGTCCTCTTGATAGTTGTCGACGACTTGAGGACCACCATAGGCTGCTATGGAGACAGTAATGCATATACGCCGAACATAGATTCTCTGGCAGAGGAAAGTGTGCTTTTCACTCAAGCATTTGCACAGGTAGAAATACAAAGCTTAACATGCCTTTAAGTAACCTTAATTTTATCCCCTTACTTATGTGCATCGAGTGAATGCCAATCGTACTTTTGTACTCTCCAGCAATCTTTATGCGCTCCAAGTAGGAATTCATTTTTGACGAGTCGCAGGCCAGATACTTTACAACTTTATGACTTCTATAGCTACTGGCGTGATTCGGTTGGAAATTTTACAACCCTACCGCAGCACTTGAAAGATCACGGTTTTACAACCATGTCCGTAGGAAAGGTATTTCATCCTGGTAAGGTGCTCCTTATTACAAAGTTTGGTTAATAATGGTTTCATCGATTTGATACCGCTTGCAGGAATTAGCTCGAACAATTCCGACGATAGTCCATATTCATGGACTGAAAAACCGTTTCATCCGTACACGGATCGCTACAAAGATGCCACTGTCTGTACCTCTACGTCGAGCTCTCTTCCTGCTCAGAATATTGTAAGATGATATAAATTTGTTAGTTTACGATGAACCTAGTATTTTTTATTCCATGCTGGTGTTTTAGGTTTGTCCCGTCTGTGTACCTTTTATGCCAAATGGAACACTCCCAGACATCGAATCGTTGAATGCAGCGAGGTCATTCATACATAAACACAAAAATGATCCAAAACCTTTTTTTCTGGCTGTTGGGTTTCAAAAGCCACATATTCCTCTTAAATATCCAAAAGAGTATTTAAGTAAGAAAATAGATCATCGGTCAGGATTCTGATATTTTCTATTACTAATGGAATATGATTTTTTTAGAATATCATCCTTTAGACAAGTTTGCAGTGCCAGATATATATATGTGGCCAAACAATGTTAGCAGTGTTGCGTATAATCCTTGGACCGATCTCCGCAAGCGCGAAGATGTGAAAGCACTTCTTCTTAAATTTCCATGGGAAAAAATACCAGGTGAAAAAAAAATACTAAACAATGTGTCATAAAATTAGCTCGGTCTTCTAACAATAATTCATCTTTCAGTGAAATTTGCTACAACCATCATTCAATCTTATTATGCCGCCGTGACTTACATCGATGACATGATTGGGTTACTCTTGGCTCAATTGTGTATTTCAAAAATTAGAAACGAAACTATAGTGATTCTCACTTCAGACCATGGTACCGATAATCTGAAATTACATTTCTACGATTATGAACTTTGCTTCTTATTGAACATTTAATTTTTATCGCACAGGCTGGTCATTAGGAGAGCATGCCGAATGGGCGAAATATAGTGACTTCGACGTTGCACTGCGTATCCCCTTGATAATTTCGGTTCCTGGTTTGACATACAACATACGAAATAACTGCAAAACTACGAAAGAAAATTCTACAGTGGATCGAACAACTGAACACAATCATGATATTCATCGTGATAAAAATATATCCAGTGATACCAGAATACTTTTGGAAGAGTTCGAAAAGATAAAGAAATTATTGATGAAGGAAAACGAGACTACTGGTCAATTTCTGAATGCAGTGGATAGAGAAAAAAATTCTACCATTAATAATAAGGAAAGTACTGCAGCGAACGTGGTAGTTTTAAATAAAAAACCAACAACTGATTCTGAAGCGACAAAACAATCTGATACATCAGACATCAATAACTTAAAAAATTTGACAACTTCTAGCGCAGGACCTAGTACTCAAATTAGTAATAGTTCAGAACTCTTAACGGAAGCCTATAAAAATACTGAACACTCTCTGAACAGCCAAGTGGAACTTACCACGGAAGCAATCAATAGTTCTGAAAATACTTTCAACACACATACTGAATTAATAACTCCTACACCACATCTTACATCGTTGGTAAATAATACAACACTCCCACGTAATGAAAACCAGACGACTGAAAGTATTGAATCATTACTCAAAGAAATAGAAGACCTGATGAAGAAGGAGAACGACCAATCAAGTCAGAACACTGAGAATTCTCACGATGACAATAAAAATGTGACGAGCTTTGTCACTGCAGAAAATGCAAACATCAGTAAGTCGAAGGAGATTCCATACTGGTCCAGAAAAGCTGAAGAATGGTCGGATAAAATAGAGTTACTGGTTAAAAAATTCGAAAACATGCTGCGTGGTATTGAGACTAACAATGAGTCTACGTTAACTCCATCGATAGAGGTTGCAACTACTACAGTCTCGGCAGAGAAAGAAGTGAGGCCAAGTCCAAGTGTTCCGATAAACAAAAACAGTACTACTAACGTTCTGCAACATGTGCAAGAAGCTGTATCCAAAGCCTCAACATCGTTTCCTAAAGGTTCTATACCAGTAGCACGTAACAAAACAAACAATGTAAGGTCTCAAAAAATTTCTTTGCAAAATGCTGCTCTTGAAAAAATTACAGACAGTGTGGAAAAACCTAGTTTTGACAGAATGATTATAGAAAATACGATAAAACCTCAAGTTAATGAAATTAATGTGGATAAACTGATGAAACACTTCTCCAGAGTGAAAGCGATCTTAGAAAAATCAAATAGCGTATCAAATGAAAGCTCTGCGTCGAGTTTTCAAATTGCTGGCAAAAAGCAAAGCATGCCTGAGGTTGGAAATTTTTATACAAATGTTAGAAAAATTAGGAATAATTGGTTATTAAATGGACTGAGGAATAATTCCAAAACTAACTCATCTAAAGTACATGATCGAGGAATTTTGACTACATCTAGTGCAGATGATCAAGAGAAAAAATGGAAGATGAAAAAAAATTGGGATGAAAGGATTAAAGCTCTTCGTAAAAAGATTGATTATGCTGAAACCATTTTGGAAAATCTTAACGGTAGAAATAGACTAGAAGTTTCGGAGAGACATTTAGGAAAAGGCGATACAAAAGCGAAAAACTTATGGAATATGCCAGATACAAAACCAAATCGTAATTATAATGACTATAACATAATTTCACACCCGCATAGGAAGACTAATAACGGAGAGATGAAACTTAAGTGGATAATCAAGATGAGAGCTTTTCAACAAAAGATGAAATCTACCGAGAGTGCTGTTCCAAGCTCGGAAACGGAAAAACTAGATTCACATAATTACAATGGAACTCACTTTGATTATTTTGAAACTGTTCCGAATCATACGAAGGACTCTCACATTGCACATCGTCATGATTACGCTTTTATAATGCCGGAAGACACAAAAAACACTATAATCACTGATAAGGTTTTTTCACAGCATCCTAAATTTTCTGAACGGAAAAATAATCCCGATTTGCGCGTCGAGAATTTTTTAAAACACTTTCAAGAGATATTTAATGTTAGCATCAAAGATAATGGAATTACAACAAATTCAGTTTCGAGGTCCAGAAGTAAAAAGAGTATATCTTCAGAACCAACAGATAGCGAGCTTCAAGACAATCATAAAAGCGAATTGAGCAAATTGAGACATAAGGAAGAGAACAATGAGTCATATCGTAGAAGGTATCGACACAAACATCGTCTGAAGAATTATTCGATGAGTACACTGGATGGGATTTATGAAGCTTTAAGGAGAGACCATGAACAGCTTCGAAGAAATCATGAGAAGCTCCTGGAGGACCACGATAAGCTTAACAAAGTATTAAAAGGGATATACAGAGGCCATAATGATGTGGATATCCTAGAGGACCGAATCAATGGCAACGATGAGAGAGAAACTCCGAAGAGAAGTCATGGACTCGATGGAGTTATTCGACACGAAGCAAACATTGAAAATCCACAACACCACAAAGCAAAAGTCGACTTTGAACTTAAATTTTTAAGAGACTTAAGAAAACGTAATCGAGCTCGACATCGGAGTCGTGCAGGGACGAATTTCGCAAAAACGAGAGTTGTCGAGAAAAAGAGTAATTTAGGCAAGAAAGAACTCGATTGCGAGAATAATCCAGAAATTATTAATCCATTTTCCTCGATTACCAACCAAAGAATTTATCCAACAGGTGACAGAAACGCAATTGAAGTAAAAAAGACCTCGCACTCTCTTCAGCGTCGTCATCAACCGATAACGCGCAATAAGATTTACAAGACCGTTGACGAAATGGTGGAGTTAGTAGATCTGTTTCCAACTATCGCCGAATTAGTTGGCTTTCCAATTCCGATTTGTCCCGACATCGAGGATCGGTACGTGGAGTCTGCTCAAGCTCCAGCACTGCCAAATCCTTGCAGCGAAGGAATCACGTTGATACCCCTTATAAATGCTGCGATGACTTCAAAGGTTTGCAAATGATAACACTTCAAAAGCTTCTTTCAAGATACGAATAGTTACTTTTATGTGCAATTAGTGAAATTATTGTTTCATTGCAGAGGATACCATGGAAGAAGGCAGCTTTTAGTCAGTACCCCCGTCCTGGCATGGAACCTACGCTGCACCCAAACAGCGATAAGCCAAGACTGAATGAAATCAATATTATGGGATACACCCTGAGGACTAAGAAATACCGGTACACTGCTTGGGTTTCTTTTGCACATGAGTCCAAAAAACCTGATTGGAGAAAGATAGTTGCAGAGGAATTGTACGACCACGATCTGGACCCTGGAGAGAATGTGAACGTGGCAGGTACTGCCTCGTTCCAAGAGGTCGAGGAGAAACTGAGGATGCTCCTTAGAAGGGGATGGAGACAAGCTTTGCCTGAACAATTTAAAAGCGAAGGCCAAAAGATAGAACAAGGGTTGGAACATTCGAAGGGTTGAATAACCCTTGATCAATTCAGTCGTCGATGCAAGTTTCATACGTATGTTGCTTTCTACGAATTTGAGATAAACAGAAATGTTACATTGGCTCGGTGTGCCAAAAGCTAACGAGAAATAGCCCGAGGTAAGTTTCAATATTATCGGAATAGGATTCTAGGATTACGTGACAATTTATTTTCACTACTGCCAACGGTACATTTGACTGAATATATATAACTCGTATATTAAATAAATTGTTTCCGTTTTTAAAGGAGTAACTTGTTAACAAGAAGGTAACAAGGCAACTAAATGCAATGACACTCTTCCTTCCTGATATAAAATATTTGTTTTCTTCGTTGCATTTTCCTATGGGAACCTTTACACACTAAAAAGGATGAAAATAGAGCAAACCAACGTGAAATAACCATTAATACATGATTCTAAGATGTAATGAATAATACAGAAAACAAGTGCGCATTTAGAACTTGAATAAAACTCCCGGAAGCATTACCTAAGATATCATATCAGCAGCAACTATACATTCTCTAGACAGCTTTTAATAATTTTACATTTGTTTGGTAATCGTAGATAGTAGGATAAAAAACCTTACCGAACTAAAGGAAGTAAATACACTGTGCAACCACTTGGTATAGAAAGTCGTTAACTTGGTTATTCGAAGTCTCCGATAGAGTGAATCCAACTCAACCGGTTTGAGCGCCTTCGTAGTTACTGCATTCCCTCGATTTTATTTATAAACTAACGTAAACGGTTATGTACACTGACGAAGTTGCATATGCAACAACCACATATATCTAGTCTCCTTTCATTCTTTACGAATAACGCCATACCGAAGCGAAGGGGACACATAGAAGACATGATTCACACTTTGCATTCTCAAAGATTTAAGCCTCCGAACGGAAGTAGGAAATAAGTAAAACAACTTCCCTTGCCTCATTTACTCCTCACATTTTTTCCAAGTATCTCCGATTCCTCATTTATTCCTCTTGAGGTTTACTGTTCTTTGACGACGTGGAAGCTTGTGGTTCTGTTGTCGACGTGACACGATCGGTAGCAGGAGTAATCTAAACCGTCAACAATGTAGAAATAAATTCCTTCGGAGATAAATAGGCAAGACTTTTGCCATACCAATTCATACCTCAATAATGTCATCGTCTTTCGATCCTCTTACGATGTCTCCAGCTATCCAATTGCTATTGTTGTTGTAGGTATTGTAGTTCTCCTGCTGAAGCTGTTGCTGCTGCTGTTGATGGTGAAACTGTTGTTGTTGTTGCTGCTGCTGCTGCAGTACACGGAGCAATGTGCGCTGTTGCTGCACCGCATACTGTTGCTGTGCCTAATTATACGTAATTAGATACATTCTACATAAAAGAAGAAAACATCCAGTATCTAAATCATAGCGTGAACTCTATCAACTCACCAGAGGATTCATAGCAGCTAAAGCATTGTTAGGGGCTCGTGGAGCATACATTGGATTCTAAAATATAGACGAAGTACAGGTTACGTACACAAATCCTTCGAACCTGTAAATAAAACTAAACCTACTAATATTAATACTTATCTTACCGTCATCACAGGATTTCTGTTCATCATTGTCTGCTTTTCAACATAGGTGTACATTTCCATCACTGCGTGCGTTGCCATCGCCTTTAACTGGACATCCGTTGCATTCGGATACTGTAAAATTCACCCAGTCCGATAGAAACCACAGAAACATTAAATAATCGTATCAAGCTTTTGAGCAACTATTGAAGGAGAAATATAAATGCATAACCAGCAAAGTCGACATACATCTTTCTTAATCAGTCGTTGAATATTTTCAACATCCAGAAGTATCTTGTTGGGATCAATCACTCCGGTCTGTAGCTGTTGTTGCTGCCAGTTCATCTGGTTTTGGAAGTTCATGTGGGCATTCATCGTCGGTACTCGTCCCTTCTTCTCCTCCTCGTATTCAAGCCAAGCCTGCTTCCTTTCCTCCTCGTCTAGTTCCTCTTCAGCCTGGAACGAAGCTTTGAAAAACTAACCTATACACATAACCTATTCTATGAGGAACTAAAGCGAGACCTTGTTTTCCAGGAGAGAATCGTGCTCATGATAATTGTCAACCGCGTCCTTATACTTCAAAAGAATCTCAGCCAGCAGTCTGTCTCTTGGAAGATTCAACGTTTGCTTGTCTTTGTCAGTGTTCGGCTCGAACTGGTACAGCTCGGTGAGGTCGTTATTGCTGTAATGTCGCTCGATTTGTTGCTCGTCGACAACTCGACACGACAGGGAGAGTTTCGTCACTTGACGATTGTAGATCTTCTCCTCCATCGTACCATGAGCCAAGAACCGATAGATGTAGCAAGGTTTCTTCTGACCAAACCTGAAATAATTAAAATAAATTACTGAAATTAATCTCGATTTACAAGAACATTGATCCAAATTTCCAGGGAGCCTGGAACTTCTCTTCTGGTACCTGTATATCCTGAAGATGCTCTGCACGTCGTGAGAGGGATTCCAGCTAGCATCGAATATAATGACCCGGTTGGCTGCAGTCAAGTTAATCCCCAGACCTCCAGCCCGGGTCGAGATGAGGAAGAGACGAGCTCGAGTGTTGGAGGGCTTGTTGAAGATGTTGCACCAAATGCTTCTGTTGTCGGCAGAAGTCTGACCATCCAGTCGGAAATAGTCTAAACCCAGGGACCAACTGCCGGTATGACCTTCGAGGAGTTCGCTCTTAACGTCGTTCTGCGTTTCGTCGTCGATTCTTCTGAGGAACTCCTCGATCAACGTCAAGGAGTACAGGGACTGCGAGAACACGAGCCTGTGAACCGAAAGAATGGTCAATTGATCACGGTTGAACCTTAAAAAAATTCCAACGAGGTAAACGGGTTACTGTACACTTTATCGCCGATCTGCTCGCATTCCTTCAATATCCCGAAGAGTAGAGTCAGCTTGGAGGAGATCCTGATGTCGTCGAAGTGCTTCTGCTGGACGAACTGGCTCCACCACTCCGATGGCTCTTCGCGGTTCTCTTCTGGTTCCGGTTCCGGCTCGACTGGAATCATAAATTGATGTTCGGCATCCATTTCTAGAGGATAGAGTTAACGAACATCCTTGCAGGAATTCTTACGCGCAGGGTTGGCTCTGGTCGAGCGTTTCCTGGTCTTCTTCTCCCCCTCGGAGTCGATCAGCTGGACATCGTCGTTGCTCTTGCTGCCGGCACTTCCGGAGCTGGTGCTGCTGGTATCGGAATCGTCGCCATCGTCGATGAAGTCCCTCAACGAACCCTCGGAGTCGCTCGCCTCGAGTCTCTTCTTCTCATTGGCCCTCTCAACCTTTTCGGCGTTCAACTTCAGCACGATAGGATGCGTCCACACCCTCTGCAGCTCCTGGAAGTCCGCGAAGAGGCTCCCTCCGGCAACTCTCTGGCGCCTACAAGGTCAAAACTTAATTATGTGACAAATATCCACGCGATAAACAGGGTTCTTCAAAGACGAAGCCATACCTTGCAAGATTGTTCAGGTAATACTGATACATTTCCACCTGTACTTCCGTCAGCCTCACGAAAATAACGTACTCCTGTTTGGGCGGCAAGAACGGCATCAACACGGAATAATCGAATCTCTGCACGCTGCCCTCCAACATTTTATGTAGAACGTGGGCGCGTTTCTTCATCAACTTCACGTCGTACTCATTGGAGTCGTCGAACTGTCCGTTCGTTATCGGGTTGACGAACCTGTTCATGAACTCCTTCTTCGTGCCCAGGAGATTCGGCTTGACGAAGTGCACCATGCAATGATCTACAAATGAAAAAAAAAAATTAATATGAAGTCCAAGCATTGGTTCTAAGTATATCAGGGGATACTCACATTCTTTCAAGTTGTTCTGCAGCGGCGTGCCGGTCAGGACTATCCTCCTGAGAGTCTTGACCTTGTTCATGGCTTTGCTCAGGGCGGTGTCCTCATTCTTCAGCAAGTGGCCCTCGTCGCAGATGACGAGGTCGGCCCCAGGGTCCACCAGGCACTTCAAAATGGACTCCTGCATGCTCTTCCTCATCTTCTTCCCGGACGAGCTGAGGTTCCGGAACATTTCGTACCCGATTATGAGAACTCCTCCGCAGCGCTGCCAGTTCTCCAACTCGTACTTCCTCTCGAAGTTCTTCTTCATCCTTGAAATGACAAGCGGCACTATTAGACGCGACAAGAGAACTACGGTGGGTCTTCAAGGTTTCCTGAAAAATCTTAGTCTTACTTCGTCAGCTCGAAGACGTTAATGTCATCACCACCGTTCACGTGTTCCAGCCAGATTTTGAATTCGTTCACCCAGTTCAACACCGTGTTCAGGGGACAGACCACCATGACGGTTTTAATCTGTGTCTGTTCGTGGGTCAGCAACGTGTGGGTTAGCGTTACGACTTGGAAGGACTTTCCGAGGCCCATGCAATGTGCCAGGATGCAGCCAGACCCCGTGCTGTCTTTTAATCTCTTGACCGACTCGAAGCAAGCATCCCACATAAACTTGATACCTTGAGCTTGGTGAGGCTTTAGACGTTTCACTAATTCCGCGTGGACACTGATTATCTCTTCTTTGGTCTCCTCGTCGAAGTCGAGTACTAGCTTGTCCACTCGCTCCTCTCCGGCGAGCCTCATCTCGTACATTTCGTTGTACTGGGAAGATTTACGCGGTAAATGCCGCGGAATAATATTTAATTAATTAAAAATATTCTTAATAAATATTCACCAATTTCTGGCGGTCCGCTATGCGCTTCAATCTTTCCTCCTCCTCTTTAGCTGCTTGCTTGGTGACGTCCGCCACTTTGTTGTCCTTAAGCACCTTGCGGATGTTCTTCCTCCCAGCTTTGTTCGGCGTCCCTTGGGAATTTGTTAACCCATCGTTATCACTATCGCTGTCACTGTCCATTTTCTTGATTCGCCTTCGCTTCGGCTTGGTTCTATACAATGGAAATAGGAATGAAAATTCATCCTGAGTGGAAAGAATCTACGAAACGTACTTTGTCTCTCCGGAAAGCGAATCGGAGTCCGAGGATTTTGCGGTTCCTCGCTTGCGCGGCTTCCTTTTCTTTTCTTTCTCCTTTTCCTTGCCATCCGATTTTTCTTTCGAGGAGTCAGAGTCTTCCGAGCTCTCATCTGTCAGCTTTATATCGGAGTCAGATTCGAATACTCTTCGCTTCACTCGCTTCTTTTTTATCTTGCGCTCCTGTTCGTCTTCGTCGCCTGATCTAAAAATGCAGATCGTAGAGGTTAGCTTGGGTAAAGTTTGAGGTTAAGTGGAAGGAAGACGGATTGGTTAGTAGGCGCACTTACTTTTCGTCTTCTTTCTTCTCTTTAAGCTTTTCTTGGGACGCAGTCCACCTTTGCTTCTCTGCTTCGGAATCGGAATCGGATAATTTCATCGTAAGAAGTTTACTTCTCTTCCAGCGACCTTTATCCGACTTTGCATTGTCCTAGAGTGGTCGAGCAAAGAGATTTTAATGATATTAGTGTTAAACATTTTCTTGCTGCAAATATTAGTATTAATACGTAAATAATTAAAAACCTCATCATCTTTCGAACTGCTGCTCGATCGATCAGGTTTGTTCTCTGAGAAATTCACACTTTTGCGTTGCTTGGTCTTCTCCGACTTCTTAGGCCCTTCGGAACTGCTGCCCTCTGGATTCCCCCCTTCTGTAAATAAGCGAATCTCTAAGTCGCAATTCAAAAATGTAATTTAACAACCAATTTAATGATACAATCATATTTTTACCATCTTGCGAATCCGAACTATTCAGGAGAAATTGTTTCGCTAGTTTGTCAGCTTCGACAGCAAGATCCGTGCTGGTATCGTGAGGTTCTCCTTTAACATTAATTCGTTCCTTTTCGGTTTCTGATTCGACACTGTCATCCGGAATTCCTTCATTTTCCACTTTCTTTAGATGATCCAACAGACTTTCTTCGGGAGTCTCAGAATCTCGCTTTTTCTTCTTTGCTGGAGTGTCTTTCGATGACTTTGATAAGACTTCGTCATCAGAATTTGAATCATTAATGGAACCTTTCTTGCTTTTTTTCTTTTCAAGAGATTCCAAAGTGACCAAACTGCTTAAAGTAAATTAAAAAGAAATATAAGTCGCAACATATAACAGCCGTTAATTTCTGAATTGACAAGTATGAGGTGTACATACCTTTCTATTTGTTTGTACTCCAATCGCAGTTTAGATTGTTCCAGAACAGCAGAAAATCGAGCCAAGACTTTTGGCTTTAATCTCTTCAACACAACCTTGCAAGTCATTCGCAACTTTTCATCTGTCAAATAATGCTGATTCTTCTGCAACTTGAATTTCTTCTTCTTATGACTTGAACTGTCATAATCTAATTCTCGACCTCGTTTTAAGGAATGGGGTTTACTGTTGGATGTATTTGAATTATCGCTATCTTTTTTGTTTGATTTATCAGGATTATTATCTGGATCCGAAGGAGAATCGTCACTGGTGGAAGATATAAACAATGACTTCTTCGCTCGCAAATTAGCCTTCTCTCTGTCGGAACCCTCGTTGCTTTTCGAACTATTGCTTTTTGAGCCATTGCTCGTGTCCAATGATCCGGAATCATCTTCAGAGTTTGAATTTAATAGAGCATTCTTTGCAAGCTGCTCCACATCGTCACTCTCAGTTAACTCAGGAGTCTCTTCTATATTCCCTAAAATAGAATTATCTGAAAAACTGTCCGATGACCCATGTTTAGTCATACCTTGTCTTAGCGGTTTCTCATTCTTCTTCTCTTCGTTCTTCGCAACAATCTCTTCTTGCAATTTTACTACTGGAGTCGACACCGGGGTAACGGTACCATCTTCAACCTCTTTCGGATCTTTGGTTTCATTTGCAGAATCGTTTTCAATTTGTTTCGCTACATCCTTTGAAATTGCGGATTCCGTGTTACCGTGTAAAACAAGTTCTTCGTTTTCTGAATCATCGGACTTGCTTTTGCAAGGATTAGCCTCTTCCTCCATTCTGGTATTTTCCTCGCACGGTGGAACTGCTTTGTTCCCTTTATTATCATCTTCTTTACTGGCAACAATCTTATTGTTGTCAACAGTAGAGTTTAAATCGTTACCTAAATTATCACAACTGGCTTCAGTTTTTGAAAGAGAACCTGATGCTTCAGATTGATCTTTGCTACTTTTAAGAACTGTGTCTCTATCAGTTCTCATTTCTGCAACCTTTGAAGACTTTCCCCTCGTGGATTTTATCTCATCAGTGTCTTCCACAGCATTGATACTACTGTCAAACATATCACTTGATGAATCATCCACGATCAATCCATCAATTCCACCGAAAGTCTCATCGTCGCTTTCTTTACATCTCTTTTGTGAATTTTCATCCTTAACCGCAACAGCATCTTTATTTTTCTCGATCACAGGAGTCCTTATTAAACTATTATTTTTTTCAACAGTGGCTCCCGATTTTGCAGCTTTTGGTAATACTAAAGTAGCCTCATTTTCACTATTTTGTGAATCACAGATCTCTTCTTCAACTGATGGCACTTCTTTAGTGCTCTCTTTCCGTTCTGCCGTATCAGAATTCCTATCGGCACTTTTCCTGCAGTTCTTTGAATTATTCTTTTCGTTCTTCTGTTCTTCAATATTTAATATAACATCATCACTCTCGTCACTTAACCTCTGCATACTTGAATTCCTACGTTTCTGAGTTTCACCTTCGACTATTTCATCCTTCTCTTTACACAAACTTTTATTTACATTGGAAGTTCTCATTTCACTCCCTGAGAAAATTTCTTCACTATCGCAATCCGATACTTCGATACCTTTATCATCATTAACTTCATTCTTGCTCGATGAAGACTTCTTATTAAAGGTCTCATCTTTAGACGATTCATCATCCTTCATGTTATCCAATTCTCTTGTATTTGACTTTGTCACATCTGTTAAGTTATCCACATCTGATACATTGCTTCTTTGAGAAGGGATGTTAGAAATTTTGCATTTCCTGTGCCAATCGGCATAAAACTTTTCAAGTTCATTTTTCAGTGTTTCCACCTGAGAAAAAGTAGTATTCACTAGGTTTTCAGAATTGACCATAGTAGTTACAGCATCATCTGTATGTATTATTTCTTTGGAACAATATCTTCTCCTACTGATTTCTGCTTCAATAACTGTTTTCGCGCATATGTCCTTTAACCGTTGCAAGAACTTATCCGTGTTCGACTTCAAAGACATGCCTTGACGTTTTGTGAAGTCTCTCCTCCCCTCGCTTTGGGTAGGTGAAGTATTCCTTGAACGGTCTTCTGATTTTATAGTCAGAGTATAATCTTCATCTATATTACAAAGTTGTTTCAATTTAACGTAGCTCTTACGTACAAGCTTCGAATCCTGAAACTCCTTTCCAGAACTAGAATCGGTTTCATGTCTTTTTTTATCAGAGATTTGAGAGCTTCCAACTTTCGCAGACTCCATCTTTCCTCTCTTTCCTTGTTTCAATGACGAAGTTCTTGACTGCTTTGCAGTACATTCTTTGTCCTCGTCTGTACTTTCAGTGTCTGATTTCGATTCGATATCTGATAGCTTTTTAGGAACTTTGTCTCTCATGCTCGATCGCCGGTATTCTTTACTTCCTTTGGACGATGTTGCTAACTGTGCTTTTCCATTGAACTTTGCCATAGACTGTGTAGACTTATAACTCTCTGCATTACTTGAGGACTCTGAATCGTTATGCTGTGCGCTCTTACCTATTCTCTTACTTGTTCTAGATTCTGACAAAGTTCGATTCCTACTCCTCCTAGCATTACTATTCCGACTCGCATTTTGAAATACTTCTACTTCAGAATCCGAACTGTAACTCTCTCGAGCAGCTCTAGTCTTAGAACCTCCTGACCTTTCGTCCTTTTTCTCTCCGTGCTTCCCATCCCTATATGTTTTTACATTGGACACTCTCTTCTCGGACTTACCGGTCTCGCTTTCGCTCGACGAGTTTGAATCACCCTCAGTTCTTACCCTCGATACAGCTGAACTCCTTTTTCTTAACATAGACCTTCTGTTTCCTACTTGAATTTCATCCGATTCTGCAATCACATCGTCCTCCCTATTTCTAGACATTGGTCTAGCTTTCGAGTCGTTCTTAGCCCGGGACTTGTTACTCTTCTTGGCAGCATCGGTACTTGACATTTTACCATGAACATTACAGTTGTCACTGTCCATAGAATCTCCCTGTTTGAAACGTTTTCGTTGACTTTCAAAGTAGAATTCTTTCGAGTTCACATCTGCTTCTGGATGTTCGTGAATAGACGTTATTTTCCTTCTTTAAACGCCACGGGCCAACACTCGTATATTCCTCTAAATCATGTAGCAACGTCAGTTGCCATAAACAACGAAATCTTCGTAGCTCCAAAAGCTCCAAATACTTCAGAAAGTTTTCAGATAAAACGCATTCAAGTAGCCGTCAACTATCCGCAGCGTGTTCTCACAGTAATTGCGAGGTCGCACCTCGAATATCATATTTTACTGGCATTCATGTTGAAATACACAGAGAAACGACGGAATCATAACCGCTGAAACTAATAAACAGGAAAGCCATTCACGGAGATACACCGGGACGCACTCGTTGTCTCTACGCGCGGCCATTTCGCGTGACTCGCTGGTGCTCAATCTGATTTGCGCATGGGCGAGTTGATCTCGAATCTGATTGGCTGAGAGGCCACAAGCGATAGCCAATCCGAGGCAGCTGACAAGATGGCGACTTTCAAAATGGCCGCCTGCGCGTGCATTGACAGCTGTCAAATTTTTACAAAGCGCATTTTGATTTACGTAGAATATTATTTCAAAGATTATGACATAAATCGGAGAGGACTTCCAAGCATCTCGTAATTTATAGAAGATAAGGATTGGGAAAGTTTCTGTCCAAAAATTAAAGCGCATCTCGAAATAATTCCAACGTCATTAAATACGTGTCAAGTGTGCATGTATTTGACGAGAACTCTCCGAGCTCCTGATTGGCCAACTTGGAAGCCAAAGATGGCGAAGCTCTTTCGCTGTCGCGTTCACTGTGCTGAAACGTGGTAAGCGCTATCAAAATGCAGGCGCCTCCAATTTTTATGGATTTGCCCCTCGAGGATCAGGTATTAATACTTATTTTATAGAATTTAAACCTTTCTTAAGTATTATTGTTACTCAAGGCGCTAATAAGTCTACGCACACGCGTGGGGGTTATTCTTTCACCAAGAGGCCGGCTATGAGGATTTTAGGTTAGGCAGCGTGCTATGCATCTGTAAGTTGTAATGAGATGCAACAAAAAAATTAAACGTTCGTTTAGACGTTCGATCTTGAATTCAGAGAGTTTATAATATATTATTTTGAAACGGGATGAAGGTTATTAACGGTTTTATTAAGGGGTAGTTTGTAGAGGGGACTGATACTTTAATGCAATTGCTTGTTTCTAGGCTCAGGAGTTAAGAGTCTACTTTAAAAGCCTTGGCGCTGAGATAAGCGAAGAAAAGTCACCTCGGGGTATCGAGGATGATTTGCACAAGATCATTGGAGTATGTGATGCCTGTTTTAAAGAAGGAAATGAAATTGAAATTGAAACGGTCCTTAATGACATTGTGTCAATTCTGGTTGTGGTAAGTTACATTTTGAAAACCTTCTATATCCATGAAATTTGGGTTATTTATACATTTCTTATTGTGTTGCAGATTCCTATAGATCGCACAGAAAATTTAATTCTAGCTTTTTGTGAAAAATTAACGAAGGCACCTGGATATAAGCTTGGATTCGTGTGCCTCAAAGCGTAAGATTCTATACTACATGTTAGCACAACTATATAAAATGGTAGCTATATAAAATTTTTTGCAGATTATGGCTGCTTTTCCAATCGCTCGATGAAGCATCGTCAATGAGATATCACGTTTACTATCATTTAGTTCAAATTGCGCGGAATGTAGATCAAGTGAAGGCAGTATATAGTGGAGTTGACCAATTAAAGCAACAGTTCGCACCTCATCCACCATCCAATGAGCAGATGCAAAAATTATTACGTTTATTGCATGAGATACTCCTGAGTTGTAAACAAGGGTAAATATTATTACAGTATTTCTTGGTAGATTTTCAATTACTGTTCAGAGTGAAGGAATTATTAAATTATTAATGTTTATGATAAAAAATTATTTAGGGAACAAGCAGCAGCAGTTATGGTAGAACTATTGGGAACCTACACTGCAGAAAATGCTTCGGCAGCAAGAGAAGATGCACAACGTTGTATTATTGCAGCTCTAGCGGATCCTAATACTTTTCTGCTTGATCCGTTACTTGCTTTGAAACCCGTAAGATTCTTAGAAGGAGAACTGATACATGATCTCCTTTTAATATTCGTAAAAGACAAGTTGCCTGCATATTTAACATTCTACAAGAATTATAAAGATTTCGTCGAGCATACTGTGGGTACGTAGAAGTTGTTTCACATGAAATTACATAATTTAAAGAGTTACAAGCTAATACCTTCTCATAGGTCTCAGCCATGAGCAGAACATGAAGAAAATGCGGTTACTGACCTTCATGCAACTAGCGGAAACAAATCCGGAAATGTCTTTTGACACGATCAAAACTGAACTACAGATCGAAGAAGATGAAGTGGAAAGTTTCATTATCGATGGTAAGTTTAATTTTTTAATAATGGGAATTAGCATACAACATACCCTATATGCAATTTGTTCTATTGATCTACTCGATGGTAACTCTTCTCTACGTAGGGGATATAAATAGAATAAGTACTGGCTTGGAAGTTTGTCAATAACTTTTAAGTTATCGAGACATTCAACAAACTTCAAAATATTTTTTTTCCTCGCTATAGTCTAGAAATCAGTTGGCATTACGAGAGATTTATTTTGCAGTCCTAAAAACAAAGCTTGTACGGGCCAGGATGGACCAAGGGGGACGAAAAGTTCTTATTTCCAGTACGATGCACAGGACATTCAGTCGACCACAATGGATGCAACTGCGAGACTTGTTGGCTGCGTGGAAGTCTAACTTGTCCGGAATTAACGAGGGCATGAAGTCAGTAGCCGCTGTGCAAATGGATCTTGCAACTAAGAATAAAGCTGTGGTGAATCACTGATAGTGACGAAATGTTAAGCCTGTACTTCGGAGAAATCCTATGGGATAACAAATTTTCGAAATTTCCTGCAGACGGTAATAATTCGCACTTTACATTTTCCCTGTAGTAAAGTCAAGGCAAATATTTGCCTTTGATATATTATTATGCAATATATACAAGAAATCCCCTGAAGTGCACCGTAGAATTTATTCCGAAGTACAGCTGATCAGAACAACTTATGTGCAGAGGAGGAAACAGAAGAAACGGTATCGAGAAATGACACCATACATTCTCAGTGTCAAAAATAATATCTCGAGCGAAACACAGATACCGTAAAATCACGGACAACTTTGAGATTTGTCTCTGTGAGACAGGTCTATTTACTACGAACGCACTATCCACTCTGTAACGAGACTCGATATGTTACACATTACTGGATCGATTTGTACAATAATGTTCAGTAATTCAGTAACCCTAATACATCAGTGACTAAATAATATTACCGATGGAATACAAAAAAAAAAGTTGATCCATCGAAAGATATACTCGACTTGTGAAAAAATTCAGTTTTGTACAGACCCCCAAGCGTTCCCATAATAACAGCGATTGTTGGGGCAAGCAAATAAAGTTTACATTGTAATGTCATTTTAAAGTCGTTATCACGTTGTAAATACAATATCTCTTTCGTTCGAAAGACATTTAAACTACCCATAATGACATCAGTATATTCTCTTTATTTCGATAGATCTTTCTTATGGTACATGATATAAGTTTTCATTGTACACCCACCGGTTATTCTTTATCTTGACCAGTCAGTTACTGTCAACCTTTTGCATGCCATTTATGCATTAACAAAAGCAACAACATATTTCTTTTCCTCGTTAACACCATTTCAATTCTTCTCGTTACACTCTACATGAGTACCGTAAGAAACACTATGCTCGTAAAATTTCAAGAAACTAACAGTACAAATCTATAAAAGATGCTTACAATGAATATGTAAGGATGTATCAAGTCATACAGTCCGCGATTATTAATTAATACGCGCTTGGAGATATCTGCAAATTGCAAGGAAAAGATGTTCACAGTTATATCTATGTATACACTTATTCACGAATTCCGTTAAGATGCATCGAGTCTTCCTTTTTCGATCTAGCCACTCTATCGAGTCGAGATGGCAAGTGAATTTCACTGGCCTTATTACTGGATTATTTAACACACTCAAAATCCATAATACACGCCAGGAGAAAAATGTCAAACACGTAGGCATGAACATGACGAAAGAGATGCTTCGTTCTTTCCCTGTCAAAGCAATTAGTACGGAACTCTTCAAGGAATCATTGGTATAAAATGACATGAAATCGCTCCTACAGTTACCCTCCAGGCTTTTCTTGCAGATTTTCCTTAACGATATATATATATAAAAGAAAAACTGATACTCGGTATAAAACATAAATTACGCAGGTGGGTACAGTACAGGCATAACCTAGATTGATCACAATCGATAACTTACGGTATAACTGCAGTAAAAAAAGGTAGAATAAAGAATTTACTATAACAAATTCGGCTGCAAAACGATGAAACGTTCGAAGATTAACATCAGATAGGACAAGAGGCGATCACAATGGTGCTCAACATTGTTGCATGGTTCTTTATCGTTAAGACTAGGATGACTTGTCGAAATAACTTGCAAAACTGAACATAACCGCTAGTCGGAGCCAACGCGGTGAAAACTCTAAAGTAATTGGGATACACTCTCGTAGAAAAATAAATGTATCTAAACGTTATAAAAATGATACATTACGTAAGGCCAAATTAGGTTAGAGCAATTTTTACGATCATCCGTGTGCGCTAGAAAAATGCGCGAGACTCATCAAAGCTGCTGCCACATTCTGCCTGGCAAAATGTATAATTAAAATATACTGATATATTATTTATACATACACGTGTATATATATATATATATATTTAATCTGATCATGATCAAACGAAAACAGTTTATCAATTGTCAGCCTAAAGAACGTAACAAAGCTGCCCGTGAGCTGGTATGGAAAATAAGATATACACTGACACAGTTAATGTGTACGTAACGAAGCAACAGGGGTATACCGACTTTGTATCGTTTCAACAAATTATAATCAGTTGCAAAAGTGGGATCAGTCGGTACCGGCCAGCCCAGCAAGTGACAAAACTCTCTAACATCGGGGGATCACTAGAGTCTAGATCGTTATACCAATTGATAATATATCGAGGACCATAAAATGATAACTCATGCTCGGTTCGATAACAATCAGTGGATCGAGCAATGACATCTTGTTCCTCCTCATGAAATTACATCGACGAGATCTGCGAATACGAGAGATTAAATCTGAAATTCCAAGTGCCCAAGGGCTGATCCATCTCGGGCGGCAGAATACAAATAATATCCCTAACTTGTACAAGTAACCATCACAATCCGAAGCGACATATTCAACGAGCAGTCTCTCGCTATCTTCCTTTGACCCCATGAAATGGGGAAAAACAACCCATCTAAACTTATTAAAAAATAAAATCTTTTATCCTGACACCGAAACAGTCCTTTACCGTCCTTTCTTTCCATTTCTCCATCTCCTCTCAGCAATTAGCGCCCATTGTCGCGATAGTCTGTTACAACCTAATTCTACTTAACGCATATACGTTTACATACGTATATATATATATATTTTTTTTTTACTCGGTTTTCTCTCACTTTCCTCGTGATATAACAGCCACATAAAACGCAGCTTCGAGTTGGCTCAGCCTGAGAGTCGGAAATTCCCCTTTGTCTCGTTCTTTCTCCTCTCCATTTTTCTCCCGCACCCTCAAGTGTTCACAAAATAGAGTTCCATAGCCTCAACATCCACGAGTTCTCGTCGACGTCGGACCCTCCCGTCAACGGATGGCACCCACGACGAGGTCGTGACGACTCGCTGGGGAGTCGCGAGGCTCGAGACGAGTGGAAAGTCAGATTTGAGTGGAGAATCGAGGACGTGGCAGGTCTCCAAAAACCGTGTCGCCATGAACGCTCTTGGCCAGGGCCTTTATCGAGGCCCGAATATTGTGTGGGTCGAGGGGATCCCTCGAGAGCTGATGCGATACAGGGCCCACGTTAATTTTTATACAGCAGATTCATAGAATTTAAGAAATCACCCATGCGACCGAGCATGTGCTCAGAGAGGTTATGAAAAGTGTGGAGAAGTTTATAAAAGAGTTAATCCAAACCTGATCGTCATCTTGGTCTTGCATATTCCTGCGAACGAAGGAAGGAAACACAGGTACACTGACCGGTAGCGACTTGGCCAGTGTAGGATGACCTCCTCTCTGACCCCGGGGTATGTGAATGCCCTCGTCGTGACCTGAGTCTAACGACAAGGTACACGTCAGTGTACAGAATTTCATGAGCAAGGTGTTAACGAGAGTGCATTCTTTTAAATGAACTATGGAAATATTTGTTGGAAGTACCGTCAGTGTCGGATTCCTCGTCCCAAGGTGCAGGGCGATCGGAAGGTAGGGGATCATCCATTCCCTCCAGGGTGAACATCGCCTCGGCGTCGAAACTGCTAGGTTCCTTCGGCTGCAGCTTCAGCGACTCCTTCTTGTCGATGACTCCGTTCTGAAAAGATTCATTCAACCGATGTAAACGTCAAACTCATGACAGTGGATAATTAAATAATATAGACACGTACAACTTGAAAATTACTCTGGCGTTTAGCCGTAGCTTGTTGTCTGACAGTAACATCGGTGACGACCTTGGTATCGCCGATCGCCACGCGCGGCTTCGCATTTACGGAATTATTTACGGTGCTTATGTCATTTATATTTGCCTTAAAACTATCCTGAGACGCCGGGGGAGCTTCTCGGACCTCGGCTGGCTTGTTCTCGTCGTGGGTACAGATCAATCTGCAAATGGACAGGTTTAGTTTATGAGAATATATTATTATGAATATCACAAGTGGGGCTCCGAGGGATTAGGGAAGTGATTTATGGTACCTTGCCAAGAATCGATGTTCCATGTGAGCCCTGTCACGGAACTCCTCCAGCAACTGATACTGCTGAGCTGTGAAAGCGCGTATCTTCTCCTCTGCATCGGCTGCTTGTCTCTGAACAGCTTCGTCCAGCTGTTGCTGAAGACTACCAAGTGCCATTTGCAGGGCAACGGGCAACTGCGTGGCTAAAATGTTTTAATGAAACAATTGCGATAAATTCAGGTTCAAAAACAATGTTGGGGTCATCGATTAAGCCTTACCAGAAAATCTGGTTGGTGTTTGTAGGAGATCGACATCATCCAATGTGCTGCGATCTATCACTATCCTGAACACAGGACTGTAATCTGGATTGGCTTTCAACTTGTTTATTTCCTCGGAAGACATCTATAAATAGAGGCGGTGTTTCACTGACAGTGTGAAATTCATTAAAACAGCAGGTCGATAATTTCCTCTGGTACTAAATTCGATAAACAGGAAATTGTCACAACGGTAACACGGGATATCACGTTATAATTACGTTAATATGATTCTATATACAGCAATGATGTAAGTGTCAATGAATAAGAGCAAACATCGAGGCATATTTAGCAACGAAGCTAATATTGGCAATGTACAATTGCTTTCCAAGATATCATTTGTGTCGTCCTAAAGTATTAAGTACCGGCAGATAACGAAAGAATTCTCCAAGCATCTGCTGCTCGTGGATCTTCATAAAAAAAAGAAAACAAGTTAATTAAGTTACCGATAAGATATGTTCTTTACCTGACCTAATAAATTTAATGTAGCTGAGGCGATTCTTAAGATATAAGCGGTATTATTGAGAAAACACGTTTCCTCTCTCTCGCTACGTATCTCTATGATAATTCGAGCCGATTGTCGTAACGCCTATATAGTCTTTTCTCCTCAAGGCGTAAATTCATCGGCTACATTAATGAATTATTTATCAGAGTCACTTCGTTGCACTGTTTTGCACTCGTAGCCATGACATATTGGCACGCAATATGGAGAGTATACTATTTCAGCAAAACTACGCATCTAGTCTTTGCTTTCATAGCATAACGCACTTGAAATGTATTATCTCTGCAGTATGTACTTACAACTATACTGGTATTAATCAGGACCATGGCGGCACCGTATTCTCTGTGAACTGCATGGGTGTACAGTGAACAGTTATAACACCTATGGATTACCCATGCACCGACATTTTTCACGTCTACTAATCCTGATTGCTCTTTGGTGATACCTTCTAATTCTGGTATCGTTGCAATGCTCTGTTTACAAAGGTACATGATACGTGGATAACTTTGTCCCAATATCGTGAAGCAATATAAACAAATCATTACACATCGAAGACTTCATTAATATTACCTCGGAAAAGAATGGATTAGCACGCTCCATCGGAGTTAGTTCCATATCCTCGACATCGATCCTCTGCAGTTCGGTACTCCGCGACCTTATCGAGACGTTTAAACACTTGCAGGCTGCGTACATCTTGGAGAGCTGGGATGGGCACTATTGGAGGACTTACTTATGTCTCCTGATATGGAATAGAGCGAAAATTCCACTTGAATGAATCCGGATGAACGTCTTATCTTAAAGATAGAGATTGGCTACTTTCGACTCTCTTGGAACCAGTGGCTTGGTTATTGGTGCGACACGACTCGAAGGAACATGAGCAAAGCTGACCTGAAAATCAACATGACATTTGTAGAATATCACCGTACTCGGTGCTTTAAAAGAAGTCACTGTGCACTTTCACAAAGCCAAGATACTATCCCCCATCCTATCGACTCTTCACAAAATACAGAGAGTCAAAAGTGACTCTGCCTAATTCCATCGCCAAGGATCCTGAATTTTAAGAATCTCAGGAACTTTCATAAAACTCTTCACAGCTCCTTGCCCTCAGTTGGCAACTCGCTTTCCTCTTTCGTCGTGCAGCACTTCCTCTTTAAATACCTCCAACAAAAGGCACAAATAAATTCGGGTAAATTATCCCCCAAGAAACTGAAATAGTCTCAAGTTGAAAACAAACTGAAAGGGTCGAAACCAGGTGTTGAAATAATTCCAGGGAATTAGAACCGAAGAAACGCCGCGAAGCAGGTTGACTACATCGGTGCGGCCTTCCACACAAAGGCCGGCTAACCGGTCGAGTCTTGTAGCTCGTTTAAAGATAACAGAGATTCAAAACTAATCTACAGTATCGTGTATCCGAGCCGAGGACTCGCGGGATGCGAGAAAACTCGACAAAAGTGAAAGTATCTCCGGGATTTTCTTACCGTTTCAGCGTTAGTCCGATGGACCCTCGGCTTGGCTCGTTCGGAATGGCCCCCTTTTGTCTGGCGTCACTTCGGCATTTCTCCTCGAAACACCTGCGCGATTTCTTCACGAGAATCGCAGCCGACAGAATCCAGTGACACTTGCCGAGCCGCAGGTATATTTACAATTATTCCGAATTCTTCCGCACCGAAACGCTCGTTTCGGAGCGACCACTAAAAATAAACTATAGACAAGAGATACTTAAAGACGGGCGACTCTCTTCCCCCACTTCGACAGAGACCGTTGGGCATAGAGTATTTTTCGAAACACAGTTACGACACTTCTTTACACGGACATAGTTCGTACAGGTTCCGCCAGAGATGAGTTCAGAGATTGCTCGCGGGCAGGGTCGCGCGATCGCGTTCCGTGCTGCCCTCTGTGGAGGTTATGGACGGCTAACGCACTTACCATCTGATACCCCCCAATGGCATTTTTTATTTTAGTTACACCAACCCTGCTTGGACAGAACGTCCTAACCTAACAAGTGTTGATAGGACTCATTCGAGAGTATATTAATCGTTCAACCAGATTTAACTGAAAAGAAAAAAATTCTGTTTACTCATCTACATTTAAATAAGGTAAGAAATGTGGAAAATTAGAGGACAAGAGTTATCCAGTGTATTGCTTTGGCTCACTAAAATTCGATCATATCCATTAACTTTTAGGCACTTCGCATCACGAAATGGATTTTCAAAACCGACCTGGAGGAAAAACCGGTGGAGGAGGAGTGGCATCATGGTCAGAGAGTAATCGCGACAGGAGGGAACGCCTTCGGCAACTTGCTCTCGAAACGATAGATCTTAATAAAGATCCATATTTTATGAAAAACCATTTGGGCTCGTATGAGTGCAAGCTATGCTTGACTTTGCATAACAATGAGGGCAGTTATCTGGCGCACACACAGGGAAAAAAGCATCAAGCTAATTTAGCCAGAAGAGCTGCAAAGGAAGCTAAAGAGGCACCGCAAACATTAGCTCCCGAGAAACCTAGAGTTGAACCGAAAAAGTTTGTCAAAATCGGACGACCTGGCTACAGGGTTACAAAACAGAGAGATCCCGAGTCTGGGCAGCAAAGTTTGCTTTTTCAAGTTGATTATCCCGAAGTTGCCGATAACGTCATTCCCAGGCACAGGTTTATGTCTGCCTATGAACAACGTGTAGAACCTCCAGATCGTAAATGGCAATATTTATTGTTTGCTGCAGAACCTTATGAAACTATAGCATTCAAGGTATTTAAATATGCCACGTGATAGTACTAAGGTGCATTACTCTTTGTACAACACATATTCTGTTTTAGGTTCCTAGCAGAGAAGTGGAAAAGGCAGAGGGAAAATTTTGGACTCACTGGAACAAGGACACTAAACAGTTTTTCCTTCAGTTTGCATTTAAAAACGAGAAACCTTCTGTTGGTAAAGTTCCACCACCACCGGTTCCATTAATTCGTCCAGGTCTTCCACCTCCGATGATGCCAGTACCTCCACCACCCCGACCGCCTATGTTTAACCCAGTTCCACCTCCTCCAGCTCTGTTAGCTACAGGATTACAAATACCACCCCCTCCACCTCATGTAACATAACAATCGTAAGAATCAAAGACTAAAACAAAACTTAAATTATGCTGAATTCATTTACAACTCTTAGTTACGAAGTTTAACATTTGGAATAAATAAAGGTACATTCACACACCTAATGTGGTATATCTCTGTCTCCTCTCTTTATTAAAAACAGTACAGTAGTGGCGATCGTACCAAAAATGTATAACTCTGTAAACCTGGAAGGAAATACCAAAACTTTCACATATGTACTAATGTAAAAAATAATATAACTTAGTTATATGCTAAATCAGAAAGGAACACTCAACATGAGGAAAAGTGTTGTACGCACTCTTCAGCCCGCCCGTTCACAAATCATCATACAGTAAATAAATTCAAAATAGTTTAAAAACCAAACATATTTAACATACCCAGAGTTTGTTATTTATGCACACAGGACACACGCTCCACCGACTGCCTTAATCTTGTCTTCTGCTTGTTTACTGAAGAATTTGGCCTTAACGATAACAGGTTGCTTGGGAAGTCGTCCCTTACCCAATAATTTATAATAACCCTGAGAAAATAAAATCCCATCAGCTCAGTCTCAACTAAACATTTCTCTAGGTAATTACTTACTGCTTTAACAAGATTGATAACTGGAGCCTTGCCGTCAGGGGAGTCTTTGTACTTTAGCCTAGTCTGTTCGGACACCAGCGTCCATAACTTATCCAAATTTATCGTTGGACACCATTTTGTGTTACGGCGCAGATGATAATTCCTCATACCAAGCTAAATTGAGAGAAAAGAAAAATAATTACAGCAAACAGAGAATATTAATGAAAATGGCTCCAAGTAAAGGAATTAGCAAATTACCTTTCCAAAGTATCCAGGATGATATTTGTCAAAGTTAATGCGATGATGGTGCATACCACCGGCATTACCACGACCGCCAGGATGTTTTCTATGCTTACCTGTTGACAAAATTAAGTCGCATTAAAAATCGAAAAATTAATTCACAAACAAATCACGTTACGATTTCCGACGAGTTCCTTACCTATACGACCGTGGCCGTGGCTTACGTGTCCACGAAGCTTCCTGGTCTTCTTCTTATGCGTCGACTGTGAAAAAGAGAAATAAAATTAGCCAAAGTAAGCACGAGGGCTGATCAATCGCCAAATCCCGAACATCGTATGCGCGGGTAACGATCGAAGGTTATGTCCGTCACTTATTCGAATGTAAACTCGGCAGGAGAAAAATCGAAATAAAATAAGGCATCCGAGCCAATGCTACATTTCTCCATTGTAATTTCTGCACAAATCCACTTAAATTAATTGACGGATGCTACGAAGACAGACGGATTACAACGAGAGTAAGCGCCACGCGATAAACTCACCATCTTGGACGCGGCTTGAAGGCCAAAGAGGTTAGAGTTTCTAGATGATGTACGAACGACATTTTTCTTACTCGATCTACTGCGCCATCTAGTGAAAACGAGGAAACTACGATCTCTCGTTTCTGATCACGATGATAAGTTGCTGCTCTACCGCAACAAAAAAGCGGGAGTTTCATTACGGTCTTTACCGGGCATAACCTCGCGGTATCTATAAAATAACATGAGAATATTTATACCATTAGTACAGGTGTTACTAGATCAAGATTAAAGTAGTATCTTTTTCGGAAAATGGAGGAAGCGTTAGAAGCCTCTCCTACCTACAGGCTGAATTTCTCTGAACAGATTTATTGCGTGGAGCTGTCACCGTATGAGTGGTCACAACATTTAATCAGTATAGCTCTGGATAAAGAAATTATTATAGGCACTGTCAAATTCCAGGTTTGGATTTAAACTTGTTAAGTTTTTTCCCCTTAATTCAATTAAAACTCTATAACATTCTATTCTTAGGATGAAGACGATATGCTAGAAGATATTTCATACCGCCCGGTTAGGACTTTTCACCATGCTACGAGACCGCATGCCATGGCTTGGAGTCCAGAAACATCGCTTAGTGTTGTTCCGAAAATTGTATCACTCTGCGTGGCAGGTGCAGACTTCAAAATTCGATTATATAGTAGCAACTTAAACGAAAGCGACGTATACGAGGTAATTTCAAAAGATCCAATGCAAATGAATTGTCTGCTTGCTAATGTCGTTTCTCATAGGTCTTAGACGGTCACAGTGACTATGTCAATTCTATTGCATTTGAACCTGAGGGAGAGCTCTTGGCTTCAGTATCGGATGACCACACCTGTAAAATTTGGGCTGTAAAGGAAGATCAAAAATCTATTGCAACATTCCGACTAACGTCCCCTGGTGTGAGCACTTGTTGGCACAACGAGGAATCGGGGAAATTAATGGTAGCTGAGAAAAATGGTTTGATACATTTGTACAATGTTAGAAGTCTGCAAGCAATTATGTCCTTGGATGCTGGAATCCTGCCACTGCCATCAGCTGACTGGGGACCAAACCCTTTAAAAATAGTATGTTTGGCAGCTGGTGAATTACTTCTATGGGATGTAACACGTCCTAGGTAAACTGGAATTATTTTTAACATACTACTATGCCCTGAATTATCAGTAAGAAATTTGTAGAATACATAAAATATTTTTCTTCGACAGTCGACCCATTGAGTCGTTTACACCACATATTGAAGGTGGTCTGATAATACGAGCTTCCCGAGCCAATGAAGATCTAGTTGGCAGTATCGGAAGACCCGACAATCTCCTTAAAGTTACTAATTTAAAGACTAAACAGGTAGTTCTTAACACAACTATCGGCATCATCGGTGGATTGTCGTGGCACCAAAAATTACCTTATGTATGTGCAGGCAATGATAGAGAACTTTGTTTCTGGAGAATAAATACCAAATGACAACATATAACTAGACAATGAAAAGGTATATTAATTATCATGTAAATACGTTCATACGTCATTCACAATTAAGATTTCTGCCACAGCAGAGTAACATCTTGAAGTAATATACAGTCATAAAAAAAACTCGAGAGTAACTTATCTGATTTTTTTAACAAAACACTGCTTCATTACCATAGAAAAATAAAATAAATCTGTACATGGTATACACTGTAAATACTTCTAAGACTATCCTTCTTACTTGTCATTCGAAACAGCTGCTGTCCAGATCTTGAATAAAGCATTTGAGAACTTTGTCTTAATACTATCTTCCAGAGGATAATCCTCCGTACCCAGTTTAGTAGCCTTGCTGTATATTAACATAGGATTTGGAGTGCAGATACGTTCCTCCAGGAAGCTGTTCTTTTCCTTCTTTGCTTGATCCAGTTGTTCCATGAGAGACGTTGTATTTTCATCACTTGGCTTCTGTTCAGAATCATCCTCTGGTTGATTTACCTTTCCTGAAACTAACTGATACTGTATCGACAGAAGCTTATTAAAGTTAAAAGCAAAGCATACCCATCAACGAAGCCAGCGCAGTCTCCAATTTATTAATCTCACTCGTCCTCGTCCAATGAAGAACCGACCTGCGGTCCAAACCATCCTCCAGATATTTCTCGATCAAATTTATAACCTCAATCTTTTGCGAACTGTTTGTTTCTTCATCCTTCTCAGTTGCATCTTCATCGGTCAGCCAATTCAAGAGTCCCAAGCATAGATAAGCTCGTAGACTCTTTGCAACAGAGCTTCCTTCGTAGTTGAATATACTTCCACTGTCCATCGGACTTTTTGCATCCAGACTACTCAGTACCGTCAAGAGTACACTTTTGTTTTTCTCCAAAGATGTCTGAGAATACGTCGTTTCAAATTGAGAAATACTGCCCAACGCAGTGACAATATGATGAAGCTGTTTTTCCACCGAATCCGCGATCGCAGCTAAAGCGATTTGATGGCTGACTTTGACTCGCATCTGGAAATCATCCATCATAAACTAACGTTAAATAAAGTCACCGAGAAACTAGGTGGAATTTATATATATTTTCAGGATCGGTCCTAAAACAATTACCTTTACTTTGCTGTCTGTAATGAGGTTGCAATTGTACTTCATTAAATTCTCGTAAAAGGAGGAGCAATTCTCCTGTTGATTTTTCAAGTTATCCAGCAAGCTGTATTCCGAGTTCCCTGAGAGCCACTTTGACACATTTACCAGCTGTTCCTTATTGGCGAGGATTTCTTGCAGCTTCTCGAAGGCATCCAGATGCACCTTGTAATACTGCCAAAGGAAAAGCGTGATTAATAAACTAATCTTACGTTCTCTGATCTGCACTATTTAAAACGTTTAAAAATAATTAATACTTTTGCTCGTGGGAATTTCTCTATCATTGCCCGAGCTTTCTTGCAATCACAAGTAAGCAAAGTCTGCGTGATGGTTTGATCGATCAAAGATTCTCCGAGTTTTTCATCGCCAGCTATAAATGCTAATTCAGTCGCTAGTTCTAAATAACGAGAGTCGATTCGTCGTCCGAGCGTCTTGGCAGCCACAGAGAAATTTCCTAATTTAATGTAACTGAAAGAGCGAGTTTATTAAAATATATTTGAGAGAGGCAGGGTTGAAAAATATTGCTAGAAAGTATACCACAGAGTAGCCTCTTCGAGGGAGCCATCTTTAATAGCAATATTGACCCACTCTTCCAGCAAGCTTTTCAAAAGTGGATCATCTTTCTGAACGTCTAATTTACACCTGGCCAGGACATATGCCTCTCGATACATCTTGGCATTTTTGAAGATTTCAATAGCTTTGTGAATCTTGTGGATACATAATAAGTACGACACAGCCTTGGGTATATTCTCTTCGAAGATCAGTTGGTCAGCGTAGGCTTCGCACATCTCCTGCCACGTTCTACAAATTATGTCAATGTCTTTCCTCTTCCTTGTCTCTCTCTTTTTTTTTTATTCAATTGCAATAGAGGAAAATTTTTGTCCTACCTTAAGGAAAGAGAAGGCGCGAGAGACACCAAGTAATCATTTAAACGCCTTTCCTTAACCGCTGACTCTAGGTTCTTTCGGAGGTTATTACTCCACATGTCCATCTCGGTTGCTATGTTGTGCTGGTCCTTTGAGGAATGTATTTTCTCTGAAATTCGAGGAAAGATCATGAAATTTAGACGACACGAAAGTATCCGAAATTATTGGAAGAGTTACTCACTTTCGGAGTTCAGCAGTGATAAGAGATCTTCCCTGCTTTCGCAGAAGAGAGATGGCAAGCAGGCCTCTGTATGCTCCGGTTGTAGTTCTTCATTTTTAGGCATCTCTGTCACTTCGGAATTATCAGGACTGTCTTCGCCCTTCTTAGTGTCTGCACTTTGAAGAAGTGATCTCATCGACAGGAGAAGACTCGAAGTGTCATGAGTGATTTTTGCGTACCCTGGGAAGTAGGTTATCCTCTTTCCTCTTTGTTTCTGAATTTCCTTCGCAGCCGGTAGTTTTAGTAACACTAAGAATTGAATGATAGGATTAGTTAATGCTACAGAATAATGTTTCTATACATTAATTGTATGAATTAAGTACTTTGGCCATTCGTCCGATGGATCGGCTGTATTACTTCCACGGTCCCATCCACAGGACTCTCTGCAATGGTCGCGACAACTTCACTCTCCTGAGTTTTCTCAATCATTTCTGATTTTCCTTTCGCTTTTTTAGAGCGAGCTTTTTTTCCTGACCTGGGTGCGGGCAGTACAGGTTTTTGATCAGAAAGCTTCCAAACACGAAGAGTGAAATCAGCTGATCCAGTCATGATCAAATCAGGATCCAAGGGACTCCACATGCAACTGACCACAGGACTCGAATGCCCAGTAAATGTACCTAACAGTTCTTCGGTTTCAATTTTCCAGACCTAGAGAAACATTCGATACTTTACATAATGAAATCTATCAAATATAGATTTCACAATTCTTCGAGTTTGGATTGTTACCTGGGCAGAGTTGTTATAATTACCAGATACTAAGTATCCACTAAAGTGAGGGCTCCAAGCCAGACATACGACTTTATCCACATGTCCATTCAATGTGGCCACTACGTCATACTTTATGGATTCATCGTCCTTAATGGATACATCGTTTAATTGATCTGTTATCGAGTCAACTGCATCGGCAGATGTATTAGATATATTAAAGACGGTAATTGTGCTAGCGTTTATTGCAACAGCTAGATAGTCTCGAAAGGCCGAAAGTGTTAGATCGGTGGCTGTACTGCATGGATGCCAAGCAAGGCGATAAACAGCTTTCTTCAACGAGTGGATAGTCTTTCCACATTTCGAAAGCTTTTGATCAAGGAATGAAACAGTCCTAAAATAATAGTCACCTCAAAGAAATTTCTAGAAAAAATTGCATGGAAATAGTTAGTAATTAAAGTTTGAAAATAAATATTTACCCATCTTCAAAGCCTAGTGCTAAGCATGTAAAATCTGGCTTCCATGAAAATTCCGTGCATCCTTTCTTCACCACGGATTTGGGCTCTGATAAGAAAATTTAAATTATTGTTGAACTATTGGTATTAAAAGGTGAACTCGTTACCTTGATTCGGTTTCTCAGGATCATAATAGACTAATTCTCCGTCTGCGCAGGAGAACAGAAAATATTTTCCAGGTTTCTGACTCGGAGCAGGACCCCAACCAAGTGAGTAGATGTTGTATCTGTGATACTGTCTATACAAGATCGGTGGTTTATTTACATTTACATCAAACACACCAACTCGACCTTCTCCAGTACCAAACGCTAACAGGTTTTCTTTTTCTGGATGCCATGATACCTAAAGTCATTGTTATTTTTAATAACTATTACATGGCACTTTTGATTTATAAAGGAGTACTCACTGTCATAACTTTTCCTTTGATTTTTTGCCATAATACTGTTATGTCGAATGTGTTTTCATGAGGCTCGGACAAATTCCATAATCGTAACATCATATCACCCACACCAAATGCTATGCGTGAAGTATCCAAGGGGCAAGCAGCCATACAGTACACGAAACCAGCTTGAGTAGGCATGTCACAAAGTATTGTAGTTTTATCTCCATCATATTTACAACATAGCACTCGACGGTCCTGAGCAGTTGTCCAAATCTTTATTCTACAAAATTATAAGAAATATTTATAAATGAAATGTTTAGATTGCAAGGCAGACTTAATATGTAGCCGTATTACTTACTCCATCTTCTCTGTGTTTGATCTCCAATCGTCAGGCGAGGATTCAGGAAGCTCCTTCTCAGACTGTCCCGATATATCTTCGACAATGCAAAACAATCCTCTGAGATGGTGACCATGAACCAGTTTCCAAGGAACTTTCGTTTTTTGCCAGAGGGAAAAATCCCATGAAATGAGTTCTCCCCAACTTGAACTTGCTAAGAGAAGTTTCGGCTTGATCCAATTGACTACGGTCCAATTGCCTACAGTTGTGCTTAATTTGCTTCTGTGCTGATGGGAATGCAGTGGACCAGATGGGAGGACAAGGTCAGTTTGGTAACGAGCATCTTTGCCAGTTTTCCATATGTAAATGGATCTAAAAAAATATTCATGCACAATAAAAAACTGCATAGAAATCAGAGCCGTAATACAACCTCAATTGCCCGTACTCACCTTTCCTTTGCCCCAGAAGCTAAAAGCATATCTTTTGCATCGGTACCTTCGCAAACGTTGACATCTGTCGGGCACCATGACAGACTTACTATTTCACTATCATGACCCCTTAGTTTGTACTTTACTGTTCCCGTGCCATGTAAATCTACAATGCACACTAGACCAAATTTTCCACCAACAGCCACGAGATAAGCATCATGTGGGCAACAAGAGATGCAGGTTGCATTAAACTTCCCTAATGAAATTAATTGAGCACTGTTGTAAGTTATGTTCCAAGAGACCACGTATCCATCACTGGTTATGCAGCATATCACATTGACATTCGCTTTTGACCAATCCATGCATATCATTTTTTGTTCCAGCTGCAAATGATTAAAAAATGCATATCATTAATATGATATTTACTTAATATTAAAACATTTAATATTTGAAAATAACTAAAGATATTTACATCAATACATGAGTACGATTTTATCGCACTTAAGGTATCCAGGTCCCATACTCTAACGACGTAGTCACCTCCTACCGAAGCCAGCCAGTTCTTCTCGAACTGACCAAACTGTGGTGAAAAGGTAAGCGAGTTTACTTTCATGTCATGGGCATTTGGAATGATGTCAAACTTGAAAATCTTGCTATCCACCGCATGTTTTCCAATGACAATTGCATTTTTAGAACCCCATGCAATGGTACCGTCGTTTGAGCATACTAATATAGTACTCAAGTACCAATTTGGCGATGGAGGTAAGGTTACCTCGTTCATAATTCTAAAATTCCATTATTGATAATCAATTAATATAAATGATAGGTTTTCATTGTTCTTTTAAATACTTAACCTCTAAAATAATACGAATAACACATTAAGGAGTACACTAAATACATACTTCTTTGTTTCTTAGATCGAACGTAAGAAAAATTCGAACTGTTCACGAGGAGAACATTTACTGCTTCGAATAGACGTTAAATTGATATAAAAAAATACCGGCCGGCTAATTGTATACAATCGTAGGTTCGTTTTTTCGCGGCAAGAGAGCGAACTTTCCGTCAAGCGAGGAATATTTGGCGGACATTACCGAAACCCGATATATTATTTTGGGAATTTTATAATTAATAGTTAGAATCAAGTGCCAACATAAAATCCACCATGAAGCTTATGCGATCTCAGAATATCTTGACAGCACTGACATTTTCGCGGGAATTAGATGTGTAGAGCAAACGAGTGCTATTTATAGTCCGGTAAAACGTGAATTAATTTCATGTTGCTGTTTTAGTATCTTACATTATTACTCCAGCTACACAGTAATTTGGAGTGATAGCTACATATAATTGCAAGCAACAGATAAGGACCCTTTATTTTATGTAAGAATTTTTACTTTACATAAGCAGTATTATGGAAACTGAAATTAAAATGGAAGAGAATCAATCTTCAAAAGTTGAAAACGGTATTAAAAATGAAGAAGTGATGCTTGCCAGACTCAGAGACAATTCTTGTTTACAAATCCATGATGAGTATCAGTATTTGCAACTTATTGACAGAATTATTAACAAAGGCTCCAAGAAGTCAGATCGTACGGGCGTCGGCACTCAATCAGTGTTTGGTACACAGATGCGATTCAGTCTTCGAAACGGTAGATTACGCTTTGTACCATTTCATTATTTACTTTTATCAAATGTCTAACTTAAATAATAAAATTATATAGGAACTTTTCCATTATTAACCACAAAACGTGTTAATTGGCGAGCTATTGTTGAGGAGCTATTGTGGTTTATCAGAGGCTGTACTAATTCAAAGGAGTTAGCAGCGAAGGGTGTCAACATTTGGAACGCCAATAGCTCTCGGTCTTTTCTTGATAGTTGTGGTTTTATCGATAGAGAAGAAGGCGATCTGGGCCCAGTTTACGGATTTCAGTGGAGGCATTTTGGAGCCAAATATGTGGACATGCACACGGATTATACAGGCCAAGGTATATCCTGCATAATTTCTTGTTATTAATTTAATGGTTCAATGTTCTACAATCCCCAGGTATCGATCAGTTGAGAGAAGTTATTCACAAAATTAAAAACACACCAGATGACAGGAGAATTATAATGACTGCATGGGACCCCGTTAGTATTCCCCAGATGGCCTTGCCACCATGTCATTGTCTTGTGCAATTTTATGTATGCGACGGAGAATTGTCCTGCCAACTTTACCAAAGAAGCGCCGACATGGGACTTGGAGTACCATTCAATATCGCATCTTATTCACTACTTACATACATGTTGGCTCATGTTACATCATTGAAGGTAACTTCACCTTAGAATGTGCTTTCACACAATAACAGTAATTTTTCTTCTTTATTTTCTGTTTAAATAGCCAGGAGATTTTATACATACGATGGGAGATTGCCATGTATATTTGAATCACATCTCCAGTCTTCAAACGCAAATAATTCGTGAACCGAGGCCGTTTCCACAACTAAAAATTAAAAGGAATGTTGAAGACATAGAAGACTTTGTTTTTGATGACTTTGAATTGATTGATTATAATCCTCACAACAGGATCGTCATGGCTATGGCAGTTTAATACTTGATCCAAGAATTATCTATCAAGATTGCATTCATTACAAGAATTATGTACATACCTTGGAAGAATGCATTAAAAATAATGTATCTGAGAATCGCATGAAAAGGCATAATTGAAAACTACAGCTAATTGTAAAAGTTTTTAAGTGGGCTTAAACCCTGCATATTACATTCATCTCCTTAATGTATAGCTACATCAAATATAGAATTATCGATAATTTACCAGAGCTCATTAAAAATAGGCATGTTTCGCTCTAACAGCACTAAGAAATACTAGTTCTTATTACATAACCCAAAACACAAATAATCAAATCACAGGTGCATTTTTTAAGATGGCACCTCCTTACATTTTACCAGCATTTCAAGCATTCCTTAAATAACTTCCGATCTGTCTGATTGACGTCTATGTCTCACTCTTTAAAAAGAGTAAAAGTGCGACGCAATGAATAAAATACACTTTTAAGAACAAGTGCACGGAACTGTATATTTGAAATTTCTGTAGAACGTTAATTATACCCATCGCGACTTCGCGCGATGGACCACCCACAGGATGAACCAGTAAGATGTAACCAGTGGACGCCATTTTATTGGAGGTTAAAGAATTATGACGTGGATTAAAAATCAATTAAAGTAAAGGATCAGGTCACGAGGATAAGGGCTAGCACATCTGGACATCACCAGATTGTGAAGTACTTAATTGATGTAGCTGTTGAGTTACCGCCAACGTACCGCTTTCACTTACAGTTATAATTACCCAAATGACATCTGAAAAAAATATACATTCTGGACATTGGATGTGCGCTGTGTAAAGCAATGGCCTTTGATCCAGGAAATATAGATTGGCAAAGATAAATTTATAGCAACAAAGTTTTGGAGCGACGTACCTCCAAAGTAATAACCTGCTGAAGTCATCATCCTCCATTTACTCTGATAAACGCCTAACTCTGCAGGACTGGTTAGCTCTATTTCAAGATCTGCTGCCTCCTTAGGAGCCAAAGGTAGAACCGGTATTTTGTTCCAGTTACCCAATTGGTTTCCACCGCTGTGTCGCAAGGTAATCCCTTCCGGCCATGTATCGTCCCCAGAATTCTGAATGCGCCATGACTTCCTAAACTTTGTATTAGGTGGAACCGATTCTCCTTCGCCAATTGTGCAGTCACGCAAAAGGACCATAGAAGGCAGTTTATACGGTGACAGTTCGAAATCGATGTAACTACATATTGCAGCTTGAAGGTTCCTATTGCAAAGATGGAACATTAACACCAACACAGGATTTCATAACGACAGATCATTTGGGCACTCTTTATGCACAGGTTATAACGTGCTAGGACACGGATATAAATCTTTTGCAATCAAAATAATCAATCAAAGTCACAATGAAACATTAATATGTCTACTAGATATATAAGAGACACGTGATTTCGTGGTTACACGGTTGTATATGCGCCCTCCAAAACACGCAACGTGTGCCACATATCGGATAGAGGTTATGTAGTTACGAGTGCCCCCCGGTCCAAAAAGGGGTTAGATTCCAACAAAGGTCTTACCAGTTATTCATATCCAGGAAGAAGGTTGCCGTTGTCTCATTGAGCTGGCTCTCAGCTAGCAATCTCTGCAGCTGCTTGACCAGGTCGTCTTTGTCCGTTGTGCCCAAGCAACTGAATTGGTGCAACAGATTCTGATCCAAATCGTTGTCCACGTCCATTCTGGTCTCCGTCAGTGTTCGCTTAACTCTCCATATAAATTTGGGGCCAGCCTCTCGCGTTATCACTCCCGAGGATTGTTACAATTGCGTCGTTGAATCTTTAACCACAAATTTTAAATGTCATCCTTCGCTCGACCAGTGACGTTCAATGCCCTCGCTTCGCGTGTTCGTCCTCTTGCATCCGACTGCACTTAACTCGATCAAACGTGAGTAGAGGTCGCGTTTCAGAATTCAGCACTCCGAAATTCGACCGTCCAAATTTTCTCTCAAATCGAAGCGAACCAATCGGATGGAAAATTTTCGAGGTGGAAAAAAGAAGGGAAAAAAACTGACGATGAATTTGGGAACACTATCATATGCGCCGCCATTTTATTGGTGGCTTGCCATCTATAATACTATATGCATCATGACGAACCGGGAATTATGAATGACGGCGCGGTGCAAATAAATTCATTAGTTTTCTAATTTGTAAACATGTCAGATTTGACTTTTTGAGAGATATTAATTGGCTTGTTTTATTACGGTATTAATAGGGTAATCAAGAATATTTATGCGTTGCGAGATTGCACAAGACTTAATACCTAACCCCTAAAGCTGATGTATAAATTGTTTCAGTAAATCTTAGTAAATTCAGAGGAACTAAAAATTCAATCTCGTGGTAAAGGAAATTATTGCAAAATGTCGGGTACTATGAGACATTTAGAGGAGCGACAGCTTGCAGCAGAAATAACTGCTATGCGTTGGTCACCCAAAATGGATCTTCTTGCGATAGCTAATTCTAAAGGTACGGATGTCCATGAGAATAGGGGGATTGACGGAGGTTCTGTATTTTATGAGGATTGTATTTTAGGTGAAGTTGCACTTCACAGACTGACCTGGCAACGCGTGTGGTTGTTGCCTCCGCAAGAAGAAGGGGACCTAGTAGCAAACCTAACGTGGAGACCCGACGGCAAGCTCCTTGCCATTTCCTATGAGAAGTCTAAAGTATTGTGTTTAGTAGATATCGAAAATAAGAATATTATCCACAAGACACAGCTAGCTTTGAGCAGTAGCAAGGTCTATATGGTATGGTTACCAATGAACAACATCGAGACCGATAATATAGGAGCTCAAAAAATCAGTCATCTCCCTACAGGTGAATACCTTCCCACTCTGCCCAGTTTGAATAGAAGTTTTGGTCAAGAACCTGAACGTAAAGATTTTTGGTCACGGATGCTAGACATGTTGTTTGTAAGTCTGAATATAAATTAGCCGATACTTTAGTTTTAACGGTTAACAAAGAATATTGTAATTCTCTTCTTCAAGATCGGTCAAGATGACGGCAGCGTGGTACTTTACGTATTCGGAATGTTTTATTGTGGAACACTTAACATTGGACATGGACCAGTACTCGAGATCACGGGTGGATCCGGTGATCCTATCTGGGTTAGTTGGAAAGATAACGATGGTATAGGAGTCGGCAGATTATCTTGTCCTTTATTAGAAAAAGATTCAGCATTCTTACAGGTAAATTGCCACTGATTCTTGAATTCTTCTTAAACTAGTCCATTCTATTTCATTCTTTATAATTTAGGTAGCTCGGGCTCAGGCACATATAACGTGTCTTATGGATTACTTATCTCGTACTTGGATGGCTATCTCCGAAGCTTGGGAGACGATATTGTTGGAGATGGATGAAAAATTAACGCGCTATGCAGAAAGTAATCCACCCGGTGGTGTTGCTGCGGATTTCCTTGAGCTGCTCATGATTGGCATTCCTACGCCTAATCTGGAGAATTTTTTATTACGAGATTTAACAGAGAAAGGTCTAAAAAAGCTTGGGCACAGTATTGAAATGTGCTACAGCAATATACAGGTGCGTTACCAATTGGGACTCTGATTTGCCTTCTGTACAGAATTTAACACGAGGCATTTTACAGAAATTAGTGTTAAAGCATCTCAGTAGTGTCGGAATGGCACTAGTTTACCAGTTGTCAGAAATGCGTGGAATGGCCAGGTTGGGAGGATCTTACGAAGCTTTGGGACTGAAGGATGAAACACCTATAAATAATGCTCTTCATGCTTCGCAGGCCTTTCTGGCTAAATCTTCAGAAATTAAACAAGTAATCGATCACAGTATGAGAGATTACAAGGCATTCTTTAGGTATGCAATAGATCGATATAAAGTGTCAACAAATCATCCGGTTGCTGTGTTATAAGGAGATCTTAAAATTTCAGATGGCTTTACGTAGTTATATTGAGATTAACGGACGAACGAGTGCCATCGGAAGTGAGTAGAGTGAGCCAACAAGAATTAACTTTCATAGCAGACTTTCTTCGTGGCTTTGACAAGACTGATTCAGCAAACGGTGGAGAAAGAAAAGGAGTAAATTTGGAAAAATTAGGACAATATTTACGCCGAGAGTCTCTGCAAACGTGTCTAACGCCGGAAGGAAGTGAATGGGCTTCGATGTTGGATGAAAATCATTGCTTGAAAGATCATCCACTAATTATCAAGCAAGATCTCAGTTATTCTTTACTGCAATCTCATGCAAAATTAGTCGATGCAATAAGTGGTGTGTTTACTGAAGCCTATCAAGGACTGGTCAGCCACTTTACTGTTTTTACTATTGGCCTTGGGCCCTTCGTGCCTGATATAACATCTCAAATCGTAACACAAGATAAAAATCTACTGATCGCAGCAGCAGACAGTGAACGTAAACATTTACGTTGTTTCAAAGTCGAATGCATTTTTGAGGGACCACTCACTTCTAAGTTATCCATTATAGACATTGACCGTAGACAAGGTAAATCAAATTGTTCATTAGACTGTATTCTTAAGATAAACGTTGCACTATATCTAAAAGTAATTCTTTCCTCCTAGGAATGGCTGCATGTTCTAAAAGTAGTAACGACACCACAATTGCTGACTTGCAATTTTACAATCAAGACTACTTGAGTCTACTACTTCTAAACCCCCTAAATTATGCATCGTTCCTCATCCAAGTGCCTGTCAGTGATGTGAGGCTATTCAGTGACGCAGCAGAAGAACTGATTAATTTAAGTGAACTTCTGGGGACTGCGTGGCCACGACCATTCCAAGGTATTTCCGCGCGGCATCTAGCAGTGAGTGGTTCACGAAAAGTAGCTGCTATTTTGAGTGAAACCAATCGTAAGATTCGGTTACTCGAAACAGAGGTGGAACCCGAGGATGAAGAAGACGAAGAAGAGAGTACGGAGCAAGGGGATGAGAGTATGGACACAAGTGGTGCCGTAGCAAGCACATCTCAGTGAGATTTTAACAGTATCGGTTCTCTTTGTTGAGACATCTGTACTAATTTAATATATTTATTAATAAAACTATGTAAATTGCTGTTCTTGGTATATGTAGCTGTAACGAAACCTGTCATACTGTGTGTGATATTGAGCGGTAGAATGCAGTTCTATATATTTCAGCATCAAGTTCTCTGTAATGTCTTTGTACAAGTCTGCGAACCTGCTCCTACACTTTGACTGGAACCAGTGTTAAAATTTTCCCTGGCACCAGAATATCACATGTCACGGAGCAGCCTGTTCCTTTTGCATCTGCTTCAGAATACTCGAAAAGTCAACGGCAGGATTATCGATTCCTTCGGCATGTATATTAGCAGTTGTTGGCATAGATCTTGACGGTGGGGTTTGTACATCTCCTTGGTATCTTCCTGGAGAGTTCTCTCGCGATTCATCCATGTCTATACGAATGAGATATCGCACGGTATAACCAAAAAATTTATGCAAAGTAAATATTAGATCTTACCGAAGAATCTAAAACTTCGTTTCCTTTTGACTGTTAGAATGAGAAGAACGACCGCTATTCCAACCACCACAACCATCGTCGCAGCCATTCCTCTCAATAAATTTGTCTGGCAAAAGTAATAAGAGATAAAGTAGATCATCAGTGTCGAGGTTATATTTGTTTGACTATTACCTCAAAGTCATTCTCCCACACTTCTTCCCAGTCCTTTTTAACAATTAATTCGATGACGTGTATGTTGATCGCCGAGTTGTCCATAATACCTCTGGAGATACATTTGTAAAAGCCGGACTCTGTTGTGGACACTCCCTACAGTTACGATTACCATCATGCGAGTTCTATATTTATTGTTTTAGGTTTATTATTAAAGAAACATAATTTACCCGAATGAATAATTTTCCAGTGAGAACTTCATAATTGTACTTCTGTTCATCAAGGGGATTTCCAGGTCCAATGATTTTCCGGTCATCTGTCAATTGCCAGAACATGAATCGATGATGATCGTCACTGCTCAGGCAGGGCAGTACTGCCAAATGTCCAGCTGCAACTTCTTGCACCATAACTGTGCCATTGGTCTTTCTTATCAGAGCAATAAGAACACAGAAAAATACAGAAAGGAAAATATTCATCTGAAAAGGGTACAGTTGGTAAAATTTCGTCATTAAACTCTATTATCGGAGACGAGTCTACACATTGTTTACATTTTAAAAGGCTTCTTCACTTTCGCTGAGTATATTAAAAAAAAAATCACTAAAAACTCCAGGGCTGATGGTACGTCTTGTAAAAACTGTAATCTTGCTATATAGATGTCAAAATTTTGTCAATACTTGAATTCACTTAACTAATGAATATTTCTTTACTCCGGTAATGTAGAACCTCCTATTGCTTATTTATATCCCTGTCCTATTTGTCCTTGAGCCACTGCGAGTATTAATAGTCAACCAAGTTCTAGCTTAAAGATCAGGGCTATTTTGGAAGCCAAGCACTAAATCAACTAGACCGTTGTAAGCTGTCAACGACTTCTGACTTATTTAAAAAAAGTAAGACCACGTACATAAAACATGAGCGAAGACTCCAAAATGATCCATCAGTCTTGCGTTATACCTCTCCATTACATAAGGATTCTGTTTTTGAATGCAACTATTGTTCCTCTCACATATAGAAGTACAAAACAAGGGACAGGTGGAAATTTCTATTTTCCTTTGTCACACTGCAGATGTAACTTAATATTCAGCGCGTGGGCCCTCATTGTTTTACAGTAACCAATAGAAATATCACCATACTTTTCATATTCTTTATCCTGTTTCCATACTTTTGCAATATATCCAATAATTCCAAAAAAATCTGGTTAATTACAATATTTATTTATATTGTAAAACTGAGTATTTATTAAGTTTTATATAAAATATGTTTAAAAAATAGAAATAATACCGTTTAGGAAGATTTCACGGGTTTGACTCGAACGAGTTGCTGTCAATGCCTGTAATGCTGAATAAGATGGACGAAAACATCGACGGCTAGAGATGGAAAGAGCAGCCAGAAAGGCGCTAAGACGACTTTTGCCGGAAGACCCCAATGCGGTGCCTCCAACTTCAGACATATTAAAATCTGCGCACATAGTTTAGCAAGTACCGCAGCCATATACCAAATCTAGAAGCATTAAAAATGGTCACTTACTAAAGGAAAGGGAAAGAAAAAGAATAACTCCCAACATCGTACACAATCACAGTGAGTTACGAAAACATTTTTATACAATTAACATTACTTTTCGCCGAAGGGTGCTGATCCGATCGTGTCCATTCTTACAGTGCGATATCATATTAAATACAATGTATATTAACAAGATATTGTCGTATATCCACATGGGAATGAAGACAATAAACCAGTTCCATTGAATCCTCTGGTCAAGTTTCAAGACGAGCAAAATGAGGAAAATCAGAAGATTGAACCACGTGAACAAAGCTCTATGCAGCACCGCCATGCGAACGGTCTGAATTAATATTTGTAGGCTCGATTTATCCCGAATATTCTTTTGAAAATGTATTTTTTCTCATAGTTAACCTCTCTCGTAACCTAAAAAGCAGACTTGTCAACTCTGAGCGACTTGGAGGCCATCTTGGGTCGCGACCACCTGTAGCTTGCTCCACAAGATGGCGGCATCGTCGACGGGTCCAGAGCGGCGTTCGCTTACAAATTCAAATATCATCGGGCCGACAAAGCGAAACTTTATCTCCGAAGACGATTTATCGCCGGACTTTGGAGTAAACTAGTTAGTAAGGTCAAATGAAGAGTACAGGCGAACTGCATTTAACGGTAGGATGGCGGACATCAAAGTGCTCGACGGAGGGTTCTCCACGCAGCTGTCGACTCATGTGGGTGAGAAAATCGACGGAGACCCTTTATGGACCGCCAGGTTCCTGGCGACGAATCCCGAGGCCGTGGTGGCGACGCACCTGGATTTCCTGCGAGCAGGATCCGACATAATCCAGACGAATACGTACCAAGCCTCCGTGGGAGGTTTCGTCCAGTATCTGGGAGTCAGCGAAGAGGAGAGTCTCGAGCTGATCCAAAGCGCGGTGGACTTGACCAGGAAGGCCATCACCATGTATTCTAAAGAGACCAGAGGTAATGGCAATATTCCCAATAATAAACCAGTGATCGTAGGTTCCTGCGGTCCGTATGGCGCGGTGTTGCACGACGCATCTGAGTATACCGGAAACTACGGACCAGAAGTTACCCCAGAGGTGATGTCAACGTGGCATCGACCTCGCATCGACGCTCTGACCGCAGCCGGCGTCGATTTCCTCGCTCTCGAAACGATACCTAACCAGTACGAGGCGAGAGCGTTGATCGAATTGTTAAGGGAGTATCCTAATACAAAGGCCTGGCTTTCCTTCTCGTGCAGTGACGACGGGAAGACGATCGTGGACGGCAGTAACTTTCAAGAGGTCGCCCTGGATTGCTACAAGAAGGCACCGTCTGGACAGATAGTCGCCATCGGAGTGAACTGCCTCGCCCCGAAACTGGTGGCCTCATTATTGAAAGGAGTCAACGATAAGGCTGAAAGGAGGGACTTTGTACCGCTGGTCGTCTATCCGAACAGCGGAGAGAAGTATACAGTGACGGAAGGGTGGAAGAGGGAGGGCACCTCTTGGCAGCCTCTCGAAGACTTTGTTCCAGACTGGCTGGACCTCGGTGTTCAATACATTGGCGGTTGCTGTAGAACCTACGCCACAGACATCACAAAAATACGGTACGAGGTGAACCGCTGGCAGAAAAAGCAGGCAAACTCTGTGAGAAATCACGTCAAGTGATGCAAACCCCTCCGGTGTAGTCCAGAATTCTCTACCAGACTTTAATTGAGATTAGTTAGCACAATGTGGCATTGACGTCTTGAGGTCGTGATTGTAGAAGAGCGTTTAATTATCCTCACTGTTCGTTAACAAGACTGAACGTTAAGTTTATCTGAACAATAAATGCTGTTTGTAAAAAAATTGATTATCGTGGGTGATTCCTTGATGAGGGGCTTGCTCAATTCGGAGCTTGTATTGTGTACACGAGATCGGTTCCAACGGCGTGCATTTTTCCATTAACGTTCACTTCGAGGATGTTGGACTTCGGGTTGATGCTGAAAGTGGATTTGGGCGGAATTTCGACTTTACCTTTCAGGATGTCGTCTACAACGGGAATCATGCGTGGTCCCAGAATGTAATCGCTGTATCTGTATAAGTGTACCATGGAGAGGTCTGAAAGTTCAAGGTGAAATGTCAATTTCTAGGGTTATCGATGGATAAAGTCTGGTATTTGTACCTTTTAAGCGTTTATTTTCTTTTGCAATTCTCGTTGCAACTGCGAGGACGGTGTCTCCATGGCAGATCTTAAGCTGCATGCTGAAGAAGCCACTAGATATCTGTGGATTTGCTGCGGTCACTGTAATGCCAGGTTTCGTAGAGAAATTCATGTACGGTGTCCCAGGACAGCACTCCTCCTTCGTTTTTTCTGGAGCTTCATCGGTGTACTTGATCTCGATCTCTTCGAGCTACCATTAAAATACAGCTAATAAAATTCAGCCACAATGAGCACTCGATGATTGGTACATATTACTCACGTTTAAGGTGTTGCAAAGGTAATCTTTATTCCCAGCGAGGACATCCACTTCACTGAAATCGAGGGTCAGATTGAGAGCTGTCACTCCGATCGACTCTATCTTCTCTCGAGTAGCTTGAACAAATGGCATTACTCTCTTCATGTATTTTTTCAACTCCGCTTTGCCTCCCAATTCTGTAGCGATCACCTTATTCTCGGGTAAGGTATTTTTATTTTTCTGATAAACAGACCAATCACGTTAAATCATCATCTTTAAAGTTGCGACATTACTGCAATAATAATAATTTCTCCTGCTTACTAAATGACTTACAGTATAAAGTTCCTTCATCGTTGTAAGTACGATACTTTGCCAAGGTGGGAAAGACTTAGCTACCCAGATCGTACCATGAGTAGGTTTCTCTATAGGAGGTGGTTCCTTTTGCGACTTTGGCGCTTTCTTCACTGTTAAATAATTTTTTAAGTAGATTCTGAACGAATGAGCAGCATCCATAAGGTACTGGGAAGACTTTATCAGGATGTCATCGATGGGACCTTGCTCGGGCCAGCGAGCATTAAGTATACTGTCACTCTAATTTTGAGATATCGCTATTAATATAATAGTCTCATCTTAAACTTATTATAACGTGATAAATACCTTTCCAATTAGACTCCAAACATGTTCGGCCACGTGTGGACAAATCGGAGAGATTAGAATTGTTTGTAATTCAATGTATTGCATGATGAGGGTTAAATTAATTCCATCCAAGGCAGACAATTGTAAATATTTATCTCTTGCTGCCTGTAGTTCGAAGAATCCAGTTCTCAAACCTTCTTTGTATAACATTTTGGAATAATTCTCTTCAGATTCACGGATTTTCAGATTCATCTCACTGGAAGAATTCAGCCAATCGTTAGATAGGCTTGGAGAAATAGTTCTAAAGTCTTGATCAGTACCTTTCGAAGACCTTGTCATTAAACGTGGAAGGATCTCCTTTCCTAAAAGAGTCCTTCGTTGCCAAGACTTCCTTCACCCATTCGATGTACGTGTATAATCTAAGAATTCCCGCATCTGCCATGCTTTCCACAAAATTGGCATCCTCTACAGAATCTCCGGCGTCTGCTAAGCAGAGACGCATGCCATCGGCAGAAAATTTCTGCACGGCTTCGCTGAGGGTTAAGAAATTCCCCTCGGACTTGGACATCTAACGAGAAACTTAAACTAATGACACCATAAATACAACAATATAATATGTGGTCTATTTGAATTTACCTTCGCAGAGTTTAACAGGAGATGACCATTTGCCCTAATGCCTCGTGGCCATAAGTCAGGTCGATCGGGCCATAGAGCGGTATGATTATAAATGAAGAACGTTAAATGATTTTGAATTAAATCCTTCCCAGACACGCGCAAGTCGACTGGATACCAATACCGAAATTCTCGTCGCATCTGTTCTAATGCTTCTTTCTTTATCAAGGATTTTGGTAATGGAGCACTGTCAAAGAAGACATAATCCCACACTTCCGGAGTCATTTGTTCTGCTCTGCGAGAAGAAAAAATAAATTATTTCCTTTCACCTAAAAGACTTTCTGTACGTACAAAACATCTATTTTACTTTATTCCAAGGACGTTCGGCTTGTCGCCCTTAAATGTTCCTCCTTGTAGTAAATGAGCGACTGTATAATAGGCCATATAAATTGTTGAGTCGGAGAGTGACTCAATGAGCCAATTTTCATCCCATGGAAGCTTAGTACCTGAATAAAAAAATCAGTTACTGTATTTTTAAATTACAGACATTAAAAAAGTATCGATAAGAAGGAAATTTATCTACCGAGTCCATAGGTTCTCGAGCAAGCATATTCATGAAGCCAATCCAGACACGCTAAGAAGTTCTTTCTTACTTCATCGTGGAATGTCTCCAGATTAGCAAGACATTCCAGTGCTTGTTTTTTCCAATTCTTTTCACCGTACTCTAGGTACCATTGATTACACAGAGCCACAACACACTCATCGTTAGATCTGGAAATAATGGTTTTTTCGGGCTCATAATACAGTACAGCATCTCCAGCATCAATCAATTTCTTCTGGAGTTCTTTTTTCACATCTTGAACCTTCGACCCCTTGTATTCCCCCACTAACAAAACTCCATCGTAGAAGCCTTTTAAATATACCATTTCCTTCGCTTCTAATAATTTGGCCTTATCATTCTGCGACTGAATTTTTAGCTTCTCGTACACAGTTACTGCCGATAAACTCCCAAACTCTGGAACCTCGATAATGGGAATCTGCAATGCAAACGCGATTAATAAAGTGTAACATACTCGAAAAATGACGAAAGAGTTTGATGCGTTACACATACGGGATCATACGGTAACACCATTTTGTTTTCGACTCCATATTTTTCTCTGAGAGCTTCTTTCTTTTTGAGGTCCATTAGTGCAGCATAATCATCAGGAGAATCACTAGGAACTGATGTTACGATTCCAGTACCCTTATCTTCTTTGATAGTTAACATTGGTAGTGTATAAATAATTTTATTACTTGTAAGAGGGGCAGACAATGGGATTCCTAAGATATCCTAAAACATTAATTTACACCAAAAGTATATATGTTGACATTATTAATAACAACGGTCATTTTACGATCGCCAATTACCTTGCCTGTGAATTTGACGATGATAGGAATTTTCCCTTCTTCTTTCGTGAAGCCTTGATAAGACATGTTCCGTGCCGCTCTTTCGGTGGATATGTACACGTCACCAGTTGTTACGCTGTATGCAATGTAATTTATGTCTGGGTGTATCCAACAATTTGTTTGTCCATACATTGTTTCAGGTCTCAGAGTAGCAGCTACCAAAAAAATGTTCTTGCTAGAAATTCCTCTACAAAAAAAAATTAATTTCAGTGCCTCTTAAGGAACGGCTTTAAGTAATAAGTAATGCATACTTAAAACTTTCTGGATAAGGCTCTTCAACTTTCATCTTTATTAACGTGTATTCTTGGGGCCCAACTCCTTCTCCCGTAGATCTATCATGGTCCATGCATGGTTGGCCATCCTTTGGTGAGTATATTGTATATCGTTTCCCATACTTCACTTTGTTCTTTGTCTTTAAATGTTGAAACTGCCACCTGACAAACGAATCAAAAAAGGGATTTGCATCTGTTGTTATAAACGTACGTCTCCAGTCAACCTACACAAACAAAATAAATTGTAAGTAATAACAGCTAGAACAAAATCCGATCGAAAGAATTAGTTATCATATTTATGCAATATTACATGTAATCCAATTGATTTTAAATCTTGCACAGCCAAAGGAGGAAAATAATCTAGCCAATATGCAGCATTTGCAAAGTTTGGAATTTCTTTATCACTCAGTCCAAGACTTTGCATAATTTCCCACTGATATTTGGCTGCTCCAGTTTTCGCCACAGCTTTGCTCTGGAATTATTGTAGATTATTGAAACACTTCCTGTTATTCTTGTTATAGAAAAATGTGATATATATACCTTTTTTCCTTTACTTTTATCTTTAATAATAACATCCTCTATTTCTTCATGCTTAGATTCAACGCTCTCAGGAAAATTTGGAGGATTGCCATATAGTTCCATTTCTCTCTTCAGTTTATCGGCACATGCCTTGATAGGCATGCCAGTGCAATGGAAACCAAAGGGAAACAGAACTCTCTTGCCTAATAAGCGATTGTAACGGACCGCAAACTAAAATTAAAAGGAAAGTAATTTTAAGCATTAATTAATTTCCTCTTAACCACAGGTGTTAAAAAAAATCTACCTCGCATTTGGACAATGAAAACGTATGCCCCAAGTGAAGGCGGCCATTCATATAAGGAAACGGGAAGGTAGCCAGAAACTTTTCATCCGTATTCTTCCTAGCTTGCAATGGAGCATCTATCTCATAGACTTTTGAAGTTTCCCATTTTGTTTGAACATCCCTTTCGATGTTTTGAAGATACTCAACCTTAAACGTCCCTTTCCTCTCGGAAGCCTGAAGAAAAAGCATTGTTACTCTGTATATAACCAAGCGGAACCACAAAAAAGATTAAAAAAAAATCATAATATTAGTTACGAAAAGCATATTGGTTATTGAGGTTATACTATACTACTGAGTGCGGAATACCAGGACAAGTTTAAGAAAATCAATAATTTATCAGTAGAGTCACAATCATGTACTCACCATTATTAATAATAACGTACTATCAATAGTTTGTTAAATTACAACTGGTTAACGTACCATCGGCTTGTGACACGTGAATACCTGAATAGCCAGAAATAATGGTTGATTAGTTATCGGTTATGCTCCGAGTTTCATCGCGCAGACTCTATTAATGCCAACTTATTTACTGACGGGGCTATAGGTCCCGATTAGTTTATTTCCTTGAAATGTGGTTATTTCTTTTATTTATAGATGCGTAGTTGGTACTGGAGACTCCCGGCCAGGGTTAGGTAATTCCCCATTTTTCGAAGTTTTTGACGTATGTATATATATTCAGCCAGAGATAATTGCGTCAACGGAAAGTTTGCGTTGAAAATCTGTAATTTTAAGATGATGCAATGTGAATATAATTGTGTACAATGAGTATAAACAAAACGCAAGCAGGTACAAGGGTACCTTTTTCAGGTATCTGCGGTCAGGTGTCGGTCGGGAGAAGGGACGGTACCGTAATTGCGAACAGCGCGGGCAATGCGGACATATAGTACATGTAAATATAAATGTGATACATAATAAAAAAGTATAGATTGACTCGAGTCCTCTACTTTACTTTTAACGGCTTTCAATCTTCCCGCATTTTCTTCCTATAACCTACTACGTAATAGAGCCTTAGTTGCGGAGAGATGGAGAATCTCTCTAGTTTGTAGAGATGGCAGCACTATAGCACGACACAAAATTGTTTCGTGAACGCACTTTAACCTACTTTTTATTAAAGGGGAAAAAAGTCATTTGAAATAAGCAAAACACTCCCGGCTTTTTCGGCGATTTGCGACGCATATTAAAGACGACTAATTCACGGGTTCAAATGAGGTGAAGGGAGGCGTCTACGGCAGCCAGAATGTCGGACGTCAAGATACTCGATGGTAGTTTTTCCTCACAATTATCGACTCACGTGGGCGAGAGAATCGACGGCGACCCGCTATGGACAGCGAGATTCCTCGCGACAAATCCTGCAGCCGTCCAGGCCACTCACCTGGATTATTTACGAGCAGGTTCTGATATAATAGAGACTAACACGTATCAAGCCTCGATCGGTGGTTTCGTTCGATACCTAGGCCTTGGACAGGAGGAAAGTCTGCAATTGTTTCACGATGCGGTGAAGCTTGCCAAACGAGCAGTGCAGCAGTACAAGGAAGAGATTGACGGTAACGACAATATTATAAATACCGAGCCAGCGATTGCAGGTTCTTGCGGCCCATATGGAGCTGCCCAGCACGATGGTTCCGACTACACCGGACTGTACGCGCCAGACGTTACATCAGAAATTATGGCCACCTGGCATAGGCCTCGCATCGAAGCGTTAATCAAGGCTGGAGTCGATCTATTGGCTATCGAGACGATACCCAATATGCAGGAAGCTATGACGTTGGTTAACTTACTCAAGGAATATCCAGATACAAAGGCCTGGCTCTCGTTCTCGTGTAGCGACGATGGAAAGAGTCTAGCAGATGGTAATAGCTTCCAAGAGGTTGCTTTACATTGCTGTCAGAGAGCTTTGCCTGGACAGTTGGTTGCTGTAGGAGTGAATTGCCTTTCCCCTAAGACAGTTGCCCCACTGCTGAAGGGAATCAATGCAAGATCGAATAAGAGGGAGGCAATTCCATTAGTGGTGTATCCAAATAGCGGTGAGAAATATACCGCTTCGGAAGGTTGGAAAATGGAACCTAATAATCAGCCTTTGGAAAGTTTTGTTAAGGGATGGCTGGACCTTGGAGTTCGATACATCGGCAGTTGCTGCAGGACTTATGCCACGGACATAATAAAAATACGAGCAGAGGTGAAGCGTTGGCAAGCCGAGGCAAAGAACTCTGTATAAATTAAGGTACGTCATGTGAGTGGATGAGTACCATGTAACGAAAGTTCCGATTTCTATCTAGGTATAGAAAACAGAAAAGTAAACATATACTTTGTAAATTGTGAACCGTACTACATTATTATGATATACTCCACAAATACATCTTTTTGTTTCTAAGGGAAATTATGTATCGATACTGTGCTAAATTTACACTTTTATAAAACTTGTGATAGTTATAAACGTAAAATAAAGCAATTGTTCTATTGTACGTCAGTATGATAATTCGAGCCTGTGGTTCAAGATACATAAATTGAAACTTCTCGCGAGAAAACAAGTTTTCGTAATTCGAGAACGTGTGCTATTTATTTACGTGTGCTTTGAATATTCGCGCTTACGAAATTTGAGATATGCGCTACAATTACAACACCGATAAGATAATAATTAATTTGAGTTCTCTGCATAATGTGGTAAGTTTAAGACATATTATTCATGACTACATAATCGCCGCACTACGCTACCAATTTTAAAAAGTATTAAAACAATGTGGAGAAATTGCTTATAAGTTACCGAAGAGTTCTCATTGGTCCTAGTAACTTTCTTCGTTTAAAACCCTAGGTGTAGGTGGAGCTGAGATAGCCTAACGGAAATGTAAAGAATCTTAATTAAATTCTACTTCACAGCTAGTTCGCGAATCGGTGTCATCCCNTCGGTTAGCACGCAAATCCGGAATTACTAGCTGCATGGAAACGTACCCGACAACTTCCTGTTCGCAATTTACAATTACGCACGCACGCAACGAGTGTTTCCACTTTTAACTACATTAAACTACTATCATACAAAAAAAAAAACACACTAAGTGGAATCACTCGTGCAGCTATTTGCGAACCGGTGGTTTCGAACAATAGTTGGAAACCACCGATCCCCCAGGCTCACCACGTGGAGGTTGCTGCGCACCGAAGCCCTTTACAAACGTAATAAATTAAGTTAAATATATTAAGAAAGGGAACGGAAGGGAGGGGGGATGACTCCTCCCATAAGGCCCGGTTTCACAACCCAAGTTAACCGAAGTTTGATTTTTAACCGTTAGGTTAAACCGTAGGTTAAAACTGGGGTTAACCGTTAGGTTTAACCGTGGGTTAAATCTGGGGTTAACCGATAGGTTTAACTGTAGGTTAAATCTGGGTTTAATCTACGGTTAAAGCTGGGGTTAACCGTTAGGTTTAATCTACGGTTAAAACTGGGGTTAACCGTTAGATTTAACCGTAGGTTAAAACTGGGGTTAAACTAGTTACGGTAGAAGCAGGTAACCCGATGTTTACCCGTCGGAAGACCAAAGGGTAATGATGCTCCGAGCTCGCGCTCGGCCTTATATAGGGTCCCCGACCCCGGCATGCGCATGCGCATTTCCTTATCGCACCTTAATATGTTCCAATTTTTTAGTTCCTTTATAAAAATGGATTTTCATGGCTACCAAGCCCTTTCTTAGGGTCTTTATACTTACGTTATACAATTTCAGACGATTCGGTGCACCTAGATTCGAGAAAAATTTCGAAAACCACTGACCCTTCGGTTGTCTCTTTCACGGCACCTAAACGGAAAATCCATCATTTTAAGGTGGTGCAAGGCTAAGATGAATACACGGGTACCTTTTTCAGGTATCTGCGGTCAGGTGTCGGTCGAGAGAAGAGACAGTAAAGAAACAGACAAAAGTGAGCAAGGTCGGTAAAAACGGTGAAAGCTGACGTATGAAATCAGAGGGCATCACAGGATGCGATCGTGCGACCCTGCCCGTGAGCAATCTCCCAACTCATCTGTAGTTTTCTTCCCGAGTGGCGAGTCTTGATAATTCTTTACCACAGGTGGAACAAATTCTGCTTCATAGCTGTTCATAGCGAAACGCGCTGGAAAATTTGTATTTTCTAGCAAATTCTACGCGATTGATTATTCGAAACGGTGGTGAGGAGGTTCACCTACAAATTCGGGAAATCATTCGAGGTATGTGTTCCTGCTGACGAGGAAGTGTTTAATTCTTGACAGTTCGTAGATCACGTAATCCGAGGAAAAGTTTGAATCCTTTATAACCTAGTATAATTTAATTTCGATACTCCTTGTGGCGACCATCTCGATCTTTCCGTAATTTGCATGTTTTATCCGGCATTTTGCTATTGAACATTAGAAATTCGCGAGAAATGAGTCAGCTATAGGTGTAGACGTTATTCAGAAGAATCTTTGATGCATGTGTTTTCTATTTTTATGTGACTATATCTGTGATAAAATGTTGTTTAATGTAAAGAAAATATGTTTGTCCATATAGTAATGTCTTAATGTTCATTGTTAGTTAGAACATTATTTTCTGTCGATTTTCCAGTTACGCCTATTTCATCAAAATGCCTGAAGTCGACATTACAAAAAAACAGGATGGCGGTGTTCTTAAGGAAATTATCAAGGAAGGTGTCGGCGAAGAGAAACCTTTGCGTGGATGCAGCGTGACCGTTCATTACACGGGAACTTTATTGGATGGAACAAAGTTCGACAGCAGCAGGGACCGGGATGAGCCCTTTAAATTTGTTCTCGGTCGCGGTAACGTTATCAAAGCATGGGATATTGGAATCGCTACTATGAAGAAAGGAGAAGTAGCTGTGTTGACTTGTACTGCAAAATATGCTTATGGAAAATCGGGCACTGCAACAATTCCTCCAAATGCTACGTTGAAATTTGAGGTACTCATATTTTTTTACTCTGTTTAAACAATTACTTGCATGTTCTTTATTGTATGTTATGATTTTTTATTTTAGGTAGAAATGATAGATTGGACAGGTGAGGATGTTAGCACTGCATCGAATGGAAGCATCTTAAAGTTTCAAATCAATCCAGGAGAAGGCTATGCTTCGCCTCAAGAGGGGGCATTAGTAAATGGTAAACATAAAATTGCGCATTTTATTTTATAGTTGGAAATAGTTCCATCATTTTACAATAATTCTATCAATTGTTATCTGTCTATAGTTCATTTAGTTGGAAAATATAATGACCAAGTATTCGAACAGAGAGATGTGCAGTTCACCCTTGGAGAAGGAGAAGATGCAGGCATAATTGAGGGAGTCGAAGAAGCACTGCAGCATTTTCAAAATGGGGAGAAGGCTAGATTAAAAATCAATAGTACAAAAGCTTTTAAAAATGAAGGAAACTCAAAATTCAACATTCCTCCAGGAGCAGACGTAGAATATATAGTAGAATTGAAAAGTTTTGAGAAGGTACAGAAAAGAATAGTACCTTGATTTTATGTATTCCTCTTTTATTCGTTATATTAATTTTATTGATTCAACATTTTTCAACTTCGTGTTACTTTGTTGCAGAGCGTAGAAGAATGGTCATTGGAACCTGCCAAGAAAATTGAACAGGCAAAGTTGTATAAAGAAAAGGGAACATCATATTTTAAAGCCAACAAATACAACTTAGCTATTAAATTATACAAAAAAATTACGACCGCGTTGAAGTCTGAGTTAGAGTTTAAGGACGAACTAGTAAAGGAACAAGAAGATCTTTTGCTCTCGGCTCATCTCAATCTTGCACTGTGTTACTTGAAAACCAATTCATACGTCGAGGCAAAAGACTCTTGCAACGAAGCCTTAAATTTAAGTCCCACAAATGAGAAGGCTTTGTTTAGAAGAGGGCAAGCTTATATCGCCTTGGCTTCTCCTGAGATCGCAGTAAAAGATTTCCAAGAGGTGCTTAAAGTTGAACCTAAAAATGCAGCAGCTGCCAAACAGGTTACCGTTTGCAACAATCTTATTAAAAAACAGATCGCTAGGGAGAAGAAGCTCTATGCAAATATGTTTGACACGTTTGCAAAACAGGATAAACAGGTACGTGATGAACAACAGAGTTTGTAAACAAGTGCACTGTTCCCAATGTTAATCGATCTCCAATTCTGCAAAATTTGCAATAACATATTTACAATGTAATTCATAATTTTCCCATTTGGGTGGAACTAATTTTTGAAATTATGCTACGGGTCAACAATAATGTATGTGACATTTACTGTGTGTCATCTCAAGTCTAGGCATATTGGAGGGTGTTTTGTATTTGGAGGTCCTTCGTGTGGGCATATTGTAGAAAACAATCAATTACGTTTGACCGTGAAATGTTAGTAATGTCGTAGAAGGAGGAGGAGAAGCTGCGACAACAACCAGACGTGATGCGAGGGACTCTGGGCGAGTGGGGGCAGGAGGAAAGACCCGGGGGCAGAGATGCCACCGCTTTCGAGAAAGAAAATCCCAACATTCTGATGTTGAATGCAAACGGCACCGGAGAGTTCAAGAACATGTGATTATTCTAGTTTCCATTCCTACCCATACTGCCCCAAGCAGCCGAACTGCTTCGCTGTGACTGCCACCGATATCAGACATTCGCAGTGATTGTCCAAACCCTTCGTAATAACTTAAATCCAGACAGGGAACACTTGCGTACCAGAAATCACCACTACCCTGGTGTGCACTTCTCTGGTATCCTCGAATCCCTGCTCTCAGCCAGTTAGTACACGTTTTCATTGCTAGTCAATTAAAAGACATTCCACCGATCGTTAAGTTTTGTCCACGCATGTATTTCGAAAAATTGTATAAAAATACGAGAGGCCGTAGTTCCGTGCTCTCGATCTGCCGGAATATACAGGAACGATCTCTGAAACGGACTCACGGGCTGTAAATTCATTGCATCGGTATAACGATTCAAATCTCGTATCCTCGGTAATTTTGACACAATAAACTCGTTATTTTTCACGGTGTGAAGTGCGTTTCCTTCCGAGTTCCGTTGATCCCGTCTTTATCGATCTCGCTTAACCTCCGCGGCTAGCGAGTTCGCCTGGCGATCACAAGATGGCACTGTCGGCGGTACGCGCGATGTGTGCGGGTCGAGACGACGTCGGATCAGCTGTGCGTCGCGAGGGCCAGTGCTCGGTCACTTGGACGTCGTCTCTCGGTGTTTCTTCGAGCAGATCGAGGCGGTCTCTCGGATTTCTCGGGGGGGTCGATCGGGTCTGGCGTTGGCGAGGTTCTCCGAGGCTCGCGAGGATCGGTCGCCTCGACGCCGCCAGCGGGGCATCACGGGAACAGGTGACAACAGAGCCTCGCCATGTTAGATTTCGCGCGAGTGCCCGCGGTGTGCTAGTCGCTGGTTAATTCGGCCTCGAGCGGACTCTCCGGCGGTGATCTTGCTCGACAACCATCCAAGCTGGATAGATTACCCGAGTATCTCCGCGACACCGTGGACTGGTTTATGGGGTAAGTTTGTAACGGCATCGGCCGCACGCGCGCGTTGAGGTTACCCCGAGAACCTTCCTCGAGCGTCGACCTCGAGTCGCGCGGAATTATTCCGGGCTCTTTTCCAGGAAAGGAGGCCTGTTTCTCTGCCTTTTCACCCCTTTCTACCGGAAAGTGTTCGTTCTAGGTAGAGGTTAGGTTTCTCGAGACCCGACGCGGAGTAAACATCGCCTCTTCGACTCCTGGCGCGGTGTCTGACCTGGCGAGTCCACGTGAGAGCGAGGGAGAGAGAGAGCTGGGGCGCTCGTTTAATACCTTACAACGCAGATTCTCTTGAAGCAAGGTTGACGGAGGCTTCGAGGTCTTCCTCAGCCTAGCGATCTACTAGAAATCTCAATGGAAGCTTTAATCCACTGGGTCTCGGCGTTAGATTTATTTGATCGGACAAGGGGCGAAGGGTTAAACCCTCTTTCTTCCAATTAAGAAAGTGGAGTTAACCTCTAGGCTAGATGGGACATGATGATGCAATATTTAGCATACTTTTTTTAGGTTCGTCCTCCAGCTGGAGGAGAGCCTTCGCTACAGGTACGTGCAGTGTACCGGGTAATTATAAACTGAGGAGAGGATTAAAAATGGACTTTGGGGATAATGTGGTATGCGTAGCGGACAGAGATTCGTACGTGTCTTCCCTGACTCAACTTGTGTGACTTTACAAAGGATTTCAAGTGTTCTCGAGACTCGGCAGTGCAGCGATGCTCATTGGTTCGTTACACTTTCCCTCGGCTTGATCCTGGGATTTAGATCATGGCTTAAAAAATATGTGTCTTGCCATTTTACTGGGATAAAGGAAGCCTTTCTAAAGCTGCGTTACTTGTCATCGGTGGTACATGTAATCACCGTTCTTTAGCATTTCATGTAGGCGCTGGATGGACGTCGATATCTGGTCGAATAGTTCCGTGCTTAGTGAGCCGTGTGCGGCCATGGATAAATCCGATTTTCTTGAATGAAAGCATCAGCCGATAAATCGGATTCCCTGGGACGGGAACAGGGTGGATATCCGTGGGCTTATTCCTCCACCGAGCAGGGAACTACTCTGACTCTGTTCTAACTTATCGACCTGCATGTAAAGTCACACAATGGGTTGGTGAGGAATTACACGGTGAAGCCTGAGATGTTAATAATTAAATCGTTTTGCACTGGGCTACAAATGCTCGAGCATCGGGGGTTACATAACAGCTAGTGTCACTCGATTATGCCTCGGTCGAACTTCTTTGTCGGAGAGTCCATGCATCGTGTCCCCTAGATTTTGATGTTTATAATAATCGACTAGACTCCTATTCTAAGAGTGGAATTAATTATTATATCCAGAGGGAAGAGAGGAAAATCATGTCGAAGAGACCCTACGCTCCGATGTCCATGTCCACAGGGATTAAAGCTTCCGAAGACCTGAATGGCAGAGGAGACTCTGCGGTGTCTCGAGACGGGAGGAAATATATGCCGACTGCCCGATCGATCCTTTTTGCGGCAATCCTTCCGCGAAGTTACGTACGACTTGCACATAAATTGGTCGTCCTAGTTCTGGGGGGGTGAGGGAGGGGAGGGGAAGTCGTTACCAGTCCTTAGGGAAAAATCGATCCACGTTCCGCCGACCACGGCGAGAGTCTTCTCGGACACGACGACGGATTTACAATGGGGAACGAAGTCCCGTTGGGGCGAGGGGAAAAGAAACGCTGCCGGAAAGGGGAAAGAAAAAATAAAAATCGACGACCACTCGTTACCAGGACGCATTACGAGTATGTGCAGAGTTGCTGCGCGGTCTCCTTTAATATTATCAGGTTTTGAGAGAGACCTCTCGCTTGGTCCTCGAATTTCGGTAAATCTTTTTTTTTTAAACCGAGGGTTAGGGGCGAACGACTCGCGGTAAGTGTACTTGGCGCGAAACGCCGCCGAGTAGACTTCCGAGTTTTCCGAGATGCGGAAGAGCCGCGTCGCCTTTCCTAGGAGTCCCTCCTTTTTACTCTTTTGATCTTGTTAATTAAGTAACCCGCGCAGTCGGACGTTTCCTCAAAAGAATAAAAGATTTTAACCCCCCCGTTTTTCATTTCCTCGTCGACGGCGCGGGGACGACTCGCCGGAGGAGAAAATGGCGGCGAAGTTACGCGGATAGCTCTCGCTTCCGGTTGGGGAATTATTTGCGGGCGCGTGGACGCTAGATAGAGAAAACCAGGTGGGTATTTTAGGAGCGCCGTTAACGCGAGGCACGTGGACCTGAGACTCGTTTCCTGGAGCGATTTAGAACGTCCGAAAGATCTCGTGAATCGCGTCAACGCGTTTGCCGCCAAGACGGCCGCCATTTTGGAATAACGTAACTCTCCTTTTATCGAAACCGTTAATAGTTCGGACTCTCGGGTCACTCGGAATGCGTAAAGGAAGTCTGGGTAAACGACTATTATCGTCTCAATTAACGACGCGGTCGTTAAACCCCGAATCCTGGTTTTCGCGTTTATCCGCGGTGGCGTGATAAAGAATTGAGCGCGCGAGAAATTCCTCGGGATGTATTCAAAATACACCCCCTTTTTTTTTTTTTTGGCGAATATCCATGCATTGGAGAAGGCATGATCGCGCGTTACAAGGTCTTGGACCGGGAGGTTAGCACGAGTCGGCCTTTACGCGCCGAGATTTGTCGTTACGTCTGTAAACAGTTTAAGAAGCGCGTCGCGGGATAGATGGAGAGGGGTCGCGAGAGAAGTGGAACTTGTTCGGTTTCGGGGCCCCGTTAATTGCGTTAGGAAGGGTTGTGTCGTGTCTCGGTCGAAGCCTCTTTTTTTTTTGCTCGCGGTCGCCGAGGGCGAGTGGAGGCAAGTGGAGGCGAGTAGCGACGAGTATATACGAGTGAGGCGAGCGGGAGACGCAGTCCGTGCGCCGCGCGGCCGAGCGGCCCGACCGAGAATCACCGAGAAGTTTCGCGCGTTCCTTCGTGTCGGTCCCGCGGCCGCGGCGTTCATATCGGCGACCAGCGGCATCCGCCATGTTCGGTCTGGGCAGCAGGAAGGTCCTCAAGTACTCGGCCATCGATGCGTCCCTCTCGATCGACGTCGAGGACACGGTCACGTGCTTTTGCAGGTTAGTCCGCCGCCATCTTGGAACAGCCCGGCGCCGATCGCCGAGATTATCGAGGCATCGGGCCATGATCGGACCGGGAGCGATGAAGAAAGAAAGAAAGGAAGAAAAAAAATGTAAACCGAGCGAAGCTAACTCTCCGGGCCCCTTTCGTTGTTTCGGGAAGAGTCTAACGGTTATTTCCTGCTCGTCGCTTCTCGGGCGTCAGGCCTTATCGGGCTCGTTGAACTCGGCGTCGATCTCTCCGCTCGCCTCCATGTTTGTCGCGGCAAGATTAGCGGGTTTTTTGTGGGTTAATCCCTGTCTGGCGGGACTCTCGAGGAGAGTCGATCGGAAGCAATCGATTTCGACGGGCCCGATAGGTTTTGCGGGGGCATTCGTCGGGATTTCGCGGATTTTCCGGGATTTCTCGATTTTGCCAAGAGGCGCCGCGGCCGCCATCTTGGATAGCGCGGTCACGTGGTAGGCCCCGGTTTCTTCCTTCGGAGACGCGCGATTTTATTAGGAGTCGTTCCGGTTAAATCCGATCGCGAGGCTCTAAGGAGCGACGCCATTTTCTCCTCCTTTCCTCTCGGTCGGTTTTTTAACCGCGCCGGAATACTCGCCGCGCCAAGGTAGGATACTCGACCGGCGGAGTTTTCCGCATTGTACTTATCTCTCTATCTCCCTCTCGCTCTCTCTCTTTCTCCGCGCCTCGCCCATTCCCCTCGCGTGAGCGCGCTCACCTAACCTAACCTCCCCCGTGACGCGTATACGTTCAATTCTCCCGTGTTTCCAGTCTACGTAAGTCCCTGCGTAGCGACGTCGTCGAGTGTTCTTAGCAACGTCACGTGGCTCGGACGACACCTTCTTACATAACCTAGATAATCGAGCATGCAATTTTTTTTTCATTTCTTTTGGGATACCTCGCGGGGGAGGATGCTCGCTCGGTTTGGCCCGTTATGCGGGTGGGTGTATATATTCACACGGGTGAATCTGTGAATGTGTGCACCCCACGTGACGTCATGCACCCCGAAGAGGCTCCTCTGGGTGGTGTCCAAAATCCGCGGCGATCGATCGGCCCGTCGCGGCGTAAGCGTCGTCGCGTAATCTCGCCGCGGGAGCCCGGGTTTAATTAGCGTCGCGGCGCCCACGAGTCCTCTCATTACGCCGACCTTGCCCCCGAGGTCGAGGCGCGTCTGACCGGCCTTAACGACACGTGATGGCCACGCGTCGCCCTTTCCGGAGAAACCGGCGCGATTGTCCCCGCGTTAAAACCCCGTCTCTATGCGTCATACATGCGAGAAAAAAAAAAAGAATAATAAATTGGTTCGTTAGACGAAATCGATTGGACTTGGTCGATCTTGGAGGAACTCGAGAGAATTTCTGTAAATAGAATTGCGGGGGTTATGCTAAATTATTTTAATAATCCAGGATAAATGTGCGTCGAAACATCCGTAGTAGATATCACTGGATTTTTTTTTCTTTTTTTTTTTGAGCGGAGAAAAGTGGTTTCTTCCGGTAAAGAGATGCGGGACGATATGAGTCGCCGATGGCTCGGGCGTCCTCGTGGCAGCGAAATCGAGGGGAGATGGTCGCGGAAACTCCTTCCCCATGGACCGGAGAGAGGATAGCTCGGGGGAGCGGGTAAACAAAGCAGAAGAGGACGCGTCTTCCGGGCGCCGGAATGGATCGATCGGTCCTAATCTTGGGCCGGAGTGCTGGCGCCGATCCCGCGGCGCCGCCTCGTCGTGGGACGCCTAGACTAACCTGAAACCTCCCGTCGCGTGGAAGACGAATTAATCCGAGGCCTCGTTTAATCTCGGACCGAGGAAGCGGGGACTTCGAATGCGATTTAATTCTCCCAGTTTCGCGAGGAGGGAGGGAGTGGAAAAAGCGAAATGAGCGAAATTAGCAAAATTAGCGAAATTAGCGAAATTAGCGAAAGAGACCAACTCCTTCGTTCACTCGTCATCGCGTCAATGGAGCGGTGTCGTAGCGGGGCGATTCATTCATCGCACGGTCGGTAGAAGAGGCGAGGGGGCGCCGGGAGGGACGCCCGCCGCCTCGATTCGCCTTTTCAGGGAGATCGACCGACGCCCCTCGCCTCGAAGGAGCCGACGAGTCTTCACGGATCGCGTGAAAGAGAGCAGTAGAGCTGTTTTTGTCTTTCTCTCCGACTCTATATGTCCTTCCCTTCGAGGGGCCGTAGGGCTACCCCGTGCCGAGGGCGCGCGGAGAGCCGCGGCGCCGATGCGCTCGCTGCCGCGGTCCGCCGCGGAGTATCGATTGTCGCAGCTCGCGGCGCTGCCAGCGCGCCACTGACGCGGCGGAGTGGGGAGAGGCGGCCGGTCAGCTGACCCGGCGCGCTCGATCAGCTGACTTTGACAGGCCCGAACGCGCGCGGCCCTCGCGTCGCGGCTTACCTCCGCGGCTCTCTGCCATGTTTTTCGGGGAGGGTTTCAACGGAGTGAATCGATCCCACTTATAACCGCCGTCTTTTACTCCTTTTTTTTTTTACGAGGTTACTAATATTTTCACGGACCTCGTTTAGGAGGGGGAGAGAATTTTACAATTTTACCTGGAGCGGTGGAAAGTGGATCGGCGAGACCGAGTCCTCGGGCGGAAACAAGTGCTCCTTCGCAACGAGTTTTGCAATTACTTTTTTTATTATTTTTTTTTTCTTTTGTTGGCTGCAAGGTGGAGTGACGAGCCGTGGATTTGGACCACGGGGACCCACCTTTGACGTCCTGTCGTGTAGGATTAAGGTTTTATTACGCGCTTTCATAGGTCGCTGATTAATCGCAGGCCTGCATGGATCGTATATGGATTTTCAGCGCCCTCGAGTACTTTGCTGCATTATTTAAAGGGCTTTGATTGTCCGGCTTATGTATAGTGGTTTGACTGCGGAAGGGCGGAGAGATGAATCGCGTCGCACGCTCTTACGCGGCTTTGCGGACGAGGTGCAGGTGGGGAACCACCATGGCACCGGAGAAACCAGGGCATGTGATTGTTTTCAGTATAGATGCTGTTTATAGAAGTAGAGGTTGTCGCGGATTTTTAATTTTGCCCGGCAATAGCGGTTTTTTCTATATTTTTTTTTTCCTATTCCGTTTGGCTCTCCGTCACCTTCCTCTCCGATTTTTCCTCTCTCTCGTTCTCGCCGAATTTTTTTTCTTCGTTTTTTTTTATTTTCTCTCGACATCCCCGCTGCGTACGGCATCTATACCGAGTAATTACATGGCCCGATTTCTTTCTTTTCCAGCGCTATGGTTTAGCCGTAAATCTGCATGGGAGCGGTCGACCCCGAAATCTCGCTGCCCTACTTCCGTAAGTCGCTACATGTAACGAAGGTAATGTAAAAGAACCGCCGATAAACGGGACGGATGTAGACTCGCTCCTACTTCGATGTTTCTTGGTCCTGTCTAGTCGATAAATGCGTAAACATTGTACGAAGTGGTGGGGCAAAAACGTACGGAGAGATGGGAGAGAAAAATATGATGTATTGCGGAAAACTCATTGATGTACGTCGATAATTGCCCTTACTTTTTTATCTCGGGGAGGGTTTCATATGTGGCGACTCCGGTCGACCGTAGATTCATGACGAGCGACTACGGTCGCCCGGAGTAAACGTCCATAAATTGGCGACGATCGAGCACGATCGGCCGTCCTAGCGAAAGGGACCTTAGAGGAAGTTAGCCGCTCGGTCTCCCTGGTCCGGTCGGTAACGCGAAGCGACTTCGTGCAGGAGTCCCGGCGCCCTGAGAAGTCCGCCCGTCACGTGGTCGGCCCCCGGAGACATTGACCCTCTCGTTTCGAGCAGCTGCCTTGGAGGGCCGGCAGGCGGCGGCACCGTCCGCTCGGTGCCTCGGAGGCCCCTCCACCAGGAGCTACCCTGGACCCAGCGATGACAGCAGCGGGTCCAAGATTTGGTGCATAGGCGGCGCCCGGGAGAGGGTCCTCGCCGGGGAGGAGGCCCGCGCCGACAGGAGGCGCCGCTCCTCCTCGGGCTCCTCGTCGAGGTCCTCGTCCTCGAGGGGGGGGATGCTGCGCTCCCCCGGCCGCGGGATCGCCTCGGCGCCCTCGACCCCGCTCCACGGACCGACCACGCCGGCCAGCGCGGCGTCCTCGCGCCTCTCCCTGCTCGACACCTGTCACAGGAAGATTCGACTCTTCGGCGAGCTCGTCGCGTGAGTGCCCCTCCCCCCGGTATAGGCGCGAGAAGGGGGGACCCCGAAGGGAGGCGTCGCGACCCAGAAGGGGGCACCGTGACCCTAGAAGGGGGCGCCGTAACCCCACAGAGGGGCGCTGCGACCCCAGAAGGGGGCATCGCGACCCTGGAGACGGGCGTTCTAACCCGCAAGGGGGCACCGTGACCCCGGAAGGGGGCGACCCGGAGATATCAACTCCGGGTGGAGGTATCTCGGGGTACCCCGTCGCAGTAGATCGACGTTCTAATTCGACTTCCTCGATTTGCAGAAAGGCCCGACGAAAGGAGAAGGATGCGGGAACCACGGAGGACCCTAAGCTCTACCTGGAGGAGGCGGCCCTCGAGAGGCAGCTGCCCGAGCTCGACCTGAGGATGCTCGTCGACCTCCCTCCTGGCCTGGACTACAACGAATGGCTGGCTTCGCATACCCTCGCACTCTTCGACCACATCAACCTGGTATATGGAACCATCTCCGAGTTCTGCACCATGACCGGGTGTCCCGACATGACCGGTCCTGGGCTCAGGTAGGGATGAGAATTTATTATTTACCTTTTTTTTTTTTTTATTTTTTTTTTTATCAATGTTTCCTAGTCGGTTGACGGTGGATCTTGATGACGGACTTTCATTCTTCCAGGACGTACCTCTGGTTCGACGAGAAGGGGAAGAAGACGAGAGTGGCCGCGCCACAGTATATAGACTATGTTATGACTTTCACGCAACGCACTGTCAGCGACGAAACTATATTTCCTACGAAGTATGGTGAGTCAAGGTGGAGACGCGCTTTCTCGATTTCGGGCGAGAGCGCGTGCCGCGATCGGTCGGGCTCCTTTGTGGGAGACGTATCGTGTTAAACGAGGGAAAGTCGAGCAAGTCGGGCAAATCCGCGCGAAGAATGGCAGAACTCTCTTCGGCGCCTTCTTCGGCGTCCCGGAAATTGCGCAACGATGCTGCGTCCCGACGTCGGTCAATATGGCGCTTTAACGCGGCTCTTGCGAACTTTTTCCCTGTATATATTTAAATACAAGGGTTTGGGTGCGACCCCGACCTACCTCGACGATTCATCCGTTGACTCTTTATGTCTCTCAATTAATTAAATCGTACAATTACGTAGGGTAAGACGGTCGCCGTTTAACGTGGCTCTCGCGTTGTTTCAGCAAACGAGTTCCCGAGCTCCTTCGAGTCGATAGTAAGGAAGATCCTGCGGCTACTGTACCACGTGGTGGCACACATTTACCACTGCCACTTCCGGGAGGTGGCGCTGTTGGGGCTGCACGCGCACCTCAACTGTGTCTTCGCCCACCTCACGCTCCTTAATCAACGCTTCAACCTGATCGAACCCAAGGAAACGGAGATCCTGGGGGACCTGGAGGCCGCCCTCCTGGGTAAGGCCTCCTCCAGTTCGTCGACGGGCCTTGACATTTCGTGTGTTGATGTTCCATGCCTTGACATTTTGTACCTTGACATTTTATGCCTCGACATTCTAAGTCTTGACATTCTGCGCCCATTCTTAATTAAACGTCTCTCCAGGTGCTAAGTGGGACCATTGACCTAGGGAATATGATATTTCAGGTGACGCGACGACGGCGCCTCCGCAAATCCCGGCCATCCAGGAGACTCCTACCACGACGACCTAGACGTCGGCGGGGCGCGCAGTCGGGGTTGCAGTTCCTGAGACTAGGTGACACTAGGCGTATTCGAGGGGAAGACGAAGAAGAAGCCAATGAACTATCCTTTCCTCTGATTTTTCCACCCGGTCGGATCGTTCACGACCGGTGGGAAGACAGGTCCGAGGCGCCCTCGGGACGATCCTGTAAAGAAAAAAAAAAAAGAAAGAAAAAAAAACTAAGTAGTACCTGTACATAGAGAAAATGAGAGAGAGGGGGGCGCGAGAACAGAGCTACGCAAGGATGTAATTAGGTTCCTCCGTTTGTTGTTTGCGAGATTGTACATAATTTATTAATGGGTAAGACGCGCGCGATCGGGAGGAGAGGACGATTATTGACTATATAAATATATATTATATCGACGAACGTTAGTTGCTATAAGGAGGAGGAGAGAAACACGTTGTTCTGTAAAGAGTGGCCAGGAAGCGGAGGAGGTGGGGAGACACGAGGGGAGAGAGAGAAAAAAATGAGGAGAGAGGTACGAAACAATAACGATATTGTAAAGTTTAAATAAAACCAAATATATACCTGGTGTTAAAGCCAAGGGTACGTTGCGAGCGCCTTGAGACCTGAATTTTAGGATCGTTCTGGATCGTTCTAGATCGTTAGTTGTTTCAGGGCGGAGGAATCTACCCGCGGACTTCGCAGGGTCGACTTCTTCAGGGTGGGTGCTCTGATGGTTCTCTTCATTTGCAGAGTCCAATGGTCTCACCAGGAGGTCGGTAGGTGTTCTTCACCTCGGCCAGCCTGCAGGCCCTGAAGAGGTGAGCCACTTCCCTGAGGAAGAACCCCAGGGCCTCGGCCAGGGGCTCGCAGAGGTCCCTGAAGGAGGTCGCCACGTTGTACAGTAGAATCAAGACCGGCTGGATCACCGCATTGAACAGGATCGACAAGAACGGCTTCAGGAAGTAATCTGCGAGGAGCTGCACCATCCCCACTGTTAAGGGCCTCGTGATACTGAAGAGCAGGAACCTGAAGAGCTGCAGGATGAACGCGGTCAGGAAGGCCACGCCGACGTGGATGGTGCCGAATATCTCGGCCCAGAACCGGGTGGCGTTGTAGTCCGCCTTTTCCGCGAATCTCTCCGCTGCGACGATCGGCGGGGAGTCGGTCGTCCGGTAGTACCTTTAAGGAGAGGACGAAGAGCTCCGATATAACGACCTAGTTAATAAGCAATGCCCTCCAGAAAGGATATTCACTTACTATCAATCTATACAAGTTATACCTACGCCGAGTTCCCGTGGTCGAAATAGTAAATGTCTATCCTCTCCGTGGTCTCTTCCTGGATGGACTCCCTTTTATTTCCGGGAGCCTCCTTTCTCTTCTCCCGCTTTGGGATCTTCACTTCCGAGGTGACGAGCTTTGCTTCCTCTCCGGGTCTCTCCTTCGGTATACCCTGCGTCCCTTCGGGTACCTCGTAATCAACCCGCGTAATGATACAACGATTTATCCTGGCCTTTGTCTAGGAGTTGGGTAGATATTTCTTATTTTAATTGCGCAAACCTTGGAGTCGCAATCGTCTTTCTTTGACCTCAGAGGGTGTGATCCTTCCTTCGCGGTTCCTTCAGGGGGTCTCCAGTGCTGTCGGTACCACAGTGCTCGTTGCGTCTGCGAAATGTCTAAAGTTCCTTCTTTGTACACGGTGGCTATCGCTTTCACTCAATTTAGCTAGTGGAAGCCTCTCGATTACCTTGGTTGTGCCTCAACGGCATGCCGCAGGTGTTCCTGGAAAATAAGTAGCGCAATTGGTCGGCAGTGACGCGGCGACTCGCGTAGTACTTTTCATTCGTCCTTACAGACTGTGCACGGGACAGCAGCACGGAATAGGGAATTCCGTCGGTATCCTCCGTTCTTGATTGTCGTTCGCGTTTCCCAATTCCGGGGGACAATTCGTTCGTTGGGATGACGTTTGCGTGGCTTTCCTCGCCGTGGTTATTTTTCCAACTGCACAGCAGTGCGGACAGGTGCATCGTTTCCCTGAAAATTCAGCGTTCACGATACCGTGGTCCAGGAATTGGGATTTCTTTTTAGCGTACTCGTCTCCACGATCTCGGCACCTTTTAGGTTGCTTTCATTGGTTTCAGATGCGACAGTGAAACCATGGTCGGTTGCTAGGGACGCGTTCGACGGCTCCGAGGTGTCGGAAGAGTGATACTCCTCCTCGACAGTCATTATCCATGAATTAACGCTTAAACGGGGAAACCGAAAGTAAAACGAGAACGCGTGGCGAACCAAGCCCAACAAGAAACTGTCAACGCTGTCAACTTGACAGCTTGTCATGTCTTCTTTCGCCCCGAATTAAAGGCCAATTTGTGCCGATGCGAGATTGCCCGATTAAACGACTAGAACGAACATAATGAATACGGTACCGGAAAAATGAAGAAACAGGAGACATAATAGACGAACCATTTATTATTAATATTCGTAACGCTGACTTACACGGTACAATTGATAATATCCTGGCGATCTTTACATCAAGCGACGCCCTTAAACTCGGGCGCGGCCTTTCCTCCCCTTATCACTCTCGCAAGCTAAATATAATCTGTCATTCATTTATTTATTCGTTTATTGTATATAGACCAGGTCGACTCGAGGAAAGTCCACGAGAATAATGTACAGCGTTTTGCACGAGCTGCACCGACCCTCTGACGTTAATTTACACAAGGTCCATGGACAGTGCATAATTGTCCGTACACCGCCAATTGACAAGAAACGAGCGCTAACGCGTACAATAATTAACGGCGATGTACATAAATTTATCCCCCTCGCAATATCAATTCGACTAGAAAGTGGTTACGCTAAGATAAGACATCGAGTCGTTTAATCTCTCTTTTCTTCTTTCTTTTTTTTTTTTTTAATTATCTACGACATGATTTCCTCCTCGCCGCGCAAAAGTAGGAATCTCACGGCGACAAGTGATATCGTTTGTTCATTACTTTTAAGTATAATCGGTATTAACGTCGATATGGAGCGTGGACACGTAGGTGTCTCGAATTCGCATTGGTGTTCCTAAAGCGGTGCAAAAGTGCACGTCGCGGATAATTAGAGACGTTCGGAGGTAAAGGCCGGACATTTCGAGCTCGTCTCCCAATTACCAATTTGTCCCGGAAAAAATTGACAAAAGTCAACAGACATCGCCAGTTAATTTCAGATATCGCGTTTCCTTTAACGCTACCTTTTGTTTATTACCGTCGACGCGTTTGGGGATTTTACAACCGAGCTCCGTTTACGGTACACCCTGATAACAAATTCCAGGACGCGGCGCAAAAGTTTGGATTATCCTAAAAAGAGGTTTAGAATGGCGTGTTCCTTGCCATGTAGCAAGAGATTCGGACAAACTCATTGTCGGGACACAAACGAGCCGACAAAATGTCCGGCGGTCGCCGCGGTTTCTTTACGGAAGCGACACACTAGGATAATAGACATTGCCGCTGTGAATGAACATAGAAAAAAGGTATATATATATATTATATATATATATACACGCACACGCACAGGGGAACGAATGTCGGAGGTGCACTTAAGGACGAGCTTAGAAGTAGGATTACGCGGCTTAGTTTTAAAAAATATACTGTAAAGAGCGATCGCGCTTAGTGGTCGACGTATAGCTCGCCGAGGGGACGAAAGACTTCGAAGAAGTTGCAAGGTCGGCAGAAGGTACCTCGAGGTACTCTTCCACGTGGTACTCGACTTTGACTTTTTTACGCGGAAATTCTGGGACTTTGGGGATTTTTATGGGGTTTTTAAGGGGTTCCTTAAGAATTCTCGATGGCGAATGGAATGTAGAGAGCGCGTAAGCTAGTCGTTGGTTTCTTTGAACATGGAAAAAGCCGTCCTCGCAAGGATCATGAAAAAATACTCGCGCACGTACAAGAATATCACTCTCTCCTTAAAACCGGTGCTCTCTCTCCCCTTAAAACCAGTGCCGAGAGAGCACTCATGTAATGTGCTAAAATCCCAATATGCAAATCGGAAATCGCTCGTTAATGCTCCGCTAATGGCTTACCCATGGTCTTGTTGCTATTAACAATAATCAGGGGTCGCGTTAAAAAAAAAAAGATCCCTTTTACCCGCCTGGCGAGACCTTTAAAAATATATCAACGTGAAGGGTCCGCTTAAAAAAAAATGTCTGCTACCGATATTCGCGAGAAGGGACCTCTTTTTCTAATGTCTTTTCTCGCGACGTGATAAGGGACATCTAATCCCTGGTTAAAAATTACGTTACTTAGAGCTAACAGAATATCGAGGACGAGGAGAAAGAAATTAAGTCCCCGGACTTAATTATTAAAAAAAAAAAAAAAGAAAAAAAAAAGAAAGTATCTCAGAGGACTTCGACGTGGCGAGCGATCTATATTTCTTCCCCCGCGTTTTCGCCCCTTGATAAGGCAACGCGATAAGCGACAGCGAATCGCCAGGATTAATTCCACGCTCTGTCGAATCCTCGAGATCCCGGTTTTTGCGAGAGTTTTATGCGGTACACGATTTTGTAGGACATAACGACGGCTAATGGTAATTGCGCTCTCGGGTATAGTCTTCAAGTATAGTCACGACTAGGACATTTAGAATTTCGATTTCGCGTATGTACAGTACAGAGAGTAGTCGCCTTCAGGTCCTAGACTATCGTTGCAACTTTACGTTATCCATTCCCTATTTTCTTTTCTTTTTTTATACAGGTTAGACGCTCTCGAAGAAAATTCCTATTTACAAGCCACGTGATCACGTTTGCGGAAATGGATTATTTCTCACCCTCGAAAGAGTTTCTCGATTAAGTACGACCTTGCCCTTTGCCAATTGTCGTTTCTTGTCCTCGCGTTTAATTTTTTTTTTTCCTTTGTTCTTAACCGATCGCATCACTCTGTGGGTTTGTGCGTTGTTATGTCGGAGGAATATACAGAATTCGCAACGCATCAACGACGGCCAATTTCGAGGTGTCCTTTAATTGCGTAAATTGTCTTCGAGACGATTACGCGAACAATTCGATCGATCCCTCGAGAGCTATTCGATTGAAACGTCCGCTGGACGATTTGTTCGCATTTTAAATACAATTACGATACAAAAGTAACGCTCCGGAAGCTTTGAAGAAGCGCGCGGGAAACTTAAGTAGGCGTATAGAAAGATCAAAGAGGGGGCGATAAATAAATAACATATAAATCCTTGCAGATAGTTAAGCGCATTTAAACGTCGCATTACACTGACTTTTGGTGTATAATCACACTAGGTGAGTCTTATCAGGAGTGTCGGTACACTCCTGGAACTTAATCCTTAACTTAATCGACTATCAGTAATAATTAGAAGAGAGAAAAGAAGAACAACAGAGACGAAAATCAAAAGCAGACGTTAACGAGACGTTCCCGCTTGGATTCCGGTGCTGCAGACTATTTATTGCCATGATCGTGCCTAACTCGCAAGTTCCGAATGGAGGTCTTTGAACTCTTGTCAGGATAATACGCGATATCACAGTAAAACCAAAGTTAAAAGTAAAGGGTTAAAAAGCGGTGTTCCTCCCTCGCCGCTTTTTAATTCGCTAAGTCTCTCCTATCTCCCTTGAGACGTCGACGGAACATTGATCGAGAGATATTCGATTACAATTGGTCTTCAATGGCAATAACGGATATATTCGGGCGTGATCGCTAATTGCGCGTACCGAGAGAAAACTTCGATGTTCCGTTAATTGTCAGCAGTGCACGTGTCAAGGGCGCAATGAAAATCGGACACAAATTATCGGGATGAATTAGTCGAGGCCCACAGGGGAGGGCAATGAGTTGTACCAGTTTCCAATAACTTGTATTAAAGAAAAGAAAAGAAAAAAAAAAAAATAATACATGATCCCCGAATTGCCTCCCATCAGTAGACGACCAATCACCGGTTGCAATTAATTGCCTCAGTAATTATTGTCCTGCCATGTTCCTCAAGACGTAACGACCCGTTATCAGAGGCATGCGTGATATGGTGTCAGCTTCTGATGGCTATAGAAATCCCAAAGGGTGGAAACGACATCCCACCCTGTGTTAATTCTGGTCAACGGAGAACTATCCGAGTTATCTCTCGCGTTAACATTAATCCGCCTTCCACTAACCCGATGCATTTTTTACAGGGTTCGGGACAAATCGTCCCCCCTGAAGCGGCCCACTGATGAAGCAGTAGCATCGCTTCGGTCCAAGTCCAAGGAGACGCCGAAACTCGGATTTGGAGATTTCCTAGACGTACTGGAAGTTGTCCTTCGCAGCTAGGAGAGGCAACTTCTCGACGCTCTGCTTGATGTCGAAGCTGTGCAGCCAGTCGGAGCTGGGCTTCGCCTTTAGGCCGCAGAAACTGCAGTTGCAGAAGTCGGCAGCATTCTGAAGAGCCCCTCGATGGAAGGGATTGCCCTGTTTGAAGTGCTTGTAACGGCCAGCGTTCATGCGCTCGTTCGTCGTCATGCCCAGTACCATGATCTAAGGGGAAGATGGATATGTTGATAATATGTGATAAGGGTGACGATTTACCAATCTGTAAATAATTTCTCGACAAGTTACGACTCACCTGGTAGCACTGGCACGCCAAAAGGGTGTTCACCCAGAAGGAGTGGAGTGCGGTGTTCGCTGCGACCCACACCACCCACGCATCGCAGGTAGCAGCTGCGACCAGGTAATTGCCTGCGCTGTGACCACTGGTCAAGTTAGTCCAGCACTCGAATTGCCAATACTGGACACTGGCCGACAGGACGACGATGCAGAGGCCAAGCAAGGACGCGAGGAAGCCGAGGAAGTACCTGTGATTGTGCGCCCCTGGAAAGAGGAGCCGGAAGTCGTAGGAATTTCTCCAAGCGAGGGTCGCTTACACCTAGTAGGTAACTCGAGGAGAGGAGGGTGCTCCAAGACAATGACAATTGCTTACCGATACAATTATTTACCCAGGGACAGTGGTGGTCGAATCGCGCCACGCAGCGGTCGCAGGTGGAACAATGCTTCGAGCGGATCGGCCTTCTGACTAAGCAGCTGCTGCAGAACCACTGCGGCTCGAAGCCGCCCGACTCGGCCAGCTCTATTATCGTCTACGAAGGAAAAGGAAAATCAATGAGTTAAGGGAAACGCGATAACGTGGACTCTCGACGAAAAAGAAACCTACGTTCAATTTGTCCTCCTGGGTGGCCGTTATCACCCCAGGATCTCCACGCCAAGATTGCAGGAAACAGATCCACAGAGGAACGGAACCGCTGACCAAAAGCAGCCACAAATACCAGGCCGCGTGCACGCCTAGCCAAAATATCCATGTCACGTATATCCACATCTAAAGCAGGAGAAACTGATATAAGCGATCTGGGGATACGCTTGATACGTCGTAATCGAGAATATCGAGTGCAGACTGGATCCTGATGGCTTATCGGGTGAAATAGTTCTCCCTGATAAGATACATTGGTGCTCTACTGATCGATAGCCTCGAAGTGACAGGTTATTCTTGTGGCAACGAGGACTGATTAGATGTCATTTCTTAATTAGGTTAAGACGACTCACCTTAGTCGCCAGGTAGATGGACATGGGCAGGACGTGGAACAGTCTTTCGTCATAGAGGAAATGCTTCGCTAAGTAAACTGCTATGTACAGAGTGAGGAAGGCACCTAGTTTCATAAGATAATCCAATCCACTCTGGAAAACCATGCCGATCAGGTAAAACAGGATGAATGGGGTGCTAACCATGCAGTACCACCGGACTCTCTGGAAAGGAATCTGAATTACTGTCCGATAGATTATTTTCTATAGCAGAGTAAATTATGAGTTCTTGGGTTAGTTTACCTTATCTCTACACCATGCTCTCGTTCTGCCCTGCTTCTCTCTAATTTCTTGGCTGACTTTGTGTCCGAGCCAAGCAGCTCCGATGTGAGGACTGAGCAAAGTCTGCGGAGTTTCGTTCTGGAAGTTTGGAACGTCCAGAGCTGCTCCGTGTTGAATTAACGTAGATATTGCTGTGTGATTTTTTGCTATAATCGCCCAATGTAGTGCCGTATTCCCGTGCAGATTGTCTGTGAGGGAGTGCGATGCACCCAGAGTTAACAGGAGACGAGTAGGATCCAAACTGTAACAATGACATTTTGTTGGTATCGAAGTATTCGAATCGACAGGAATTTGTAACTATTCACCTGTTAACTTTGTAAGCGCTCCACATGAGCGGGGTCATGGCACTTCTATCAGGCATGTTTGGATTCACTCCTTTTGCGACTAGATATGCTACTATGGCCGTGTGGCCAAATTGTGCTGCCAAATGTATGCAGGAAAAGCCCTCAGAGTCTCTGAGCGTTGGGTCAGCTCCTGCTCTCATTAATATCACAACCGTGGATAAATGACCTTGCCTGAAAAAATTTAACGAAGCATTAAATTCAAGTAGTTCAATAGTTACATACTTTTCAGATGCTATCTTAATATTAACTATATCAAGAGGTGACCAACCTCGTAGCCCAGTGGAGAGGCGTCGAAGCCAATTCCCCACCGATCGCATCGACGACGGCTCCTTTGGCGATCAGATACTTAACAATTTCCCTACGATTATTTATCGCAGCCCAGTGCAATAATGTAACCGTCTCGGAATCCGGTTGATTCACGTCTGCTCCCGCTTCCACCAGTTCCGTGACACGGTCCAATGCTCCATACTGCAGAACATGTAATTATTATTAAATTCCAGTATAAAACCCATCTTCAAATAGACGTTATCACCCTATTCACCTGCGTAGCTCTAACGATATCGAAGGAGCTACAATCTTGAGTCGCCGGCCTAGCCGGCTCTTGTTGTAGACTACTGGAATCTTCGGGTTCCCCGCTACCCTCCCCTTGGCAAGCAGTTTGCATTTGCAGCGCGTACATGCTGGGCAAAAACAGAATAAACAGGTCTTTAAATATTCAGAGCATGCACCGAGTGCAACTCTTCCAGAAACCTTTTGCTGAATAAAACTCGTAAAGGACCGAACATTAAATTCGGCCGTTCTTCCGTCATATTAGTTCGAGCGCCCATAAACGTTCAATTACGCCTCTAACATCTCTGAAACATTAATTATATGAGATCTCAGTTATACAACGGATCTAGCTACCTGGCGGTAAACGATGAAGTAACTGAAGTAAAGGTTAGGTGACTCTCAGCCCTCTCGGGCGGCGGGCGAGTCGCTCCGTCGCTTCGCGCTTACCTCGTAAGTTATGACAGTTCCTTGATCGCTCGTATATATTGCCCCTAGAGAGGATGTTGCCCCTATTATTTTCGCGCGCGAAAAAACAAAAAAAAAATGGTTCGAGCGTGTCAGGGCGAGAAATTCACCAAGTGGCTCGGGGTGGGGCGCGTCGGCCCATCTCGGAGGAAAGCTCGACAAAGCTTGACCTTATCCTCGACGTGGGAGGCGCCAACCCCTTTTCCACCACCGTGGCTTCCACCCCGTTGCGATGCGTCGACGAGCACGGACGAGCGTTAAGAAATGAGCCTCTTCGCCAGGCTTATTCTAGGCATAGCGATTGATAGCGATCCGCCGTTCTTCCGAACCTCTACTAGCGCGACTCCGATTTCACGCGATGCATCGCGTGCGTCGCTACCGACTTCGCTCCTCCACCGTAGAATTCTTCTCTTTGCGGTTTTACGGGAAGCTTTTTATTGACTAAACCTCCGACACTCGGTCGGTACGAGAGAAGACGCTAGGGGGATGCGACTCGTGGCGTGCTCTGTTAGGAAACTAAGACACACCCCTGCCCTTGATAACCTCACATTTAACGATAGTCGATAATAGGTGATGAGGTGTGTCGAGAAAAGTCACCCGATAAGTTACACAAATTTCAGATATTGGTAGTGACATCTGTAGGTAGTGAGGTATACTACGTATAGAGTAGTGTCGGTAGGAAGTGGAGTTTGATACCGAGTTCCGCTGTCCCATGACAGATGACGCGCGTGGCGCTCGCGGAGCGCGCAGTCAGTGAACCTTTGCGAGGCGCGTCGATTTCGTAAGTCGGAATCTCGAGGTAACTGGTAAAAGGTCGTCGCATCGGGTAACGCCGGCGTGGTAACGCGTTAATACTCCAAGAAGGAGGCCGACTCGTTTGGTCGCGTTTATCACCCCGGGCGTCCACTTCCTCCCGCCTGAGACCCGCAGCGACAGAAAAATGGACGTGAGACTGGCGTCCCGCGAAAGGTTCTCAGGACGATAGGGAGTCCCGGGAGCGTAGATTCATTGTCCCGGGGTTATGGAACTTCTACGGCTTGTTAACATAGGGGAAAAATCCTCTCACGGTGCAAAGTTCACGGCCGGCTGGACGATCTTATCGCGATTCCCGTCTCCGGGGTCTTTGTCTCGCTCTACGCGAAATTACACATCTCCCACGAAGGATAGAGCAGCGGGAATAGCCTCGCCGCAAAAAAAGGACGAGTCGAGTCCTGCTCCTCGAATATCCCCCAGCACCGATGAGGATTTCTCAATTTTTACGAATTTTTTTAATAAAACTTCACCCACCTCGCGCCATTCGAGCGTCCCTTCGGGCGGCCATCTTGGATTTCCGTGCAGAAGCGTCGATCCGTATTCGACTGAAAAATCGCGATATTATCCGCGACGAGGGTCAGATTTTCGAGAAAGAAACGGTACTCCTCGTCACGAGGAGATCAGGAAACGGATTCGTCCTTGCGGGGAACTTTTCGCGCCGTCGAAAGAAGTCCAATTTGCCGGCCGTAAAAATCGCGAGATTTCTTTATTGCCGCCCGCGACGCGCTTCCGCGGCGGGAAGCGATTTAACAAAGTCGCCACTCGGTCGGAAACGGCCGGAATGCCCTCCCGGAGGGGCGAAATGTCCCGCGAGAAGGTTTTTCGCATCGTTCGCGAGATGTTACGGGGCTAGAGGGGGCCGAGGGGGAGGAAGAACCCCATCGGCGAGGGGACTTCCATCGCGCTAATGGATAGGCAATTCTCGGCGGCGCGCTACGTCGAGTAAACGCTCGCGCGGAGGTAACGTCTGCCATATGCCGGGTGGAAACCGGCCGCGATTTTTGCCGGCTAGTCGGCGCGAGATAAACGGCGAAATAAAATAAAAGAGAAAGAAAGAAAGAAAGAAAAAAAAAAAAGAAAATCGAATGGCCGCGTCCTCCAGGCGGAATTCGCGAGGTGGCGGCGACCGCGGACCGAATCGCCGCGTCCCATCGCGTTAAGAGCCTGCAAGGGACCATATGGGTAGCGCTCCCGCGCCAAGTACACCGGGTACTCGAGACGATGGATCTCTACGTCAAGGGTACCTCTTGAGAGGCCTGAATTTCTAAGATTAATTTGGAATAAAATCGGGATGACGCGAGGGAAACCTCGCAGACTCCTAGAGTAGCGTCTTCGCGCCAAGTATACAGAGGTAGAGCCTCGAGGTGGGGAATTTTTTTACGTGGAGGATAGCTTTTAGGAGCGTAGATTTCTTTCAGTCTGAATTTCTAAAGATTTCGCGCCGAAGAGCGACTCTGCATTTCTACGGATACTTTCGCGTTCTTCCGCGGAGGGTACTCCGGGACTTCGCTCGAGTAGCGCCTCCGCGCCAAGTACCTTCCCTTGAACCGCGAATTCCGCCCGAGGGTAGCGGGAGCGACTGTAGCGAATCCAGCGAATCCGGCGAATCCGGTGGATCGGGTACAGTGCGTACTGCACGTACACCAGGGGTACGGTACGCCTTCCTCCGCCAACCTACCTACCTACCTACCTACCTACCTACCTACCTTCCAACCTACCGGACTATAGCGAAAACAGTAAAAAGAGGGCACTCGAGCCGCGTCGCACCGTTGCACCTGTATCTCTGCCCTGGCACTCCTACCTTACTGATCTCGCGGTACTCGCGGGCTCCGATACTTTCAATACTTTCAATGCATGTAGTACTCGCGATACACTCAATACTTTCAATGCATGTAGTACTTGCGATACGTTCAATACTTTCAATGCATGTAGTACTCGCGATACACTCAATACTTTCAATGCATGTAGTACTTGCGATACACTCAATACTTTCAATGCATGTAGTACTTGCGATACACTCAATACTTGCAGTACTTGCGATACTTTAAATATATATTGTACTTGGGATACTAGTAATACTTGCGATATTCGCAAAACGCACTCCGCTCCCCCAAGAGCACTTAGAGATTAAGATTCGACATAGACAGAAAAAAAACGCAGAAATTCAGTGTACGGATTAAAAAAAAAGCTTGGAAATCATTTTCATAAATGATTAGAGATAGATATGGTCATAGACACTTTCGCTGATGAGCCCTTTTGACGTACGGGCGAAATTCCCGACCCGTGCAGGCAATAGTCGACCAAACGTTGGGCCTTTCGCAGTCGAATGGGTAAGACCCGAATTACCGAGCGAGAACACGCAAGTCAATATTGTTGTGGGGGAAGGAGCTCGTCCTTTCGCAATGTTTACATCGAAGCATCCTTTATCAACATAATTCGAAGTTAGGGGCTTATCCCCTCTCCTTAGGCCTTGATAACTGATATGCGTTGTTCCCACGATCAGTTCGATTTTGGGAGTCGCCGCGTACTCACGATCGACTTTCGATTTGCCGTGAAATTATGCGTAGAGAAATGTCTACGCAAATCGCGAGCGCGCGGAGCTAATCGAGATTATGTAGACTGTTTTGTGATAAGACCGTGCCTTCCGCGGATCGAGGGAGATGTACGGCTTCGACGAGAGGTGCTACAATGTGCTCCAGAGGATGTTCTACCAGTTCGAACCAATTGTCGGCTTCTGTCCGGTTACTGGTGAGTAAGGAAGAAAATTTTACACCGTCCGTAAGGAACAAGTCGGTTAGCGCGGTTAACGTTAACGACTCTGCCAAGTAAATATAGGCCGAAGTCGCGCGATAAAATAAAATCTGACCTTGTAAATCGGCTCGAAAAGATAATATTAAGTAAAAGGAAAAGTAAAAGGTGGTCGGTTATCCGTGATTGCTTGAAATTGTCCTTCGAGTTGGTCGGTCTAAAGGAACCTCCGAAAACGTGGAAAGATAAACAAGAGTCGGTGCGTTGAAAGGAGGTGGATGAAAAATCGAAAAAATGGAAATGTGAAAATATGAGAATATGAAAATATGAGAATATGAAAATATGAGAATATGAAAATATGGAATAAATTAAATGTAGAATCGAGTCAGATCGAGTCAATCGTCCGAGTCGGGGTCGCTCAAAATCGGTTCCTTCACGCCCAACGACGTGACCGCCCCGAAACCCAACAACGAAGGACATTTTGGCAAACAATTCTCAGACTCGCGACTCTCTTGGCTACTAGCCAAACTGCTCTCGCTCAGATTATCCAATTTCACTCCTACCGGCAGTTTCTGAGGCGGAGGGTCGTAATTGACCGTCGTAATTCCGTACATCTCTCGCACCGTGACATTAGGATTAATTTCCTCGCAAACTTCCGCGTCCTCCTCGACAATCTTCCTCCTTACTCGTCTGCGTTTTTTCTCTTTGACCAAGAGATCCTCCGGCAATATCGGCTTGACCCTGGGCACTATGAATTTAGTCCCCGAGTTTGAGTCATCCTCGGAGGGTGAGGTGCTGTACACTTGTGCAAAACCATCCTTCGTGATTACAGTGTCCGAAGACGAGCTGCAGCTGCAGCTGCAACTGTAGCTCTCGGTAGAAGTTTGCGAGGAAGTCGAGCTCCTTTCGCCATCGGTGGACCTGCCATCGGAGTAGTGGAGTTCTAAGAAATTCGTAGGTGGGTTCGCATAGTTCTTGGGGTCTTCTTCGAGGTGCAGCTCTCCGACACAGGGCTGCTCCTTCGGACAGTAGTACAGCCTGGACAGTATCTCGAAGAATTTGCTCTCCTCGAGGAACCGTGGAGAGTCCTCGTCAGAGGACGAGTTATTACGAGCCTTGCTTCTCATCTTTATTTTCCTCTTTCTTTTCCTTGACACGGTCTGGCCCATTTCATTGTCTGACACGATCATAGGAGGCTCGTTGTCCAGTGTACTTTCAAGGAAGGCCTAAAAAAGGGAGTTTTTAAGTATTTGGTATTTTTACCGCACCTTCGCGATTTCACGTTCAGCTGCCGACTTTTCTTTTTTTTACAACGATGCTCGGGCGCGTTCGTGAGACTTCTAGAAATCATATTGTAATATATTCAAACCCATGGAAACGTACGGCGCGATTCTTTTGCCGATGCGGCGATACAAGGTATCGGGAAACGCGCGAAACAACACATTGTAACAGATGCGAATTTATTACGGAACGACTCGAGGGATCTGATATTCGTTCTCGAGGTAAAGCGAGTCTCGTGAGGATAAGGTCGATTTTTCGGATATTTACCGGTTTGGGCGTGAAAATTGGTAATTGGACTCGCTTGGACACGGGCCTCGACCACGTTGTGCAGTGGCTTCGCACGTTGAAGTAATAACACCTGTTGGGATGTCTACGGGATCGACACTCCACCCAACCGTGATTAGAGTATCTGAAATCATCTAGCATAAATAGTGGAACCCGGCGCAACCTTCAGATCGGTTTGTCACAACTCGTGGGCCTTTCTTTGTCAGGCCAGATTTCCGTATTTTGTTTCGAACGATA